ATGTCCATGTGTGCCGGCAGTGTGGTTGGTTTTAGAAGTGGAACATTGCCAATCGACAGCAATTAATACCACCTTCCACCTTTCTGGAAACGATAGAAGAGGGATTTAGAAAACATGGTTAAGAATGACGCACATGTATGTTATAGTGCACGTCGAAAAGTAACCTCGTTTCCGCTCAGGCAGAGCGAAAGTCTGGGCCGAGTTGGTCGGTCGTAAAACGTAGTATTTGTACTTCGATTGTGCTCAATATTTCCAGTTAAAACCGAGTGTGTAGGTTACTAAGCTAGTACATTAGTGGCTGTTCTTTCAGTAGTCGTCCATGATTTTTAGTCATTGATATTATTCGGCCTAGCATACGTACACAGAGAGATTAATACCAGTGATTTTCACACATTTTTTGTTGTGTCATTCTAATATGGCTACATCTCCGGCTATCGTCCATATAAGGAGAAGATTTCAAGGATATTTATAAATCAATCGTGGGGGCAGATATATTCAAGCATACAGTGTTTTAGGAAGGAAATCACAGAAATAATCAAAATAGTTTACGAAATATAAATGGCTCTTTCGCGTAGGGATGACGTGTTCGCTCTCTGCCACCTCGACTGGCAAAATGCAGCCCTGTTGGTGGTAGCTGCCCAGCCTTCTTAGAATTATGTGCCCTGTTGGTGGCTGACCGTCCTTCCTAGAACTTTGACTGACAACTATTTCTATACCGTCGTCTAATTTGTTCACCGGTAATTTGGCAACTATTGGATTTCAATAAAACATTTTAATAATGAATAGACTCTAGACCAAATTAACTAAATATACGAGTCAGCATAACAAACCAAATACGAGCCTTTCTGTGAATGCAAAAGCATGCAAATGGAATAAAAATGCTAAGGCTCAAGAGCTTTCTATTTGCTGTCTAGGATACCGTAAATGTAGTGAGGGTATCAAGTCAGTGTCGTATTACTTTAAAATTAATTTCCATTTTTTAATTAGTCTTCAATTTCTAATTAGAAACGGCGGAATTTAAATTAAGAATCGAAAATTATATCATGACATTCTTTACAAACAAATCTGGACCTCCAATAATACCACTAAAAGGGTTTAAGATAAAGAAACAGATCTTTTACTTGTATACAAGTGGTTTGCAATATTTCGAGTATATGCACATATTTTAAAATGCCCGCTCCAGATATAAACATCCCTTATCTTGCGAGTTTAAATTTTTACATTGTAGTTTGCCTTCTTAGTAATGACATATCACATTTTGGCATTTACGTCTATGTATGCTCGTTGGATAGCATATTTTGACAATTGTCTGAAAAAAGTGGGAAAATCTAAACAAGTTTGCTTTGGCTATCCATCAAGACCAATATGGTAAAACAAAAGCGAGGTCAGATACTAAATTTAGTACGAAGCTACAAGAGCGGGCACATTGTTTTTGGACTGTACAATTTTATGGCAACACCACCGGTAATTCGAGAGAATTGTGCTAATCTGTTAACAATTAATTTCGACATTGCTGGTGTTTATCGAATGATGATTGATCTATCATTTCAAATGCAATTATAGTCAACCAACGGACGTGAGTAATATTGAGGTTTTCAAGATATCGGTACTGTACAACTGATTGTCTATTTCCCTTTGTTCGTCGGATTATCATCTTGGAGATTTTGTATTTCAAGTTAGTTCTTATATCACTTAGCCTCTTTTGTCCCAAGCTGTCCAAATAAGCGTCCAAATGCTTTATTGTTGTGAAGCAATGTTTTGTTTTTACAAGTGAAATGTAAATTTTTTCCCTTCGCGTAGTAAACAAAGTTCTTGAACCAATCAGATTGGGGATAGTAGAGACACGTGACCATTGTTTTTGTCATGTTTATTTCATCAGGTAGAAAATGTAGATTTCATTCCAGTCATTTTACGCCGTAAAGTCTTAGTTTTGTAACTCTCTCTGCAATTCCAAGCAGCGATGTAGATTTCGTATATATTGACATCGCTTGTATTCCTGTGTTGCTGAAGAATGGTTGTTGCGAGTGACAATACCTGGAGCATTCCTGACATCAAAGCCGACGAGTGGCAGGATGGTCACAAGAAATTGCCATATTTTGGTAACAGGGAATTAGAAATTGTGGAGAAAAGCATCGATAGTTGCTTTCAGAATGGACTTTGCGAACGACGTAAGAAACCAATTCGAAAAATCTTTCGTGACGTTAGTTATCAGCCGAGTTTGGAGGACATTAAAGAAGTAGATGGCGAAGAGTTGGCTGAAGTAGAAGACAAATTTGACCTCACTCTCTCGGCCATACATCGCGAGAAGGCTTTAAATTCAGGTTGTTTTTCCAAAGACGAAAATCGGAAATATCGCAAGAAGAAATACAAGAAATCGCACCTACCGATAGAACGACGGCCTCGATCACAAACTGTTTAAAGATATGATGGATTCAACGATTGTTGTGATAAAAAATTTCAGCGGGAATCCATGAGACGATACAAAAAACCACAAATAAAAAATAGACGGAGCTAGTTAGTGAGATGTCAACTATTTCTCTATTACCAGCGCAAAAATCGCGTGCTTTTTGATTCATATGCTTTCTCTCCAGGTTTTATAGTTAAACATGTAAATGTGCAGTATAGTATCAGTGAATTCTTAGGATATGGACTTTCAGTACCTCTATAGAAACTTTAAAATAACAATAACACCTGCATGGGCTACAGAAATGATTGAACAGCCGAAAGCTTACTTTAATAATGCGATTTGCCGTTGAATCAAGGGCACTCGCCGATCAATCCTAATATTATGTAAATATTACCTTCCTATGCTTTCTTGGGTATAAAACTATAGAAATATTTAACAATTGTTCATGATAGGTTGGTGTGTTTATATTATAGCACGATTTTTGGCCTTCAAAATATGTTTGTAAATTTAATTGAATGTATAAATGGCGCAATGCATGTTAATCCTGTAAATATGTTATTTTCATGACAGTCAAACCTACATATAGGTTAAGTATTAGGTCTTTAAGTTAAAGTAAAGTGGAGATACGAATCATGTAAAAAGTATTTTTTTGTATTATATTCTGAAGAACACATACAAGGACTATAATTATGTGTTTTGTGCATTAATATTGGACATATTGACGTAAACTAGAAAGACCATATGGTTCAATTGCAAAAACATGTGGAAAAAATTGCCAGAAACATTTTTGTCAGAGGACACTCTGATTGATAATTTATTTCGCATCGATTTATTGGGAGACCAATACCACTATATATGACACTTCTAGTAAAAAGGATTTGTCTTCATTTATCATTTCAAGATGTGAAATCAATGGTGATTGTAATCCAAAACAGAGATATCTTGTAAACAGATTAAACCGGAAACACGACCAGGCATGAAGACACACTCAACAGTCAGAATTGTTATTCGTTGGCATGAATCGCGCGCATTACAATGCTTTATCTCAATTTCGAGTGCATTTAGACAAATATAACAAAAAATCCTTTTTGTGTTGGCATTATCTTAGGTCGTGTGTTCGTTATGAAAGACGCTTACAAATAATAGCTAGCCAAGGCTTGCTTTGTTCTTGTTTTTGCGAAACGCATTTTTTTTTGTCTGGATGAATATTAATGACCCTATATTAATAGTGCTCTTGATAAGGGGCATATAATTTTAACACGGTTGTCGACATTGCCAAGTGGTCGTTTCCGATACTTATGATGATTTGTACTTTGTTGTGAAAAACAACGCAAATTGAAAAGCTGATGTAAAATATTGATAATAACATTGTCGTTGCTAATGTTATAGTCGGTCTTGCGCCAACGCAAGTCTTGACTGCCTACATAACATATGCTACAGTTTCCCCCAATATTCGAGCCAATATTTCTGATTTTTCGTGTTTTATGCTTTTCTAGTAAAAACAGGTTAAATCATCTGTTTGTGATGTCTAAAGACAAAGTAACTTTAATTTGAATACTTGACAACCAAGAATGAAAATATATACCGGTCATTTGGCTATGTTTGATCTCACGGGGAGTCGAGGTAATTATTTACTAAGGACATTATTGCATTGATTAATGTACTTTACGCTGAATATATCATTCCTATTACTCACACAGCCCAGATAGGATGTGAGAAGTATTTTTTAGAATAAATTTGGTAATAAAACACATCGTACTTCAGGGATTTTCCCTTCTACGGATATGATCTGCCCACATCCCTCCTACGCAAGGTATTCACGTAACAAGATGATCTACTTGAAAAACATGGAATGATCCATACTGAAAATGGACACATGTACCAGCTTGTTTTTTCCTCTGTTTGTGCAGTAATTTCTATAACTACAGGATATGGCGACGTGGTATCATGTTTTGATGCTGAGCTGGCCTCTCAGACGGATGGCGACAAAACAGAATGTTTAATACCACAATAGGAAGGCGATTTAAAAATTTCAAACTGTTAATAACGAGCGTTTAACAGCAGGTTTCTTCACAAGCTGTTAGTTGGAAGTAAATCGATAAACAATAACTTTCCTAACTGCAAAATTGCAAATGTTTAGTTATCGCCCAATATTTCTGCCTATTTGTGACGTCATAAAATCGAAAGAACTAAAGTTTAGTTTAGGTTTCCTCCTGTAGCAACACTGGATCAATAAGAGATGATCCTTACTGGATCTCTAAGAAGAACAATTAAGAACTGGTAGAGGTATGGGCTGACGTTAAGGGCTGACGGACAGAACAGTATAAATAAAGTTAGTTTAGCTTATCCTTGAGGTTTCCTCCTGTAGTAACAACAGATATCGGAACACCGGAATACTCACTACTTAGAGAACGTCAAAGCATGTATAAGTCCGATACTTCACGTTAGAATGTGACGTATATTTGTTACAATATTCGATTATTTATCTTATACAGATTTGTGAATTATGTCGAGTTATTCTGCGGTGATCTGAAACCTCAATTTTCGAGACCCTGAATCCTCAGGTTTCACCCCGTCATCTTGCAATAAGGGTGAAATACGAGATACAACAGAAGATTAATTAGGTAGGGTTACTTATGTACAAGCTGTCTTTTTCATTTCAACACTTAGAAAGCCTGGTTTCCATTAATTTCCAATTTGATTGTCATTGTCATGAACATGTCAAGGTGCACGGTTGATATTGCTTGGTGTATTCAATCGACAACGATTTGAATATAAAAAAAAACCGGAAAAATTTCATCCGGACTATTCGACACCAGTGAAAACGACTTGTTCATAACAATGAAGTCAAAATCTAAGCTGCGCTACACGTATCCAGTCTCCGCTAATTTTTTTATTGCTTATAAGGCACACCAGGAGGAATGCCACCTGGGGGGGCTGGTCGACCTGGAGCACCGCCATGAGGTGGGGCGGTGGGGTGAGGATATGGATATGCACCTGCTCCTTGGCCTGCAGGAGGACCTTGTCCATAAGGGGGTGGTGCTTGAGGGTAACCTGGTTGGGCAGGGTAATTATAAGGAGGGTTAGGTTGAGGGCCAAGGGGATATGCTTGAGGATAAGCTTGAGAGGGGTACCCCCCTGGAGCTGGTTGCATTATTAGACGTTGAAAGAAGAAGTAAACTTTATATGTAATAGTTCCAAGACCAACGCTGGTAATTTCAGGGGATTCAAGCATGCAGGCAAGCTCCCAGCCTCGATTCCCCATTTCTGTAAACATTGGCGTCCAATCACTTTTTGGTTTTGTTGAGCCAAGACCAATCTACATAAATGAAATGATATTTTACTGCTGGATGGCCACATCTCAGAAGTTGTTGAAACAGCTTCCACTAGAGATTTTCTGAGTGAGGTGAGTTTGACTGGTAGTGCATTACCTTGACTGTGTGTTTATATTCCACAATGGTTCCTTCCCAAACAGGTGCATTTATCCTCAGCTTGCTTGTTTCTTTTTCAAAAAACCAAATGGAATTGTGGTCTCCTGATAAACTAAGATCTATAAATAAAATTAGACATAAATTATAACAAATTTTCATTGAAAATGATGCCATTCTATACACAACGCATATTACCTCCATGACTTTTCTTGCTCTGGTCCCAAAAAATATCAATAAGTTTCCAACCTTGCTGTAAAGGTCCTGCAAAATGTTGCATCCAATCACACTCAACCTTCACAAGTTTTCCTGTTCCAAGATACATTATACGAACCGGGACATTCACGCATTGATAACTGTACAAGGTTGGTTTGGGATGTTTTGGGACATTGAACAGCAAGTCTACACCCATCACTAATAGAAACACAAAATATTACAATGTGAATATGAGAGAAGCAAGGTTGAGATGATATGAACATGTGAAGAGGGAGTGAGAGTCTGGTTAGAGACATGAAATGAGAAGATGAGAGAAGAAAGCCTGGAATAACACAATAATGAATTAGCACTCTACTTACAATCGCTCTTCCCAATTGCCATTCCAGATTGTTTTTGTCTTTCACCCGTGAACTCAATTCCAATCATTCTTCCACCTGTCGCAGCAAACTGTTTGATCTGTATTCATAAAGATGATAGGAAACATTGTTGAATATTGTGTCATTATGAGACATAGAAAGAAGAATAACTAACCATATTTGTAACTCCAGTAGTGTTGGCAACATTATGATCTTGTCTTCCAATGATACCAGAAACTAACTGTGTATGAATGAAACACTTTCCAATTTTTAGGTCCCATGTGTGAGCTACTGGGGCACTGAAATAAACCATTCAATCCTCAATTAATATTATAGTATTATAGTATTTTTTCAGCACAATTATGCTGGAGGAAAAGGTAGTCAAAAATGGATGAATTGAATGATCAGAGTAGGAGATCATTCTAGTTCTTCATTCCATAAAATATTAGTTTTATTAGCCTGATAGATAGCCGGGCATACAAGAATTTAATATGGTATAAAGAATTACTTTGCAATTGGCTTGATATAGACAAATTGAAAGGGTGAAGAAGAAGCGCTCCAACCAATTTTGCCGATACCAGGAACTTCATAAAACGTGTCCAACATCCAGCCATGAGCATAATGTCTGTAGATCTCACCATAAAACTTGGTGATGTCACTGTCCTGTTTTGCGCTCCCAGTTATATAACCCATTGTACCAGCTGTTGGGAAAATGAACTGAGGTTGACATGATAAATGAAGCCAAAGAGCATTCAATTGCATTTGGACTGTGTGCAAGGGTTAGGGTAGGCTCCAACGAAAAGCTTTAAAAAGTTCAAAATTCACTTACAATGGCCAACTCGAGTCACTTCAATATCCATCAGATAATAACAAAACCTAGTACCAGGATAGTAATATGTATCTAATGGTAGTTTACTGTGTGGTGCATTCTTCTCATCATAACTACTTGTTGACGCCCCTTCTGGTTTAGTCTCTGGCTTTTTCTCTGAGGATGTGTCATTTCCAGCAATGAAGTTACCAACTGTTTTTCTAAGAATTTTGAAAAATTAAGCTATATCTGGTAATCTTGCATGAGCTGTCTTGTACTGGAAAGTAAAAAATCATTCTGATATTTTGATATTGAAACTAGGAGGGCAGTATATTAACTAGGCAAAGTAGGCAGTCAATTGATAGCAATAAAAAATCCAGCCTTTTCACAGCTTCCACAAGAAGCCTTGTACTAGAAACCTCAACAATACGAACTCCAATAGTTAAACTTATGGTGTGTTGTGTGAACTATTCGTAAATATGGCACTGTTGACTATGGTAAACATCAAAACTGACAAAACAGAAATACAAACATATGTAACATCACTAACATACTTCTCGCTAAAATTTAGACTGGACTGGATAGAAATATGATTTACCTTAACGCATTGAAACTCATCTTGTCTTGATCTAATCAGTTTAGGAAACTGAAAAATTCAGGAATATTGTTGCTGAGTAATTTTCGTAGTTTTGTAATGTTTTATTTTTGTCCAGCTCGATCATCACAACTTGACATAACTCAGAAAGTAATTAGCATACTCGACGCAATTTATAATAGTGCAGCCCAACTCAATTTCTGCCTTTACAGAAAAGAAAATTTTAGCTGGCCTAAACTTTATGGGCTAGCTTTTGTAGGTTAGCTGTTAGGCTACATCTTCTCAGTGTGTTCTGGAAGAAAAAGGCTTCTTCAATGAAATATTTGGGTCACTTTTTGTTATGGTATCTTGTGACTTAAATATGCACTGTTTGGTGTATCTAGTTTAGCAGTATGTAAATTCTTGAAATGTAAACAATGTGAATATTGCGATACTCCTGAAGTATTCGTATTAAATTTCCGTCGTAAAATAATCGCAAAATTTAATTCTATCGTTTTATCGGTTATCTATGAAATATTTTAGTATTTTTTTTAAATTTTAGTGATTTCCTTCCTTCCTCGTATACTGTCGGAGTGTTATCGCGATCTGTCGCCGTTCAATGGCCACGCGTCAATAAACTTCTCAAATTCCACATTTTGCATGAAATTTGCTGGCATCAAATTGCTTTGATGCAAAGATGCTTTCAAATAAAATATTTATGACGAAGTCGTGTTTTCGCGTTTGAATTATTGACAAGAAGGACAAAAATGGAGACTTATAGCTTGGAAGAAGTCAGCAAACATAACTCAGAGGACAGCGCTTGGTTGGTAAATAATGGACGAGTTTTTGATGTAACTGAATTTCTAAGTCATCATCCTGGTGGCAGAAATGTTTTATTGCCAAAATTTGGCAAAGATGTCAGTGAAATAATGCAAGATCCCAGCGTGCATAAGCACTCTGCTGTTGCTTACAATATGATGAACAAATATCGCATTGGAAAATTGTCCAGTTCGAAGGTAAAAAAAATATAGAATACTCAATGTATTTTTATAATAATAACTTTAATACTCCGAATTCTTTATTTTATGATTCTACAAATACAACAACATTTGAATTAATAATATTTCAAATATTGACTGTACACCCTGATATACTATAAAAAGAAGAGGCGAAAATGAGATGATGTCTTGCCTAATTCTATAATTGACCCTTATGATATTGATGTTTGTAGTGTACTACAGTAATTTACAGTGTAGAGACATACGTTAAAATCTTTATTTTGATTTAGAATAATGTTCAGGATGAAGATGAAGAACTGAATATGGAAGGATATAAAGAAAATGTACGTTGAAAGAAGTTTTATTTGCAAGTTGGGCACATGACATCTGACTGAGGTCATTTAATACTTCATTGATGACTTCACTTCTTGTCATAAAAGTCAGTTGAAAAACGATAATTTTCTAATTAACTAGGCTGTTATTTGTTCATGGAAAAGATTGGGTTTCTTGGTTTTAATTATTGATAATGATGTCCAGTCTTGATGTAAACAAATAGTTTGTTTACATTTTGAACTGTCATATTTTTTATTTTAGTTTAATGAACTTTCTTTTTGCTATGGTTGCTTGAGCTAGAGTTTGTGTCCAGAAAAATTAGAAACATACAAAATTTAGGCAGTTTCCAAATCAGCAAACTGGATTATTTTCCAATATTATAGGAATTGGTGGACTGGAGTAAGCCAATGGTAGCCCAGGTTGGAAAGCTTGGATCTGAATACATGAAATGGGTTCACTCGCCTGTTAACCGTCCTCTGCGTTTGTTTGGTCCAGAGATTGTTGAGTTCTTCTCCAAGACACCATGGTACATTGTACCTATTGTTTGGCTACCAGTTGTTTTGTATCTATCCATTGTTGGTTTGATGCATTTATCTGATGATGTTGCAAGTGCTTTAACTAACATGTACTCCATATTTGTCATCTTCCTGTGTTTGTTTTTATTTGGAACTTTCTTGTGGACATTGGTGGAGTATATTCTGCACCGATATCTCTTCCATATCACTCCACCAGATGATTCACCGTTTTGGATAACGTTTCATTTTTTTATCCATGGACAACATCATAAGGTCAGTTTGATGAGTTTTTAAGTTTGTTTATGTGCATGGCTCTATTAAATTCAAATTGTCTTCTTTGTTGTCCAAATGAAACATCATCACAAATTGGCCAAAGAAGTGATGTACCCATAGAAAACTATGTTAAACCATTATCAACAATATTTTAGGTTCCATTTGACAGTGGACGACTGGTGTTTCCACCTGTTGCTGCTTCGGTATTCGCTGTAACATTTTACACCCTTTTTATTTCAACATTGCCGTATGGTATTGCAAATTCATTGTTTGCTGGTGGATTGCTTGGTTATGTTATGTACGACTGTATCCATTATTATTTACATCATGGATCACCAAATCATGGCAGTTATTTTCACAGCCTGAAAAGCTACCATGTTGCACACCATTTTGAAGATTCTAAGAAAGGTTTGTATTTTGCCTATTCTTTGCGCTATTCAACCCATGAGCTTGCAATTCACCAGGATGTAATATTTTTTACTTTGTCCAATGCCAGATGACTCTACTCTTCAGTGGAAGAGCACTTTCAGTTGATCAGTTAACAAAACTATCTGTCAATATGTCTTGTTAACCTTATGACTTGCAATGCACACAGATGTGCCTTACTCTAGTATTATACTCTGATTGATTGTGACTTTCTCACCTGGCTCTTACAACCATAAATAAATCTGGATTTTTTCTTTAAGGCTATGGCATATCTAGTAAACTTTGGGATTTTCCATTCAATACAACACCAATGAAATTTGAGTGAAGGACATTATATGACCTATTTAAAAAGTAAATTATTTTAATTTAAACTTCTATGAATGACAATAGATTAATAGTAAGTATATTCTATAACTATAGATTATATTATAATGTAGTTTTACAAGCACTGATTTTTTCTTATAAAAATCTTACTTGAAAAGACAGTGTGGGTAAATTAATTTGTACAAAGTACAATCTAATAAATGTAGCTGTGATAAATGAAGTAACCAAGATTTTATCTTAACTGTTCATAATTTGTTTATTATGTTTTGTATCTGCGAAACGCAGATATATTGTCATGGGAAACGTACCGTATGTTAACACATAACCATTCAGTGATGGGCTTATGTAATTAGCCAATCAGCGATTAGTTTATAACACGCTCACACCACAGCCTAAAGCAAGCAGAAAATCATGGTTTATTCAAAAATGAGAGCCAGCAACGAAGCTTGGATCTTCAATGCAGCAATCAATGAACTCAGGTTGTATATTAAAAGTGTTAGAGACTTTATGTTCGTGTTTTGTTTACAAATAAATGCGCTTGCTGACCATACATTACAATAAACTCGAAATTACCAAACAGTTCAGTTTTACATTTTACATAACAGTTCAGTTTTAAATTTACCAGACAGTTCAGTTTTAAATTTTACCAAACAGTTCAGTTTTCAATTTTACATATCTTATAGAATTTGTACTTCCATTGAAAACGCATAATTAGCATAATCACCGTAACGCCTTCGTGTATCCTACACAGCGGTGTTCCGAAAAGAACTAAAATTCTTTCACTTTTCCTTGTGAATTGCATCAGTTGTGTGTATATGCTGTGTTGTTTCGCTCGAATTTTCCCGTTTTCTCGATTACACAGACCGCAATTCTACTATTTCTGCAGTGTATTTTATTCAAACTGCCACAAAATGGATAGCAGTTTGTGTGGCAAGGATATTCGCAGGCAATTTATCGATTTCTTTGTTGAGAAGAAACGCCATACCTTCGTTCATTCATCTAGCGTGATACCACATGATGACCCTACCCTGCTGTTTGCGAACGCTGGCATGAATCAGGTGGGTTGATAGTTGTTTGAGAGTAGCTTCTATCAAGAATATTCGTTTCTTACTGCACCATGAAATAGTTCCTGAAATTTTGTACAATTTTCTTTTGTTTATACACAGAGGGGTTTGTTCATCTTTATTAATATTGTTAATAATGTTAATGATTAACACACATCATTTCACACTATCAGACCATCAGTTGTTTTATTTCAATATTTTTAATCACTGTTGCAGTATAAATCAATCTTCCTTGGCACAGTTGATCCAAACAGTGATTTCGCAAAATTGAAAAGAGCTGTAAATAGCCAGAAATGTATCCGAGCTGGTGGCAAACATAATGACCTTGAAGATGTGGGGAAGGATGTTTATCATCACACTTTCTTTGAAATGTTGGGAAACTGGTCATTTGGTGATTATTTCAAGGTATGTCATGGTTTAAAAAACAAATTCGAAAGCTGAATTCCAGGTGTTAAATTTTTGCTCTAGCAAAGTTCATTATTTCAATTATTTAGAAAGAGGCAATTGAGTGGTCAATTGAACTTCTGGTTGACCATTGGAAGTTGCCAAAAGATCGTCTTTATGCAACCTACTTTGGTGGATATAAAGATCTACCCCCAGATGAGGATGCCAAAAACTTTTGGTTAAGTGTTGGGTAGGTATTTGCAACTATAGATATTGCTAATAGATCACTGTTGATAGTATTCTACTATGGTGTTGTGTTAAAATTGTATCTTTTAACATGCTTCTTTTTCATTGTTTCATTTCAAGATTACCTCCTGAAAGAGTGCTTCCATTTGGGATGAAAGACAATTTCTGGGAAATGGGTGATGTTGGTCCTTGTGGACCATGCACTGAGATTCATTTTGATCGCATTGGGGGACGAGATGCTGCATCATTGGTCAACATGGATGATCCTGATGTCTTGGAAATTTGGAATCTGGTTTTTATCCAGTTCAATAGGTATGAGTCAAGTTTCTATGAAATTATTTATACTAGACACTTAATTGCTTCAACTTGTGTGAATTTTCAGGGAAACGGATGGATCATTAAAACCTTTACCAAGCCAACATGTTGACACAGGGATGGGGTTTGAGAGAGTTGTCTCAGTTATCCAAGGAAAAAGATCTAATTATGACACAGATATCTTTGCTCCAATATTTGATGCCATCAAAGAGGTATTTCCCAATTTTTTTCTTCATATATCCTAACATGATAGTAGTTTATAAAAGTGTCCATTAACAGTGTTCATAACTTGCATGACCAGCAAACATGTTTTTTAGGGAACAGATGTACGTCCTTACACTGGCAAGGTTGGTGAAGAAGATAAGGACAAGATTGATATGACCTACAGAGTAATTGCTGATCATATAAGAACTCTGACAATTGCAATTTCTGATGGAGGAAGGCCAGACAATACTGGTAGGGGGTAAGTACAGTACCTACAATTGGTGGTAGATGGTATCTGCCTCTTTGATATATTTAACCTCAGTTGCATGTGGAAAAATCAATTCCTGCAGTTAGACAAGTGGGGCTCAGTAGCACAATATATAAAATTTTTTTGTAGGTATGTATTGAGACGTATTCTTCGAAGAGCAGTTCGTTTTGTATCAGAAAAGTTACATGCACCTCCTGGTTTCCTTGCCTCGCTAGTTTCCGTTGTTGTTGAGACTTTGGTAAGAATTTATTTTGCCTCTTTTAGTACTTCATGTGATCTACTAGGAGCTAGAAACCTAGGTTGGATTTAATTAATGTTCCAATGCATCTAATATCATGTATTGTATGTATCTTACAAAGGGTGATGCATTTCCAGAGATTGCTAAGAATCCACAGCAGGTGAGTTGATAATAATGTTACAGCAAATAAGAGAATACAATGTTGGTAGAGATGAAATGCCATATCATCTGATTAAAGGTGGTGAAAATAATTAATGAAGAAGAACAACAGTTCTTAAAGACTCTGGCTCGAGGGAGACGATTGTTCAACAAAACTGCAGACAAACATCAAGAAGATAAAGTTATTCCTGGTCAGTTTTTCTGTTCTTTAGTTCATCAGGATTCTTGTTTGCCAGAGTTTCTAATGCAATTCAAACATAAACCAATGAATACCATGTTTAAGATATTTGTCTTTGATTACGCAGGTGACGTAGCTTGGCGTCTTTACGACACTTATGGCTTCCCTGTTGACCTAACACAATTAATGGCAGAAGAGCGAAATCTTTCTGTTGATATGAAAGCTTATGAAGAGAGCAGACTTAAAGCTCAGGTCTGCAACTATCATACAACAAGCATTTCATTCTTGGATATTCTCATCTTATCTGTTAAACATCCTTTTCTATCTTCCAGGAAATAGCTCGTGGCAAAACATCAACTGGTGAAGAAACAATCACCCTGGATATTCACTCAATAAATCATTTGCAAAATGTCATGAAACTTCCTCCAACGGAGGACTCTTTCAAATACAAATATACTTCAGATAATGATGGAAACTACAGTAAGCAACAAGTATTTAAAAGCATTTACCCAACAACTTAGCAGCAATCTAAACAACTTTCACACGTTCTTCTTTTCAACAGGTTTTGAATCCAGTTGTGGTGAAGTGAAGGCTTTACTTCTAAACAAGAATTTCGTGAATGAAGTTCCAGGTGGGGAGAAGTGTGGGATTGTTTTGGATAAAACAAGTTTTTATGCTGAGGCTGGTGGTCAGATTTACGATCAAGGATACATGACGAAAACTGATGATGAAGAAGTGGAATTTGCAGTCATGGATGTCCAGGTGCATGGAGGTTACGTACTTCATGTAGGGGCACTCGAAGGAACGCTAAAAGTTGGAGATACAGTGAAATGCTTTATTGATGAGGTAAATTATTCCTTCCAACGCTGTGCATCATCGCTGCCCCAGATTAATGTGCACTTCTCACTTACAGCCGAGAAGACGTCACAGTATGAACAATCACACGGCTACCCATGTTTTGAATTTTGCTCTAAGAAAAGTTCTTGGTGAGGCAGATCAGCGAGGCTCCTTGGTTGCCCCAGACAGGCTGCGCTTCGACTTCACAGCAAAGGTGGGTAACCAAAGTGTACTTCATTTCTCTTCACATTCTATAACTATTATCCCGTGACGTTTTCAGGGTTTCAGACGTTCTAATATTCATACTTTAGGGAGCCATGAACACCAAACAAATCAATGAATGTGAGAAGATTTGTAAGGATATTGTTGACAAGAAACTTGCAGTGTTCGCGTCAGAGTCAAGTCTTGCTGCTGCTAAAGATATCCAGGGATTAAGAGCAATATTTGATGAGGTACGTCGCTAGTTTCCAATCAAGGACACCATACTTTTATCTTGCTTGACTAAACCTTGTCTGTGTCTCAAATGTGTTTTCTAATTCCAGGTTTACCCGGACCCAGTTCGCGTCCTCACCATCGGAGCTTCTCTGAATGAACTTGTTGGTGATCCTCAGGCTGGTTACAAACATTCTGTTGAGTTCTGTGGTGGAACGTAAGTAGTTCTTCCTTCATCGAGCTCCACGTTTATAGAGTTATTAACTCTTCTGTGTCTCTCCAGGCATTTACAAAATACTGGTCACATGAAAGCATTCGCTCTCATCTCAGAAGAAGCCATTTCAAAAGGAATCCGAAGAATCGTTGCAATCACAGGACCAGACGCTGAGAGAGTGAGTGTCATTTCACAGCTCTCGTTTTTCGCAACTTTGTCGAGTACAATCTTCTGTATTTTTCTCTCATCAGGCAATAAATCGTGCAGGAGTTCTTCACCAACATGTTGAAAGTCTAAAAGCAAAGATTACTGAGAAGTTTAACTCAAAAACATTGAACCCTAAAGAAGCAATTCGTGAGATCACGGCATTGAGTGATGTAAGTTCTTGTGACTTGAGAAGAATGTTTTTACGACATTGCCATTATTCAATAAACATGTGTATATTTTGCAGGAAATTTCAAGTGCAATCATTCCATATTGTGAAAAAGATAACATGAGAAACGTTTTGAAGGATGTGAAAAAAATTGCTGACGATGCAGACCGAGCAATGAAAGCAGCGATGACTGAGGCCGTAAGTCTGGCAACTGAACTCATCATGTTCACTGGAGTATTGCGATACGGGGCAGTCCAGCGAAATGATTTGCTATAGACAATCGCAGTGAAATCTCTGAAATAATCTTTCTGCTTTCTTCCAGGCTCTCGAGAAAACAAAGACACTTTTGGAGAACAAAGGTGGAAAGATTATCATCGAGACTCTTCATGCTGCTGCAAACGCTAAAGTAAGTTTTCTTAAGAGATGATCTTTGATATTGGACCTTTAGGAAGAACAGTTTAGAACTGATTGAGCTATAATCAAGTTTGTTTGATCTCATCCACGATTTAGATCTTAGACAGTTGTCTACAACATATAAAGAAGAGCTCCACACAGACGGCAGCAATGTTCTTCAGTGTTGATAAGGATCAGAAAAAGATTATTTGCATGTGCCAAGTGCCAAAGGTATTATGATATTTCAATGATGTTTCTACCCTCAGCTTACGCCCGAGAAAAATTGACAGGAAGCACATCTGGGTAAAAGATATCCTGTCTACAAAGATAAAGCGATTGTCTGTCGAAATTATTCAAATATCTTTATACTATCTTTTTAATCCAGGAACTTATTGATCAGGGATTGAAAGCGAACGAATGGGTTGACTCCGTTTCATCGTTGCTTGGAGGAAAAGGTGGTGGGAAAGAAATGTCCGCACAAGCGTCAGGTCCACATTACGAGTGCTTGAAAGATGCGTTGCAGCTTGCTGGAGAGTTTGCTAAGCTTAAAATAAGCAAGTAAACGAACGTTGGTGTAGGCTAAGATTAGAAAATTTAAGACTGTAAACTTCAAAAAAATTGATGTAATATTTAGTGTTCAAGTACCATGTTGAAACAATGAAATATTTAGGCCAACGAAAATGTTGTAAAATGAACCTTAAAAACTTAGTATTATTCAAGACTAGTTGGTCTTTTCTTTCGTTTTGAAGTATGATTAGCTTGGAGCTGACGAACCATTATTCTGGAAAGTGCATAAGAAAATCGACCAAAGTGGAGGCAGACGAATTAGATTTGGGTATGATTAGGATTGAATACGAATTGAGGATTTAGGATTATAATTAATCTAATCGGGTATTAAATTGGCTTCCCCCTTTCCCGCCATTTTTTGCCATCCTGCGATTTGATTGGTTATCGGGAAAACCCTTTCTTCTATTGTTGATATTACCAAAGAAGATGGCGGGAGCGAACGACTCAAATAAGTCGGAGATAAAGCAACGATTTGATGATGTTTGCCATGAACTTAACATGGATGAAGCTACGGCAGTGTCTGCCTGGGAAACGTATGAAAGGATTGAACGAAATTATACGCTAGAGGTGGGTTGAATTTCATTGACTTTATTTCGCGGCAAATTTTTTAAGGAGTAAATATTCGAATTAATACATTGGTAAATTTCGTCCGTCGTTCATTAGAGTAATGTTTTAATCCCAGGGGGGAATTGATGTAAATAAATAAAAATAATATTCTGATTGATGGTCTAGGGAGATGGTTTACACTGGCTTGCTTGTGGACTGTATTTATCTGGTCGAAAAATGGTTGTACCGACTGCAGACGAAAGCGCTGTAGTTCGGGGGAATTGCGTCTCGCTCACTAGACTTCTCCGGGCTACGAAATTGAGGTAAATTATCTACTTCGAAATTATATTTCAGAGTTCAAAAATACATTCTCTATTGCACACAGTACCCACTGTTTTGCAAGTTTCTATTAATCCTTTCGTGAGTTAACAGTCCTTTCGTGACTTGTTTAGTGTTTACCGTCCTCGGCAAATCTATGTCAAATCGCATAACCAGCGACATCGGCCCGTCCATAAACAATAATTGTTTTTCATTTTTATATTACAGTTTGATCCAGTTTTTCCAAAAGATGAAGAAGTGGCTGGATATGACAAACTCGGAGGATTTTAGAAAGAAGATCGAACGGTTGAATCGAAATTTTGCCGTGGTTTCTGTCATATTTAAAAAATATGACAACATATTCTTCCAAATTTTTAAACCACCTGTGCCAGTGGAGACAACGAAAACTCATCGGTCTCGTAAACCACGGTGAGTTAAAGCTGGTGAAACTACTTTGAAATAGTGAATACTGCAGTGTATGAAACATTTCAATCGTCATTCTTGCCTTGGTTATGGAGTAAGAGGGTAGATGTTTATTAGGTTGCATCTTGATATTGCATGTGATGGTAAAGATACATCCATTGTAATATTTTAATACCAAAATGATGGTAATAAAACTTCGCATTTCTTTACAGGAAAGTCCCGTGTACTGTTTTAGAGATTTATAAGTTCTGTTGGACACTTTTTGTGCTTGCAAAAGGTAAGTTAAAATTTAAATGTCCCAAGGTTACACGTGCTATGGTTACAACTTGTACTGTATAAAATAATTCATTCTGTGAAGAAAAAACGATATATTTGTAACAACTTGAATGCACATTGAAAGGAAATATTTATTGGTGTGACTGAATATCATGAACATTTGCTGGTATATGGCATGAAGAGATTCAAGAAAGAGTTTTCTAGTTTGTATTCAAGGGTCATTCCCTCTGCAGACAGACAGACGCGCTCTCAAGCAGTAATTTAAAGAATGTCTGTGCAGTTTCACAGAGGCAAGGCTGTAGTAAATATACAAATGTCAACTTATTCCAATAACATCTGTCCTTTTTTTGAAGAAATATTGCTAAGTTGTATTATATTCCCATAGTTTCTGTGTACATATTGAATTTCAGAACAATGTATGGAACAATGTCAGTTGCTGTAATCTGATCTTTCAACTATTATCATTTAACTATTGTATGATAGTTGTTAGTCTACCAGCAGTAACACATCATTGAGAAACATTACCCTTTATTTTACATTCGTATATACAAATATCTACATCAGTCATGCATTTACTAGCAAATTAATTGAAATATATTTCAATTTTTGAAAATAACGATTACCATATGGTTTGCATACAGTGGTCACATCAGACAATGGTTACGCCCACTCAAGCAGTATATTCGTGCCAGATCATGCCTGGCTCTAAATTGATATGATTGGCTGATTTATAATCAGTGTACATATTAATTAGGATTAACATTATTGGCTTAAGACATGTTTTTATAAAGAAATTTGATTAATTTGATTTGCATGCAAAGTGTTAAATTACCATATAAGGAAGTTTATATATTAGTTTGAACAGAGATGACAGAAAGCTTAGCTAGTGACCTTGGAAAAAACCTCACCCAATACTCTACATCAGACATCGATAATTAAAAGGTTGATTACTCTTTTCAGGTAATTTTCCAGCCATAAGTGATGACTTGGTTAACTCCTATCATCTCCTTCTGTCATGTCTTGATTTGTTTTATGGAAATGCCATTTCAACACGACACACTAAAGACATGGTTAAACCAGAGTTCATGGAAGGTAGCAACAATCAAAAGTTTTATTGCATTATTAAAGAAAAGATGATGAGTTTGTAATAAAAAAAATCATTATTTTCTGTATAGCTGTGCTCAATTATACAATTCAAAAGGAGTCAAAAGTTGCTACAAATGTTTCTTGTATTGTGGGTTATTTATGTGATAGTTATGATGGTAAGTAAATGAGTTAATTTCCAAGAATTATTTGCTTTAAAATTCTCTGTGTTACAAGCTGAGTATTCACCTTTTCTTTGAAGGTTTGCCCATTGAAGCCAAGCAAATCAGAGAACATCATTGGAAACCCTACATTGAAAAACTGTTCAAAAGAAAGGTACTTGATGGACGAACTGTAATTTCAAAGTGACATAATTGGTATTTATGGTCAATTACTTTTTCTTTTAATAGACTTTAAAAGGTGTGGAAAGGACCTTTGCAGGTTTACTGGAGCTGAACAACTTTGAAGCAAATGGGTGAGGTTTTTTCTGCAGTTATCCAGCCAATTTAGAGTATAAGGGGATTCCCCTGATTTTCTCTGATAGTTTAAAGGGTGACTTTAAACGTTGTCTCTCGATCATCTTCCAACACCCTTCATGCAGTAAGATACCTCTGCTGCAGCTGAATTAATTTTTGGTACTTTTCTACCCTAGAAAAAGTGTTTCTAATGAGTATGAGGAATATGTTCTGTCATCTGGAGATTTTGATGAACGAGTCTTTCTTTCCGAGAATGCTGACGACGAGATTGGGACGCCTCGTAAAATCAACCAATCAGAAATTGATAGAAGAAACGTGGAAGAGTATTTAACAAAGGTATTGTGGATAACAAAATTCATAAATAGCATTTTCATGGGTCGAGATTCACGTACGCTGAATCAAGGTATTTTTGTACTTAGACGAGAAGTTTGGCTCCTCAAACACCACTTACTGGACGACGTTATCTCAAAGACAAAGATCCAAAGTATGGTATTTTAACTACCTTAATAAAACAATTGCTTTATGTAGTGTCTTGTGGTATAAGCAAACGTCTTCTCTTCTTTAGTGTGACTCCTGTCTCGACGGCTACACAATCTGTCAGCCGTCTTCAGTCGTTACTAGCAAGATGTAAGCCAGTCCCAAGTGAAGGGCTTTTAGCCATTTTCAAGTAAGTAGTTTTTTCTCGCGTTTTTTGCCATGACCTGAACTAATGGATTGTGGTTTTGTTTCAGTGAGTGCAAAACTAACCCGCAAGCAGGAAATTGAAAATCGTGTGAATGAGTTGGGCGAACAATTCAGTCTTAAATATACCCAGGTACTGCATAGCTTTGAAAACATAATGGTTATCACTATTGCTGGTTATTAAAGTATGATCACTACAGAGATAGTGGAAGTTTTATTGCCCTCGGTATGAACGTGGTTGTTGCTTGTTTGTAGCCGTCCAGTGTTCGACCAGATTCACCTAGTTCGACTAAAGAATTTGCAGATAATCGTTGGAAATTGGCAGCCACGTTATATTACAAGGTGACCTATGAGATAGACGTTGTCGTTAGGCTGACTCTCAGAGCTCAATTGCGTTGTGTTTCAAGGTTTAATTTTGTTTAATACTCGTTCAATGTTTGTATTCAGGCATTGGAGTCCATTGCTCGCTCAGAGAAAAAGCGTCTTCAAACACAGTTAGATTTAACGGTAAGGTTTTTACAAAACGGTTTTCTTGAATCTTCCGCTGGGGATTGTAGAAGAGTTAATTTAGTCTAAAGTTATATTTCGTGAATCCATTGAACAGACGTTACTAGCACAAGACGTGTTTCACCGCTCGCTGGTTGCATGCTGTCTTGAAATTGTCATATTTTCTTACAACTCGCAAAGGTGAGGGATTAAAGCTTACAGCAAACTAACCTGGTCAATGTTACTTCTGTATTTCTTAATTTACTTGTCAACAATTTAATTCACTATTTTTCGTCTGCTACAGAACATTTCCCTGGATCCTGGAAGTTTATGAGTTGAGTCCATATTTCTTTTACAAGGTAAGAATTATCCGAAAGTTGAATAGTTTTTTTCCAAGAATGTTCAAGGTGCAAATCTCTTTTTATTTAGGTGATTGAGGTGTTAATCAGGGCTGAAGATGGTTTGTCTAGAGATGTTGTCAAACATTTGAATTATGTAAGAAGATATTTCGTTTTATAGTTAGCATTTCCTAATTTCTCTCGTTTTCTGGATAATGATGAAATGATGGAATGTAGTTTTTACCAGACTTCCTCCTGTGGTAACATTAGATCAATGAATAATTTTTATTTTAAGATTGAAGAACAGATATTGGAGACGATGGCTTGGCAAAGTGATTCACCACTCTGGGCGGCTATCAATACCTTACATCAAGTACCGTCATGTGAGGACGTCACAATCCCACAAAATATAGAACATGTAGCCTCCCTAAGGTCTCCTATCATTCATCCAAGAGTCGAGAGAATATCTGGAGAGGAGTCGTTAAAAAGAGGTCTGAGTCTTTACGAAACAACACTCATTATTTTCGTTAGACTGCCATGTCTCATCCATGATTCATTTCCCAGGTGTTCCTAGTTCCCCTGCGGTCTCTGCGCACGACCGTTTCTCGTCTCCAGTTCACCCAGGTAGAGCATGTCGCAATCTCTTCTCAGGAGGTTCTGGGACGTCTGCAATGACCGCTGTACCAGCTTCGCTGAACACTTCGTCCTCGTCAACAAATCAAGCATCGGCTGAAAAACAAGGTAATGATGAAAAAATTGCGCGTTCAAGACACTATCATGTTGTTGAATGAATTTCCTCTTATAGAGATTCCGCGTGTGCCAGCCAGCCTTCCAATTAACACGGCTGATAAATCAACCAATGGTAATCCAGCACGCTCCCCTCTCCCCAGTCCTGTAAAGCTGACGTCAGCCCCCGCAACTCCGGACAAAGAAGCGATGTTAAGACCGAAGAAAACTGGGTCAATTGCGCTGTTCTTTAGAAAAGTTTGTAGTTTTCCTTCTTTTTTGTTAGCCATGATTCGCTGGTCATTGTTTTACTTCAAGAGTGACGGAAGGAATAACATTATTGGGTTTTTAATTTCTAGGTGTATCACTTAGCCAGTGTTCGTCTTCGAGATCTTTGTCTCAAATTAAACATCAAGGATGATTTACGTGGAAAGTAAGTTTAGACGAGATCAGGCGGAATGGGAAAAAACAGTTACTTTTCTAAAAATTGTTTTTATTTTAGGATCTGGACGTGTTTTGAACATTCTTTGATGAGCTCAACAGAGTTGATGAAGGATCGACATTTGGATCAGATTCTTATGTGTTCCATATATGTCATGGGAAAGGTCAGTAATATTTCCTGGAAATGAGTGAATGTCTGGTTTCTTTATAATGTACATTACCTTGGTTTAACTGACAGAACTATACGTGCCTTCAAGTTGTGAAGAGCTGGGAAATATTTTGCGAGATTTATCAAACATTTTGTTCTGCTTTAGGTTGCAAACAGTGAAATAAAATTTCAAGATATTATGAGACATTATCGCACTCAACCCCAGGCAGCAAGTCATGTAAGATGATTTACACTTCATGTTCAATATCGTCCTGGAATTAAACAACGTTACAAGCTCCTAGCGGAACTGGTTGATAAGATTCATGTGTTTTTTTTCACTAGGTGTATCGTAACGTTCTTCTTAAAGCGAAGAAAACAAAATCTGGAAGTACGAGCAGCAATGAGAGCGTCAAAGGTTGGTGACTCGAAGAAATAAAGATTGACGACTGAAGATTTTTTACATCACGACATTCATTGGTATTTCTTTTTAGTCAAAAGTGAACCAAACAGCGCTCGTGCCAGTCCTACTCTTAACATTGTCAGTAGTGCTCCATCAAGCCGCAGTACCAGTCCACAAATGCGCAGTGCCAGTGCTATCCCATCAACACCCCCTCCGTCTCATATGACCCCTGTTGGGATGTCACAATCCAGTCCCAATGAGAACGACCGCGGGGATTTGATTGAGTTTTATAACAAGGTTGGTAGCTACTGTCAACCAGTTTAGTATGAGATATCGTTAGTTTGAAAATTTCTAACTTGAACTACATTTATTTCCAAAGGTTTACATCAAACGAATTCAGAAATTTGCCCGCAAGTTCTCTTCTAATGATAATACTGTGAGTACTTTGTTATATTCTCATATCAAATGTGTATCCATCCATGCTGTCAATGTCAGTCAGTGGCATTAATTAAAAGGAATATTCTTCAACATTTCTCCACAATTTTCAGCTTGATGCTCCACCACTTTCACCGTTGCCAGTCGCGAGGCATCAGCCTCATTCTCCACGCAGGGTTTGTATTTTATTCACGTATTGTCGCCATTACGTTTGCAGAAATTATTTGACAATACAGACGATTTCACTTCTTTTATTATCTTTAGCGAGTTACCTCGGGTCAACCTGTGTACATATCGCCGCGTAAGAACGGTAAGAATTCCTCGATATTGATGATTTTATTGGAGAATAGTTGGACAGAATATTTCAATGAAATACATTGCATTTTAGGCATACCATTGACATGCAATTCGCCTCGAATATCATACAGTTTTAAAGAAAGTCCCTCGGAGGTAAGAAACTTCCAAGAAGGATCAATAAACACGATCCTTTCTGATAGAGAGTCATGCATATATCTAGTTTGAATTAGGGATATATCCCTAATAGTTTAGTTTAGGTTTCTTCCTGTAGTAACACTGGATCAATAAGAGATGATCCTTACTGGATCTCTAGGAAGAACAGTTTATAACTGATAGAGCTATCTAGTATAAATAAAGTTAGTTTAGTTTAGCTTTCCTCCTGTAGTAACGCTGGATCAATAAGAGATGATCCTTACTGGATCTCTAGGAAGAACAGTTTATAACTGATAGAGCTATCTAATATAAATGAAGTTAGTTTAGTTTAGGTTTCCTCCTGTAGTAACGCTGGATCAATAAGAGATGATCCTTACTGGATCTCTAGGAAGAACGGTTTATAACTGATAGAGCTATCTAGTATAAATAAAGTTAGTTTAGTTTAGGTTTCCTCCTGTAGTAACACTGCATCAATAAGAGATGATCCTTACTGCATGGACCTTTAGGAAGAACAGCTTAGAAATTATGTAAGTTCTGCAAGTTTAATTTCACTTTTTTTTCCAGAACTTACAAAATATTAACGCATTGTTGAGCAGTTGCAATGGTAACTCGCGAAAACGGTTGCTATGCGACAACGACGATGACGACGATTATGAAAAATCAGCAAAACAAAGTGCAACTAATGGTTTTATGGCACGAAAATTACAGGATATGTTGGCTGAACGAGAAACTCCCGCCAAGAGATGAAGATGAGCCCGGTATGATTTTGCAGGACCGAAAATTAATTTGAAGTTAATAACTTTAACTTTTTAATAGTGGGAAAAATAAGATGAAATGACTCTGGTTCAAGATAAAACAAAGAGAGATAGTACATAAAGTAACGATAAAATCGTTGTGTTTTAACATAGCGTAATGTTTTAGTTGAACGCACTGGTAGAATTTTATGTAATTCCTGCATGTAGTGATTAATTTATATGAACAAATATTTAGCAGATCTGTGGTGTTTTCAGCGTGTACGCCGTACGAAGTGATTTTGATATTTATTGGATTAATTTTCCTATTACATTTCCTATAGCTCATCGCCACAATATTTCCCATAATCATTTAGTGATTTACCGCTGTTCTCATAAAAGTTCACCTTAAGGTTCTTTTTCTTAGAAAACCTTGCTATGTTTTCTATATTTCTCGTAAAGATTCGTGACGATTGTGAGAGTGTCCCCTTGGGGATGTTCGGGGTAACTATTGTTATCAGTGTTCCACTGTGTTTCCGCTGTGAGTATGGCTTGGTTATATGACGTCTTGTTAAACGGTTTGCCTGAATCAAGGGATTGTGTCATGAAATCAACAAAGATGGACCAGCGAGTGTGATAGAGACTGCTTAACAAACCACTCCACATCTTATTTGCATAGTCCTCGATATTTTCATGTGGACCCCATGTGGTGATTTGGTTCCGGGCGTTGAACTCGAGTAGTTTTTCACCGGCTGAGGTTGTTGCCAACCGTTTTGCCGCATTCAGCCATCTGCCAAGTAGGAAGTATTCGTTGGTCTTGAGGACAAGATCCATGTTATTTATCAGCAGCAATATGTTTTCAGCAGCCTTATTGAAGTTTTCGCGATTTTTTGCTTGATAAGATACAATGAGGTCTTTGTAATATGAGATTGAAATGACTTGAAGTGCCTGTCTTGTCAAGTCCACAAGATCGTACCTTAAATATTTAATATCATACAAAGAAATTCAGTCATCTTACAACGAGTTATTCTTCCTCGCTCCAGCGACATTAACCTGAGAAACATCTTACCTGAATGTTGAAGAATCGTTAAGATCTTTTGCTGCTTCAACCATATTGTCCCAGGATTCTAATACAAGATCTGGCTCGTACCAAATGTCGGGCTTGAGGTTAAAGTCAGGCTTATTGACAGGCACAGCCCGACAGTGGCTGCCAGCACCTTGGCTGTCTTCATAAACACTCTTCCGCAGATTCTAAATGGAGCAAAATGAAGACAAAGGGTCAGAACCTATGGAAGAAATTCGTTAGTCGGTTAGGACTATTCTCTTGTACTCCTTACCTCCCACGCGGAATCTGCATCGTCATTCTGCGCTCCGTAACGTCGTGTAGCGTAACCTTTGAGCCATTCCTGTGCTTCCACTTGCTCATCTCGCCATCCCATTTCTAACATGAGCTCATACACCACGTAATTCGTCTCAATCCCTTCTGGAGTGATACCAATTCCTACCATGGTATTGTTAGCAGCGAGTGCTTTCACTGGTTCTATGAAATATGGAAGCTTGTAAATACCAGTTTAATACAAGCACCTTTTTATAGCTACGAAAGAATATATGGGTTTCCTTCTTTCTGGAAACATGGCATGTTGGAAGTGAGTTGTGTTGTATTTACCAGTGGCGATATTCTGTAGAGTACCATGCATCCCAATATTACCACCAAAGTTGTTTAGCATACACCAGATAAATGGCTGACCATAGAATGATTTCGTCTCTCCCCAAACTGGAAAAATCTCTGCGTACAAATCCAATACGATCATTTTCCCCTGTGGCACTCCTGCATGACACCGTACAAAAGTCGAATGAGTAGAGTACCTTGATTAGAGTATATTGTATTACATATTACACAGTTCATTGAACACCTAAGATGAACCTTACCTTGCAGATACGCCTTGACTTGTGCGGGTTGCCAAAACGCAGGATCGCTGAAGAATAACCATCCTTGCATTAACCAAATGCCTTTTTCATCAGCACTTGTTATTGCGTCATACACAGCCTTGCTCGCTTGAGCGAGATAACTTGTAGACGATGTCTTTGGTTGCATTTCATTGAATGTGTCTCCATTGTAGACATGATCTGTGCCATTGTATTCTGATATCTGTTCTTCAATAAATGCCTTGCCAATGCTCTAAAATTTGTATGTCATATCTGACTCCATTATTCCAAACTTAACCATCTTTTCTTTTACAGTTTTACTGCGAAGGCGTGTGCGTTATTAAGAAATTATTTACCCACCTGAAACAGTGGATCTGCAGGATCCAGGAGATACGTAGGTACGTACGGTGAACTAAAGTGACCCCAATGGCTTAAGGTGGATATAGATGCATTAGGGAAGACCCGCGTCAGAGCTTTAGGTATATGACCTGCAAATGCTGGTAGAACAGGTGTCATACCAAAACTTCGCATGCGCTTCAATATCTGGTTTTGTAAAGCCAGCTGGTCTTGATACCAGGAGGGATTGGGTAGTGGTCCACCCCAGCCATCAACGTTGCCCATACGTGACCTGTAACAGTTGAATTATTCGGTTCAAAGCTATCCATTCTAGTGAGTATTCTATGGTAAGGTGCCGCTCCCTCAAAAAAGTGCGAGAGTGTCCGTTAAAGAGAATAACCCTTGTAATAACGCACCATGCAAGGAAAGCAGCTCCTCCAAAATGTTCGTCTAATTCTTTCTGGGTGAGTCCAAGTTTAAGATACACTCTTTGCCAGATTGCCTCTTGCGCTGTGAACGCCAGTGGCAAATTAATACCATTCATGACCATCCAGTCTATTTCCTGTTCCCAACGCGTCCAGTTCCACCAAACGAATGAATAACTGGATGTACAGACGTTTTGGTAATATCTGAATCTGTTAAAATCAGAATAAATCTTAGCATAACCAAGTAAACTCGATTAATAAGAGGAAAGGGGGTCGCAGGCACCGGTGGAGTTCAAATCTTCAGAAACGTACCTATTAGGAACTATGAATTTTGACTTGGGTACAACCGGAAGTGGTTTTGGTATAGTTTTCAATTGATTTCCACTCCAAGAGATGTGCGCTTTGCAATAATATTTTAAATAATGATGAAATGCCCAGGCAGCAGCCACACCTGTGGTACCGCTCAATACCAACTCATCACCAACCGTTTGATACATAAAAACATCGCCAGTTGTGCTTAGGTCTGGGTCCACGATTACGCTGAATTCAGACGCTCTGCCAGGAAGCAACCGTGAAATAAGGTTTCTCACTGCTAACTCCTGGTCTTTGGCAGGTGTCTTAGACTTGATGTGTTCAAAATTTTGCCATTTTAAAGCTGTACAGTAAGCTGTGAGAATAATGAAGCAGATCCAATATAGTGCAATCTTCATGTTTGGATTTCGGAGTCGCACTAACGCAATTAGTTATCATTAATTGCGAAATACCTCAAGCTCTGGCGATACTGCCAAAATTCAATCTTTCAAAATACGTCCACGTCATTTAGGTCCAGTTGCGCGGGTTCTTGGTCCCTTTGATAGATCTGGGGGTCGTAGTGCATCTCCCACATAGAGGAGCAAGTGGACAAGGAACTTGGACAAGGTTCTTTTTTTTCATTTAGGAAACATATTTTGTCTTTTAGTCTTTATTTTTCATTTCAGTGTTGTTCTTTTTCTTCTCGCCCCGGTTCGTGCGCGGTCAAATTCAAGATGGCGAATGTGCGAACATTTCAGATTCACTTTCTGGTCAACTGCCCATTGTGAAAATCTAAGATTTAGTTTAAAAAATGTTTATAACGATTTTAAAGTGATGTCCTCTAGAGCTCTAAGGAAATTAAAAGGTTGGTTTTCTGCTGATTTAAAATACACCAACTGTTTGTTTCAAATGTTTATCTGTAGGGTCATTGTAGACGTGTAGTCTTATAATTTTCATTCATTTCAATCATTTGTGATTTTTAAAATGCTCGAAAGGCCAAGATGAACTGGAAATTGCTGCGAAGAACTTGAAGATGACGATTTACTAGTGAATTCACGAAGTTCTCACAAGAGGAACAAGAATTTGCCTGAAAATAAAAGAAGTAATGCATTTGATGTGGTATGTGAAAAAAAAATTGTGAATCAGCTTGGTATAAATATATACAATGGGCTCTACTTAATTTATAATCATAAGTCAGGATGTGTGTTTAACAGACTAGTAGCTGGTATATTGTATTGCTTTGTTGTGTAGTTAGTCAATGGTGATGATGACTGTGTGATCTCATCTGAAGATGAAGAAAACATTGTGAAGGATGATCAGAAAGAAAGTGAAGCTAGTAAACACTTAGAGGTGACCTTTAATAGAGAATATTATTTTCATTGTAAACCACAAGTATAGACCATAGAGAGTATAGGTGGAAATACAGTTGAATATTGTGTTCTTCAGGCAAGTGGTTCAAGTGAGAAAGCAAGAAGTAAAAGTAAAAAGAAAGGAAAAAAGAAAAAGAAACAACGCCAACATGATGATCCCAAGCTTCAAAAAGATGTGAGTATGCAGGAGTTTAACCTTTCCTTGTAAACATATTTAAAACATTTTATTTTGTTTTAATCAAGGAAGATGATGATCTTCTTTTGTTGGAAACTGAAGCTGCATCAAATTCTACAGGTTTGGACAGTTAGCTAGTCATTTACCTCATTTAATTGGTAACAAACTTTGGAGCCTTATGCTCTAAAAGATACAACTCTAGATACAACAGTTACCAAAAATACCTTAATTTTATTCTTCCTCATTTTTATTGCCAGGTTCAACATCTGTCAGTCATGATGTGATGAACACAAAACCACTGCTTATGATAGAAAACAGGTGCCATATATAGATTTGAAACAAATGTGTTTAGTAAATTTCCAAATTTCTGTTTAACGACTGCATTTTCTTATAGAAATCTAAATGCTGAAAATGAATTATGCCGAAGATTTGGCTCCCGGATCGTGCGAGGAGATAGAGGGTTGGTGTTTTGAGGTTCTCACCTGTAGGTGTTCCAAGTGGTATTACTCACATTTACTACTTGGTTTGACATCTTGTACTTTATATTATAGGCGGGCTAACCATCGTAGAACACAACGTGCAGCATGGTTAGTATTGTACACTTTTATTTTCTTAGCATGTAAATATCTTGATTTAATGTAGAGTGAACTCAGATGAAAACTTTTTTAGGTTGATTCATCCTCGTGACAACTGGCCAAAAGTTGGGAAATCGGGAATTCAGATGAAATTATTACAAAGTAAAGATGGGTAGGTATAAAAACCAGCCAATGCTGAATATTTTCGAAACATCATGATAATTTTTTTGTGTGTTTATATTTAGGTATACATATTTTACATTTGAACACAGTCCAGCTTACCAGGCTATTCAATTTAAATTCTTGGATGCTGTGGAGTCAATGGATCCAAATAATATTTCAGTAAGCTAAAGATTGTTATGCTGCTGCCTTCATTTACCACTAAAATATCTTCGCTTTTATAATGTCTCATCTGCGTCTACAACATCTAGGGTATTCTGAGCCTCTATGGTTATCACATTGATTCATTGCTACAGTTAAGTGAAGTTTGCAAGATGGCTGAAGATACTCAAATGGCAGCTGAACTTGTTGGTTAGTGACTTTACCTACTAAAATTCTGATTTAACATTTCAAAATTGTTACTTCGTATACCAAAATTGGTACTTTCAAAATTGTACAATTTAGAGCGAGCACTCTACTGCTTTGAATGCAGTTTTCACCCCTTGTTTAATGTGACTCAAGGAAAATCTAGAATCGAATATAGAAATGCAGAAAACAGGTCAGTTTGTCTACAGTTAAATTTAAAATAAGTTGCACAAACTAAAATTTTCTTGCTTCTTTATAGACCTTTCTTTTTGGCTTTATTTCATCATCTCAAGTTTGTTGGTCAAAAAGGTGTGTTCTTTTGTTGTTTAAAAGGGATGCTGTAGACAATGTTAGTTAAGGAGATGGAATATGAAAGAAATATGAAAATATTGGGTTAATAATAATTCATTTTGATCAATTAGGCTGCTACAGAACTGCTCTGGAGTTATGCAAACTAATCTTAAGGTAGATGTTTAATTTTGCATAATGCTAAAATAGTTTTATTATTGTACTTATGAAATCATATCCTCTCCCCAGTCTCTCTCCTGATGAAGATCCTCTCTGTGTTCTCCTCATGATTGACTTCTATGCATTGCATTCTGGGGAATATGATTTTCTGATCAGACTTTATGATGAATGGGAGGTAGGAAGCATCTTATGGCACTTGCTGAAATTTGCATCAAAAATTACACATTGAAAGAAATGTGGTTTATGTAATCTATTTGTTTTACCAATTCTCTAAATTTCCTTTCTCAGGCTCACAAAAACTTATCCCAGCTTCCTAATTTTGCTTTCTCCATTGCCTTGGCTCATTTCCATCGTTCAAAAGCCACTAATTCTGTTGAAACGGCCGATGATTTGGTACGAATATTCATTAAATTTGTTTTTTGTTCACCACGATGATACTAACTACATGTATTTGTTTATCATTTAGATCCAGAAAGCTCTGATCAATTTTCCTTCGGTAAGCTTGATCTCGTCTTGTGTGAGTGTTTAGGAAATAGAAGTTTCCGTATTAAGAATTCAACCTAATCCTGGATTAATCAAACTTTGCTATTTTCCTGCATATTCCAGGCGCTGGTGGCTTTGTTGGATAAATGTGCGATTGCATTTGATTCAAGAATGACATCGCATTCATTCTTTGCAACGACTTCACACGCAAACGAATCAATTGGACTGAAACAACTGATTTCTTTATTTGTTGGACGAACGTATTCCGAATGGAAAGATCCTGAGGTGGGTAAGAATATTAAACAATCATTTGTGGCAATATTTGACATGTCCATGATTCGTCTTCCTGCAGGTTGTTGATTGGTTAGCGAAGAACGTTGGTAAAGTTCTAGAAAGGGTGAACAAGAATGATTCATACGTAAATGAGTGTGAAAAGAAGTAAGTTGAACTACATTGACTCTTAGCTTCTTTCTGAAATAAAAATAATCGTCTTTTCTTTTTCCAGCCGTAAAATTCGCTATCAAGGAACACCGAGAAATATTTACAGACATATCATTTTATCAGGTGAAAATCAGCGATAGAACATGTTATTTTGAGTGTTGTCTTCCTGACCATTGCATGAACAACACACTCTGTCCATCTTCCTTTTTCAGTAAACTTTATAAATGTTTATTGTAGACATAAAGGAGGCTTCCACGTCGCTTCCTATGGTATGTCACTTTCACTTTGGCTTTTCTTTGTTGTGTCAGGTGTTTAAGAGGATAATAAAATATCTTCTCGTTGCAAAGGAATTGACAGTTTCTCCAGTGATGTCGTATGATCCACTACCTCCTGCAGATTCTGTGGCTGGCTATTCAAGACCTGGAAGGTAGAACAAACTGTTTTATTGAGAAATTCTATACTTAATGAGTACGCTGCATAATAGCTCTTCCAGTGCAAAATATATTTACGACAAAGCGCTATAAAGGCTGTTCTGGCGGAGAACTAGTTTTTGAAGACTAGACATTTTGAAAAAAACGAGAATAGAAGAGCTCCTCCAGGAGTGACGAGCCGATAATATCATAATGAAACAACATCATATGCTAGAACCAACCCTCTCTCTAAGAGCGATGCTAAGTTAAACATGAACGTAAATTCAAAGCAGTTTATTTTTTTTCCGAAAGACCAAGAGGAACTGCAGAAACGAGTATGATGACAGAATTTTTAAGATCACTTTGGCCATCCTATTCTCTCAATGTAAGTTTTTATCATCAGTAAATGATTATAATCACTGTTTATAAAAACTAAACTAAACGCAAGTCCATCAGTCTAAGGTTCAACATTCATCTATGGTCGTGATGGCTTTACTAAAAACTCACAAGTATACTTAATATTTTTCAGCCTCCTAACACTGGCTTGGAGAACATCCTGGACGATGTTGTACATGAGGAGAATGCAGGAGAAGAAGGGGGCGCTAGGGGTAATTTGACGCGAGATGATTTAACACGAGGTGTTGAACATTTAATGACTGCAATGAGAGAATTATTGAATACTATGACATATCGTGAGGACATTGAGGAAGGTGGGAGTGATGAGGAGGAAGAATGGATAGATTAGGGTAATTAGGGTATGCGAGGAATGCAGTCACGACAATGCTTAAAATTACTTGTTATGTACGTTGATGAAATTGCGGTTGAATTGCAACATGCAGATAAATTATGGAACAAATGATTCAGGGCCGAAAAGGTAGGACGGAAAACTGAAATTTGACATATAATAAAATCGTAAAAAAAACATTCAACACATCCCTTCAAAAAGTAGATTTTATGCCGGATGGGAGAAAAACTGTTTTGAGGAGGTTAATTGGGGTTTGCTGAAATTGCGGGAATTGGGGCGAGGAATGAGGGCAGCGCAGTTATTGACGTTGGTTCTTTGAAACCGGGCTCGACCCTTGATCGCTGTGTGGTGCCTTACCGTGATCGACTGTGAGCACTGGATCAAAAAATTATTCTGTTGATGTTTGGAAATTAATCCCACAGATGTGCGTATGTAAATAACCGTGCTCAGACGCCGCTATATTTCAACATTGTGTTTGAAGTGGTCACGTGTTGCAAGCAACTCCTTTTCCGGTTTAATTCTAGGAAAGCCTTTAATGGCTTCACAGTAGTCAGAGCATAAATAAGACTTGCAAAAGGAAAGCTAAAGTAGAAGAAAAACTATGGCATTTGCATCTACTAGAGGCTTTGGTGAGTTTACATGTATTTGGTTTGAATGATAGTAGGACGAGGGATTTCAATGTTTTCACTGTGTAAACATGTGGTTTAATATTAGACAGTGAATTTTGACAAGCCACTGTATGGAACTTTCTCCTGGTAATTTTGCAAATTATGACATAGTTCTTTTGATATCATTGTTGGATGTTTAAGAATTGTCAAGCAGATTCAGAGAATGAAACCGCTCAGAAATGTATATGCTAATATAACAAAGTGAAAGTAAATATTGCTGCTTGTCTGAGCTCTAAAATACTGAATATAAGCCATTTCTAAGTGACATTTCTAAGCGATGCAAGGGGACTTATTTTAGAGGTTTTTAAAAGTGGAGGAAGAAATTACAGACAATTTGATTTAATTATTTATAACTTCTGATCGTTGAAAGATTGTTAGTTGCGTTATTCATGTATTGACATATGTGTCAATATGCGAAATACGTCGCCCCCTGTCGGAAAATATTTTACAACTGACTGCATTTTGAATTGCATTAAGAAATCATTTTAAATGTTAGTGTGTTCGTCACTTCGAGATACAACTTGTACTGGAGTAGGCATCAGAGTAGACTCCCATGTATTCTCGTTCCCAGATTCTTTCTTAGCGGATCGCTCCCTCCCAGTTATGAGTGCCTAGGAACGAAGAATGTTATACAAGCATTCTCGCTAACGACTCGCGCCAGGAAATTACGATGCTGAATGTATTTACCGTTCAGAAAGAAAATGAATTAATTTTAGGCTCAATTTGTTCCATCAGGCAGTAACAGTAGAGGGCAGAGCAGAAGAGGAGGACAGAGACGTGATGGAAACCAGCGAAACAGAATAGGAAGTGGTCGGTTTGCAGGGACTGATGAACGCAGAAATAACGACGAGAGAGCAGGTGGTAGGGCTGGTTGGAATGGTCAAAACGCTGAGCTGCAAGGAGCCAGGAAAGATGTTGGTAAATCTCCAAGAAATCCAGCTGCGAATGAAAAGAGCAGCGCAAAATCTCACAAACCATCGCCTCTTCATCTTCAAAAGTTGAAGCGAATGTTGACTGCGGATCCAACGGATGTCGTCTTAGATTTGCTTAAACATGAAGAACAACTTCAGAATGTTCTGGAAGACCCGCGTATCAGGGATGATTTCGTAGAACTGCTTCTTGAGATCCTGGCAAAGGTAAACTTTATTGCAGGACACACTGTACACAGAATTTAAGACACATATAACACTTGCAAACACTTGTAAATGCTTATTTCCCTCATGTTCAACACTTCGGGTTTTTTTAAACAGGTGTATGAGACGCATATGAAAGAAAATTTGATCAAAATTATGGCTCTTTTTCCTAACACAGTATTTATACGCAGTTCTCTTCCTCGCTACGTCATGCAATTACCAATGAAAGGAAGACGAACGCCACAAAAACATGTCAAAAATATCATTCTGTTTTTTGATCAATTATTACGAAGGTTTCCTGATAATTATTCGGAGATTCCCTTAGATTCGCTTGTGGTAGCCACGATGAGCCTTGGTTCAGAGATGCAGTCTCAAGTCTCAACACAAGTACAGGTTGGTAAAAAATGACAGTTAAATCTCGGTTCCATATTGCAGTACTATTAACGTCTGTGAATAAAAAAATACTGTGCATGCATGTTGAAGCACAAATATTCCCCTGTCAAAGAAATATATATTAATCTGTTTTCGACCCATAAACGACATAAGAATAAGACTTGTGCCTGACAGTAATGTTCCTCCAGGTTTTAAAACAGTTGCAATAAATCTCAAAAAAAGTCAATAAATTTAGTGTTGGATCTTATTGATAAATAGTAATTACTAATCTTGAGCTGCACGCTGGAGTTTGTTGTAGAAATCCCTTTACTTCGCATTCCTCTATATTCAAGTGAAGCTCCTCCTGTCTCCATAGAATCTGGTTAGTATGAGGCAACGTATTATTGAAAAAAAATCGAAGCCCCGTTCCAAAATGAAAGAGCCCCAGCCTGAACCAAAACCCCCTGATGACTTCCGAGAAATTTCGGTGTATCCGACCACAGACGATCTTCAGGAAAACAAAGTTGTATTTCTGAGAAAGAACATCGTTGAAGGAAAATATGAAGATGTAACGCACTATCTTGACGTCCAGTTCCGACTTCTACGCGAAGATTTTGTCGGACCGCTCCGTGACGGCGTGAACGAGATAGCTGGAGGTGTTACTCGAGATGAACGTAATCAAAATCTTCGTATTTACAGAAATATTGAGATAATTGATACCGTTTGCACGAACTCTGGCATAGTTTACAGCATAGGATTCGACATACGTCCATTGCGTAGAGTGAACTGGGAGAACTCGAAAAGATTGATATTTGGCACGTTTCTTTGTCTGTCAAAAGATAACTTCAAGACGCTTGTTTTTGCCACCGTTACTGAACGCAAACCCGAGCAATTGTTGAATGGCGAGCTTCAGGTGCGCTTTCTTGGCGAACTTCCTGACATTCACCGCGGTGATCACTTTCAAATGGTCGAGTCCCCAGGATACTACGAATCTTATTGTCATAATTTGCAAGGATTGCAAGAATTGTCTGATGATAAAATGCCCTTCGCCAGATATTTGGTGTATTGCGAAACAGATGTCCATCCACCAAAATATCTGTCTAAAGACAAGCATGATGATGAAGATGATGATGATATGGTTGACAATCCACACCTACCTTTATCAGCAAGGTTTGTCTTTTTTCATCGACTTTTAATCCCTACTTTTTGCCGTATGAATTACGTAATAACGTTGTTTCAAAGACGAACTTCTTTATTCTTCAAGGTACGATTTTGAAGATATATTGAGTAGTAAACAGTGGCTTCCTCCAGTGAATATTCTATCGCCATCAGCTTGGCCAAAGGTGGATGATGTCGAATTGAACCAATCACAGCTCGATGCTATTCAAGCCGCGTTGACTAAAGAGTTTGTGGTCATCCAAGGTCCGCCAGGGACTGGGAAAACGTACGTGGGATTAAAAATTGTTCAAGTTTTGTTAAACAATCAGAAGCACTGGCGTTTATCTGGAATCGAACCACGAAACATTGATCGTAGAGAAATGGGGTTCTATGAAAGATTTGCTTCCGAAACAGTCGGTTCCCCAATGCTTGTCGTTTGTTACACAAATCATGCTTTGGATCAATTTCTCGAGGGTAAGTGAAGGATCCCGTTTGTAAAGATTGCAAACATTCGCTTACGAAGCCATTCAATATCCTTTGCAGTAAATACTTTGATTTCCGTCCAATCAAATGAGAAATATATCGGTTTCGTAAACCAATGTTGTGTTATTATTTATTTAAGTTATTTGTGCTTGTTTTTTTCAGGTATCCTCGACTTTGATGAGGAAGGCATCGTTCGGGTTGGCGGACGAAGTGACAGTGAACGTCTCAAAGAATATAATCTGTGGAATAAAGCGCGACGTACTGTTGCCTGGTACAATATACAAGATCGGCTTAAGGATTTGTCTAATCAAATACAAGAAGAGAAAAATTGTCTCAAGAAGGCTAACTTTTTTAATCTAAAGCTCGAAGATTTGTTTCCAGTCATCGGCGAGAGTGAAATGAATCAATTGTTGCCTTATGTTAATGTTGCTGCGTTTATTAACACTACTGTTCTTCAAGCGTGGCTCAATATGCAGCCCTTGCCTTTCTATGCCCATGTGAGTCTCGAGAAAGACGAGATGAATAGATTAGAACAGGAGGGTGATAGATGGGACGTAGAGGGTGATACAGTGGAAGAGGATGATGATGATGATGATGTTAGATCAGATAGTGATGATAGTGAAGAATTGGGGGAGAATGATGTGGATCAAGCAGGATACGAAGGAGTAAGAGAGGATGAAGGAGACAAAGAGGAAGCAACGGTGGATGTTGAAAAAGATGCAGAACGCTTACAAAATGAGCGGAAGCTTGGGGACGACTTCGCGGCTATACAACGGGATGAAGAAGACGCAGGACAAGGAATGACGCAGGATCACTTCAATTTTGTCAACCTCAGAAGAAGAATTGCTGAACTCGAGGAAGAACAGAGAAATCAAGAAAACTTCGCTCCACCAGATATCAGTTTGTGGCGTCTCGATTTCAACACACGTCGACAATTATACCAACACTGGGTGAGACGCTACCAAGAAACTCATTTGAGGGAATTGGAAGAACTTTATCAAGAATACGAAGTATCTTGTCACCAAATGACGGAGATAAAACATGGACAAGAAGAGGACGCCTTACGCCGAGCAACTGTGATTGGTATGACCACAACTGGCGCAGCAAAATATAGAAATGTCTTGCAAAAGATTCGACCGAAAATCATTGTTGTTGAAGAAGCTGCTGAAGTTCTTGAAGCTCATATCGTCACCGCGTTATCGCAAGGAGCTGAGCATTTGATTCTCATCGGTGATCACAAACAACTGAAACCAAATCCAAGTGTTTACACCTTGGCAAAGAAATATAATCTAGAAGTTTCTTTATTTGAGAGGATGGTACGAAATGGGATGAAATGTCACACTTTGGACACCCAGCATCGCATGAGACCCGAGATTGCTCGTCTGATGAAGTTCATTTATGACGATCTCAAGAATCACGTCAGCGTTGAAAATTTTGAAGACATCTTAGGAATTTCTAAGAACATTTTCTTCATCGATCATCAAAAGCCAGAGAAAAGCGACGATGAGTTACGAAGTCACTCGAATGAACACGAAGCGAAGTATATCGTGGCATTATGTGGGTACTTACTACGACAGGGTTACGACAGAACACGAATTACAGTTCTGACAACATACACTGGACAGTTGTTGCAACTAAAACGGCTAATGCCCAAGGCGCAGTTTCAAGGAGTTCGGTTATGCACTGTAGATAACTTCCAAGGAGAAGAAAATGATATTATTTTGTTGTCTTTAGTTCGCAGTAACGAGGAGAGTAAGATTGGATTTCTTGGAATCTCAAACCGCGTCTGTGTTGCCTTATCAAGAGCACGTATGGGATTCTTCTGTATTGGTAATATCTCAATGATGGCCGGAAAGAATGAGCTTTGGCAGAAGATTAAGAACGAGTTAGAACAACAACAAGCAATCGGATCTGCTCTACCAACCTACTGTCAGAATCACAAGGACACAAAAGTCGAGATGGTTACTGCACAAGATTTTAAGAAAGCTCCAGAAGGCGGCTGTACCCTCCCGTGTGATTTTCGCCTGGATTGCGGGCATAAATGTGAGATGGCGTGTCACCCGGTAGATCGTGATCACAAACAGTACGTGTGTATCAAACCCTGTAACAAGGAAGTTTGTACCTTTAAACACCGCTGTACAAGAGAATGCCACCATGGAGAGACATGTGGGCCTTGCCGATACTTGGTTACCAAGATCCTTCCTTTCTGTAACCACGAGGTGGCCATGCGATGCAGTGATGATGTTCGTACTTTTGAATGCACCCGACCTTGTGAAAGATATCTCGAATGTGGTCACCCATGTCATAGTCTTTGTGGTCAAGATTGTAACGTAAAAAAATGCGAAGAGAAAGTCATGAAGACCCTCCAATGTGGCCATAAAGTAAAAATTTCCTGCTCAACTCCGATTGAAACTTACAAGTGCGAAGAACCTTGTGAAAGCCACTTAGATTGTGAACACAAGTGCGCAGGAAACTGTCATAAATGTAAACAAGGAAGAATCCATTTGCCTTGTCAATATCCTTGTGGTCGTACTTTGATCTGTTCACATTCCTGCAAAGAGCCATGCACTAGGGACTGCCCCCCCTGCCAGCAGGACTGCCAAAACCAATGTCTCCACAGTAAATGTCGTAAAACCTGTGGTGAAGCCTGTGCTCCATGCCAAGAGCCGTGCAGTTGGGAGTGCAAGCATAAGAAATGCAAGAAGCTTTGCTCAGAGATTTGTGAACGTAAGCCATGCAACGTGCATTGCAAGAAAAAGTTGCCCCTCTGTGGCCACAAATGCGTTGGTCTCTGTGGCGAGAAGTGCCCACGACTCTGTCGTGTTTGCAATAAAGAAGAGCTAACCGAAATTTTCTTCGGAGATGAAGACAACTACCGTGCACGATTTGTCGAACTCTTGGACTGCGGACATGTGTTTGAAGTAGAAAACCTTGACAAGTGGATGGCTCGTGAAGAAGATGATGTCACCAACATTCAACTCAAGTCCTGCCCGAAGTGTAAAACCCCGATACGAAAAAGTTTCCGTTATGGAAACGTAATCAAGAAAGTCCTCCGCGACATTGAAGAGATAAAAAAGAAAGTACGGGAAAATGGTGAAGACAGCAAGAAAAAGATAACAGAGTTGAATAGCAAATTGAGTGATTTACGATCCAAGTATCCACTCGTTACGAAATCAAGTGATGATACTGCCGAAGAAAATCTTGGCTTACGACGTAGAAAAGTAAATCTCCGTGTGGCGGCACAATTACCACAAAAGAACTCGCCTTATTCCACTATTGTGTCCAAGATGGACTCTGCTAGCAACCAGGAACTTGATCTTTTGATGTTTCAAGTACAACTCTTACCTTCCATTTACGAAATCAAGACAAAGTTCTTGGAACGAATGGAAGGTAACTCCAAGTTTGATGATCTTCGTCAGAAGTTGACAAACTTAGAAACCTTCCTGATGGCGATTACGAAGTTTAGCAGCCAACTTATGTCGGATTTATATGAAGAAGTTCAACGGATTGGTCTTGCTTGCAAGTTGAGAATGGTCCAACACGATATTGCCGCATCAGGAAAGTCTGTTCCACGTGAGATACAGTCAAACATTGATGAAATCTCAGCGTTGTTTCAATTCAAGAGTAAGATAAAGAACGAAGTCAGAGAAAAAGCGATCAAAGATTTGGATAAGATCTGTAAAGATCTTGGTCTGGGGGCCATCACAGCTGAGGAGAGGGCTGCGATTGTTAGAGCTGTTGGTTTAACCAAGGGTCATTGGTTTAAATGTCCTAATGGTCATTTCTACGCCATTGGTGAGTGTGGCGGGGCAACGGAAAGGGGAGTATGCCCGGAGTGTCACGAGGTTATAGGAGGTGAACATCACACATTAGAAGCAAGCAACCAGTTTGCCCCGGAGATGGATGGTGCTTTACACCCAGCTTGGTCGAATCAAGCAAACCTAGCGAATTATGATCTCGAAGAACTCCGATTTTTCTAAGATACAGTACACAAGATGGTAAGTCATGAGCCATTATTGAACATATTTTATTATCACACATTGTTTAATAGCGATGTTATAGTGTTGTGTTTTCCTTTTACAGAACCTCGATGATATAACGATGCTTGTTTTAACACACTTCCTGGAGCCAAAAGGATTTTATATGAAGAATATTTACCGGTTAACATTTTAAAGTTTTTTTATGTTTCAGTATTATTTTGTCAGAAACCTTATATAGTTTAAAATGCATGAAATGAGGACACTTGAATCAACGTGAGCAAATTTAATTCTAGTTGGTAAAATTGACATTTTTTTGAAAGGCATTTCTTATTGTTAACAAATTCGTTACTCTGTCACTCAAGTTAACACTGAAGATGTAATAGTCTCTGGTCAATTTGACTCTTGATTTTCAGAACGCCAAGACAGCTACGGCTAGTTATGATGTTGACTACAGTGATCTAAAATATAAAAAGTAACGAGTATTGACATTGTTTATGAGCATTAAAACACTATGACGTTTAAGAAAGATCGTATACCTATAAATATCGAGACATCATCACTCTTCTCGGCATTTCTCAACGAACCCGTGATCTCTTCATTTTGAACAACGGGTAAAAACAGATCCACAAACTCGTCAGAATATGGCGGAGCGATTATATCGAGCACCTGGAGAACACAAGAAGCAAGGCATGGTTAATTCAGTTAAAAACATAACGGTCAGATCTCGCACCCTCATTTTTGTGGTACCAGATTGATATTTGATGCCCATGACAGCTTACCTCAGTGACGAAATGCCTTATCAAGGAATTGTCCACTTTTTGAGTATCCAAACATTTTCTTATATAACTAACAACGGCCACAACGTATCCTCGACTGACCAAGTGAACCATACGATCTAAAATTGTCTTTTTAAAGCCAAGCTACAAAAAAACTAGAGGCGTCAGTTCAAATTCTGTGTGATCTGGTGGACCTATCTTCAGCAATTAGCGCATGCAAGAAGTTAAAAAGACTTTACCTCGACCAAGGTGTCTAAGTGTGTCGGTGATTCAAATATTCTTATTAATAATGACAAGACTTGTGAATGTTGCAATGGATGGCAGGTGCTTATCTAAGGTAATAAAATGAATCGTCTTCAGAATGAAGAATCTGACTAAATAGCTGAGTGTTTTGAACCATTACCTCATCTAACAATGCCAGATGTAGTGGAGTCGAGTCTGTCATCAGTTTGAAAAAACTTGGTTCGGACAAAGTGTAGTCGACCCATTTCAGTATTCCCATTGCTACCACTGGGAACCTGGAAAAAGTGTGGAGAAACTCTTAGTAATTTAGATGTCGTTAACCCGAGCAAGCAAATAGTTAGGTCATGCACTCACCTGGCACATTGATATAACATGGTGATCTCAGATGAAGCTTGTGAGGCTACTGCTATTTCTCGTGAGCAAACTGAATGAACTCTTTCTACAGCTTGTCTTGTCGATTTTAAATCATCTTTATTCAAAGATTCTCTGGAACTCTACAAGAGCAAAAGTAATTCATTAAACGTATGGTGGTCGATAGCACGCATCATAGTTGCTTCTGTATTACCTCTCCCCATATTTCGTGAACACTTGTTGCATAAGCCAAGAGGAATACGTATTTGTGTTTATGATCTTGGTGAGGTGTATAACCTGGCTTGAATAAGGAATTTAACAGCAAATCTGAAAAACAAGATGATATGACGAATTGGATTAATGGCATTCAGCCTTGTTAAGTGGTCTTGTTCGTTCCGGTCGATTTCAACAGACAGGCAACGTCCGTGCAAATAAATAATCGTTTCGAATGAGATAATTAAAAAAAAACGATCAAATATTTATACGCTTTGCCAAAAAATTACGTGCCATGTTTCAATGTTTTGTTATACATTTTTATCTAGCGAGGTCACGTTAGGTTCAGGCGTTCAACAGCCACATAATAATTGTACGAGTTGACAGAATTGTGCAGAATCTATCAAGCGAAGCCCTCTGCAAGATAATCTACATATATACATATCTATATGCAAATTTCAGTTTAGCTGCAATTAATGAACATTATTGCCATTTCCTGATATCACAACATCGGGTGGCCATTTGGCAGTAATCTGATATCTCCTGGTGAAAGGCATCGATGCCTCTATCATTTATCAAAAGACATTTATGATTTCTTTATAAAGACTTCTCGACCTCTCGTCTGAAACTGCCACACATTACGCGATCATTCACACGGAACAGCGCCAGCCGAACAGCGGAGAGCTTTCATTCCTTACAAGGCTTCAGGTATTTCAAGATATTTGTACAGAACTAAATACCAGTCATACTCACGAACGTACTCTATATTAATTAAGTACTTCTTATAAACGAACAATGAATGTTGCGCTGTATTTTCTCCGTGCAACTTTGCTGCTGTTGTTGTTATTTGGACATAGCACAGACGCAGTCACTGTGAAACCAAGCAGTGGAATGAAGGAATCAAAACCCAATGTATTATTGTTCTCAATTGGTGGACTTCGTGAAGAGTATTTGCTCAATAACACGAATATTGCTGAGATGATTCAGAATGCTACAATGGCAAAATATATTCAAAATTCGGTGAACGTGATTGATATAGTTGACCATTATAGCATGGTCACTGGCTTGTTTCCTGAGAGTCATGGGATTATATCTCACACCATGTTCGACCCGATTTTGAACCGTGTATTTAATAGTGAAACACGCGAAGAGCCTGAATGGTGGAGCAACGTGCATCCAATCTGGCAGGAGATTGAGAACCAAGGACAAGGACTGGGTGCTGTGTGTCGCTGGCCTGGTGTTTATGGTCCAATGGTTCCTACATTGCGCTGTGGGCAAAGAAAATCGCTCAAATCAGACATCGATCAGGCAGCGAAGTGGTTCAAAAACGGTGTAAAACTGGTTCTACTTTACTCTGATGATATTAAAAAAGCTGCTGTAAAATGGGGGCCCTTCTCACAACAGGTCATCAATGAAGTTAAAAACCTTGATTCACTCATGAAATATCTTCTTGAAAAGACTCGTGATCTAAATGTGAATATTCTGTTTATGTCAGATAGTGGAGTGTCTGAACTTAATAGTTACATTGTAAACCTGGACCGATGTCTCAATCCGACCTCTTATGTCTTAATCCGACCCCAGGCTACTCTGCTGATCTACCCTAAGCGTGGTTATACTGTCCAGGAAATTTACAAGAATCTTACAAGATGCGAGCACGTGAAAGTTTACTTAAAGGAAGATTTACCAGAAAGATTTCATTTTTCAAACAATCCTAGAATTCCGCCAATTGTTGCTTTCCTTCCTCTTGGTGCTGTCGTAAGGTCGAGTAAACGTGTACATAGTGTGTCCGCAGGGGAACACAAGGGTGCTACAGGGTACCATCCAGGGTTCAAGGTGATGCGTGGGGTATTTATAGGATATGGTCCTTCTTTCAAACGTGGTTTAAAATTTCAAGCGATCAGGAATGTCGATATATATGGCGTGCTTTGCCATATCTTAGGACTAACTCCCAGGCCTAATAATGGGTCATATGACGTAGTCAAATCCATGTTTAACGATATGACATCATTTGCTGTTGACACGACAACCTCTCACGTCACCACTGATGACGCACACACTACTGAGATCTCACCTAAGCCAATCACAGACGAGATGGAAATGTCAGAAGATGTGAGGGTCTTGTTCTGGATTCTCGTGGCTATTACGGCATTGCTTGTGTTATTTTGTTTAGTTGGTTGCATTACGACGATGGTGGGGAACTACAAGCAAGGCGCTGCATCTAGAACTAAAGTCCTTGAGCCAGATATGAAAAAAATGTTAGCTGACAGTTCCTCTGAAGAGGAATGAAAATTGTGATAATGTAGAACCTGTTTAGTAGTTTTCGGTGTAGAAATATTCATGTTTGGAACTTATTTCTCGCATTCATTCATTAGAACGATTATTATATACCAGTATTAATAACGTCATTGAACACGTCATTGACACGTCATTGAACACGTCATTGACACGTCATTGAATACGTCACTTACCCATGAACTGGGACAGTCGAATGAGTTCAATAGGCGGAGGGTCTTGACTGGAATATAGTTTGTAAAGCACAGTAATATCACCAGGATTTAAAGCGTTGCGAGTCAGTATTGAAGAAAGAGCTGAATTTGCTCTGGGGTATTTCGATGAACCGTTTAGAGCCAGTAAGATTTGAACGACATCATGCCCCCTACACAAAACAGCGATGCTAGGATTAAATTGACGTTTAACTTGCAATATTGCTGCTTTTTCAAAGGGTGGACAAGACAGGACAACCTAGAAAACACTTATTCCAAAGGCAAGTTGTATATGAAGTTGAAGGTGAAAAATACGACATGCACGTCTTCAAAATGATCAACTTACACTTTTTGTGCGCCAACACAAATTTCTTGTCCCAATCTACGGGTTCCAGTCCCACCTTCGCTGCTTTGTGAGAGTAAATGAAGTACACATTGAGTGTAAAGAAATGTGTGATAACCATGTGATACCATTTTCTGAAAAGAAAAAGAAAAATAACCCACTCGTTGATATATTTCCATGTAGAAAGGGGGAATTGTGATTGATTGTTTTAAAGTCTAAAATGTTCAAGAAGCCTCACTGTAAATTCTTCTAATCGTTTTTGCATGAAATCTGTTCCATCATCCAGGAAGGTCCCAATAGATGTCTTCAAAACTCGTGAGAATACATCAATTTGATGGCAAGCTGATGAAACTCTGGCTATTTCATCTTGATAGCCGACGTCTGAGATCAACTAAATATTCAAAATATTTCAATTGCAATTCTTTTGATCCTTATTCTAGTAAGGTCAGTTGTTAACTATTAACCTTGATAGTAAAATTAAGCATCAGACAATCTGGATACTGTTCAGCCAATTTATAAATCATTGATCTCCACGTAGGGTGCTGAATCATCTGCTCTAACCATGGAGGGGTCTAAAAACATAAGGTATTTAAATCACCAATTTTTCTCCATTGTAGTTTGCCTTCAAATTTATCTAGTTTCACTAGAGATGGGTTTTAAACACCCCAGTCCATGCAAAATAACTGTGTTTTATAAATCTTACTCCTCCTTCCTCTGTAAATATTGAGTCAGCTTTCTTGACATCAAAATTTTGAACAATCAATGTTTTGAGATGGTCTTCAACAATTTGTTCAACATCATGAACATCAGCTCCTGGGTTTTGATGAAGAAAATTTTAAAATTTACCAACAATATTGGTGAATGGTGCACAATAAGAATGAGATATGATGCTGATATTATCTGTAAACTCATGTGGTAAAGGTAATTACCTGTAAAGATAAGCCAGTTTGCCAGCAGGTTTGCTGACTGAGCTGTTCCAATGTAATTATCAGCAAGAAGATCAATCAGGGATTCTGTTTCACCACCAGCTTGGAAAAATCTGATAGAAGTTATGGAACATACAAACCAAATAATTAGGACAAGTGATGCAACTGACGTATGTGCAATGATAGAATTCAATCAGTTTATTATCATCCTTGGTCCAGTTTTTCTGCCTGTCTACATGTTTGAAAATGTGACTACAAAACTCATGTCACCTTTTTATACTTGTAAATATCTCTGGTTCCATGACGTAATCTTTATTTTTGAAAGGTTCAAGACAATCTTGCAGGACAAGCTCATCATCCTTTTCTTCCAACTGGGGAACTATTTGTGGACTTCTTGGCTATTGTAAAACGTATAGAGCTTGTATAGAGCTTGTATAGAGATGTATATAGAAATGTATAGAGATTTTACTATGACTTTTGCAAGACCATGAATGCCACAATTATGTTCCAATTTCCAAAACTACAAAACTACAAAAGCCCAATCATTTATTGGTAACTTACAGGCTCTTCTTCCCAACCGTCCTCTCCATAATCATCCATGTTTAGTCACAATATTCTAAAGCATTTTTGCTCTATTTTACACTCGATCTTTCTCTCGAAACATGATGAATTTTGTTTGTAAATAAACAACAACAAAGTTCAACAATCAACAACCTCACCGGAAATGAGTTAGCGTGAGCTTCCGATGAATGTCGATTATTCCGTGCATTATCCAGGTAACAGCATGAGGTCAGTGGATGTGACTATTGCGTCACCCCAGCTGGCAGGAAATTATATAAGAAGACGGTGGGATAGGAATTTCTGCCGAAAAAACCTTTATAAAAGACATGAAACTTTGGTCTACAACTCACACGTTCAGGTAAATAATACTACGTTATCTTTTTGTTTACCTTGTTAAGCAAAAAAGGTTTTATGCACACTAGAGGTTAGTGAATTTAACACTTGTCAGTGGACCATGCTGCTTAGGTATTTTACACTTGACAGAAATTTTATGGTTAGGTAAACTTTTAAACGCCGAAGTGTAATGTAATTTGTACATATGACTACTGAATATAACGTCGTGATGTGCATTTAAGAGATTGTTTTCTCTACAACATACAAAAAATTGGGAATGCGTCTAACATAATTTTTATCATTTTGAAATTATCTGTGGGTGAACTTTGGACTGCCACGTTCAAAATTATAAAACACTTATAGCTTAAAAATCTTACTCATTAAATCCTCCTTAGAAATATGTAAAATTATTCTACTTTTCAATGTCCTAATCAATTTAAAATGTAACAGTAGTTTAGAGAGAATATACATATATATACAACCATGGATAATAAAATCACTAACTATTCATGATACAACATACTGCAAAGTTAGAAAATAAATTTAAAAAATTCATTCACATTTCTTCTTTCCAGACATGCTTGGGAGACAGTGACGCAAGCTGTTTGGAGGAAATATCCTAACGATTATAATCCTCATGTAAAAGCTATTGATGTCATTGACCGACATGTAGATAATGAGGGGCGTCTTGTTACTAAACGAGTTATGGGTACTCAATGGAACTTACCCTCATGGGCTATATACATACTGGGCCTGCAAGACATGTGTTATGGCATTGAACACTCAGTTATTGACCCAACGGCCAAAACAATGACCTTAAAAGGCAGAAATTTAACATTCTCAGGACTTGTGGGGATTGAAGAAAATCTAGAGTATTCACAGCATCCGGATGATGAGAATGCGTAAGATATTTCCATTTTGCAATAGTTATTCTTATTTACACAATAATCCATGATAATTACACAATAATCCAAGATAATTATCAATCTAACGAGATGATTATCTCTCAACTTGTGTCTAAATCATTATCTCAAAATTATAATCTTTCTAATCTTTCTCATTTCAGAACTTTAATGAAACAAGAAGCAGTTGTGACTGTTTTTGGTTTAAGTTTTAGTAGTTATTGTGAAAAACTAATCACAGACACATATGAGAATAATTCCAGAAAAGTAAGAGCCTTTCTCTTTTTTGTATATATTTTTTCATTAGTGTTTGTGTACCTATTTGCATGGCACACCCTTAACACTCCTATCATTTTTCCTCCAGGGCAGGCAAGCAATGGAGCATGTTATTGGAGTGATAAATCAAGAAATATCTGATTTAGCTGCAGGTTTTGAACAGGCTACAACAAAACTTAATACAGAATTTGAACATGCAACAGCTGTCATAAACTCTGAGCTAAATGATATTGCACAGGGTGCTAAAAATGGGTTGGAACAAGCAGCAAGGATAAATACAGCATTTTGTGAACAGTCTACTTCATGACAGAATTAAAGAATGAAGAATGTATACCAAAGAGCATGTTTAGGGCCGTTTGCACAGTACTTTGGAAGTAATTTAGATGATGCCAAAAGTGTGGATGGGTGCTGTTGGTGGTATTTTTCTCTTGAAGCAATAGGATGGGAAAGAAGTCAGGAGTTTTCATAGGACATTTAAAAACTGAGCCATGAACTCAGTATAAATGTGGATTAATTTAACATTATTTTATTACTAACATAACCAGTAATACACAGTCAGGGGCTTTCACCCTGAATTCAACAGACATGAACTTACAGGGTGCTGGTGTTTCCTGGCCAATTTTGCCTTTAAACGTCTTTGTCATAGTTTGTCATAGACTTATCATAGTTCTTCTTTGTGAAGGTAAATTATTTATTTAAAATGTTTTAACTAAAACTTTTAACATTAATATTAAAAGAGACATGTTGATGTGCAAATATTTTCCCTGTTTTAGAGCAGTATGTCAACCAGTTTGCCCCATATGGGCTGTGAATTCTTCAAATTTCTCCAAATCTTTTTGTGTAACTGTCCTGTGATTATTGCTTATCACTTTAAGAAAGTCTTTCAGACATATTGCTCGTGGTTGAACCTTCAAAGAAACGTAAATAACGTTGTAGGTCAACAGTAAACGAACTGGATCATTAAACTTAATTTTTCATTTACCATCGCTGGGGACATTTTCCCAATGTCAAGTTCAACAGAACCTTTTGTCTTCTTGGGCGATGGAATATAGTGTCCATCTGAAACAAAGATGAGGTAAAACCTGGTCAAATCTTGTGTCAATCTTAGCTATAAAAAACCACCATAATTATCAATGAAGTTTTCACAGGAGGATGAAAATTGTCTCGTTCCTATTGAAGATAAACATCGTTCCGTAGAACTTCCATTTGTGAAGATGTGAGGTACTCGGTGACGGATATCATATCTTACCTAGTTACCAGAAACTGTATTGTTTTATGTACCTGTTGTCATTTCCCAGAAATGTGCATCTCGCAGTTCTCGTAATGGTTCAAACATGGCATCAGAGACACACGAGGCGAGATCACTTCCAGAGAATCCTTCAGTTTCACCAGCCAGCTTCTCCCAATCTGATTCACTCAATGATGTCACAGTTTCCTTTACATGAAGTTTTATCAACGCTCTCCTCGCTTCTCTACAACAAATAAACGCTCATTTTCTTCCAAGAGATCCTGGTAAAACATCAGTTCTTATTGATCAAGGGTTACCACGAAGGAAAACTAAAAATCTACTCAAAACTTCTACCTGTCTGGTAAAGGAATGTAGACTCGTTTCTGAAAGCGTCTCAAGAACGCGGTGTCTAATTCCCACGGACAGTTTGTTGCACAGAGGAAAAAGATTCTTTCATCTTTAGAGAAAGAACTATCCACTCCTTCCATCTGTTTCAGAAGCTCAGTCTTTATTCTCCTCGTGTGTTCCTCCTCTCTCAGGTTTCTTTTTCTGCAAATGCTGTCGATCTCATCGATGAAGATCAGCTGAAATATTCGAGAATGAAAATTGACATTCTAAATAGAATTAGAAGTTAATCAGGCGCCGTGGAACGTTGACGAAAAATCGTGTTCATACTGACGATAACTCACTGATTTCCCATCCCTCTTTCTCGCGTGGTTGAACAGTTCCTTTATCAATCTAGGAGGATGAAAGAAAGTGTTTTCTATACAGAATCATCACTGAATCTTGGTAATTTACAACCACCTTCACACCTTTCGCTCTCTCCGACCCAACTAGAAACTAGATCAGCACTTGAGACACAATAAAATGTCGAGTCAATTTCAGATGCAACAGCTGCAAATGATAAAAGGAAAAAAAATGAAAAAATGACTTGGTTGGTTCCACATAACTTGCACATCAGATCTTCACCTTGTGCTAGACGTGTTTTCCCTATGAAAAAAATGAAATTTTGATCAGTAAACTTCACCACAACTCTGAATGGAAGTACATCCAACATTACCACTCCTGTACCTGTGCCTGGTGGACCATAAAGTAGAATTCGTTTCCAAGGTTTACGGCCACCTGGATTGGGGGGAATCATTTGATATAAATACTGGGATATGAGTGGTATTACTGGATGGACAAGGATGGGTATTACTGGATAGACAAGGATGGATCTAGATCATGTACAACTGAGTATATATCAATAAAATATTCTCTCAGACCTGTAAAGAAATGGGGATACTGGAGTGGTAAAACAATCGCTTCTCTCAATGTGTTCTTGGCTTGTTCCAATCCAGCGACATCTGCAAAGCTGATGTGACCCTTGCTTATGATGGTGTCTTCTATGGCAATACGACGACTATACGAGATTTATACATATAAAAAAGCGTGATATAATGTAACACTCAAACATTGTGTCTTGTTTCTAGACTGTTTGAACTTTGTGATTTAAGCGAACCTTCGTTCATGACTGCTTCCATCCTTTTCATTTGAACTAGCATCATCCCCTTTGTATCAAGTAAAATGGAACAGAAATAAATCTCGAGTAGTCATTTTTATTTGATAATCGTATATTTCCTTACTTTCAGAAGAGATTTTCAAGCCAGAAGCTAACTGTTCTTTTTTCTTGACCAGCAGTTTCGTGTGGTGATGTAATGAATTGTTCACTTGTTCTAAAGCTGTCTGAAAGAGAGTTTTCAATCTCAGCAGGGTTAATAATATAACGACCGCTATGAAACAGTTGAGAAAACCAAAGTTTGTTTACCAATCTTATTGAATCATGCTCCATAGATAACAACGCGTCAATGCTGTTCATACAATCGGTACAGTTTGAAATAAGTTTATTGATATCAACATTTTCTGTTTTCTGACATTCGCTTGCAGCATCCTCTATCCTGAAAATTATAGTTTCTCAACTTAAGACTGCTGCATTTAATACTTATAAAAAACATCATTACTGATCTAAAATTCTACATAAACTTAACACTGCCTGAATTTCTTATTGGCATCAGTCACTTACGACGAGACAGCTCCTAAATAAACAAAAAACTTTTATCAATCGTACAGTAAAAAAACACGAGAAAAATAAGCCAGAAAGTAAAGACTTTAGCGTTATCTTTTTTGCGAAAAGGAAGTTCAGTTTCAAAACAGCTCTAAATGAACTCTACTCGCCTTCATATATTGTCTTTAAAGACATTCTGATTTATTTTGAATGAAAAAAAGAAAATGAAAGTTTCGAAGACTCGAATATGCTTGAAAATAAAAAAGAAAAAAAGAACGCCAGTTTTTGCATTTTGCGCATGACAACTACACCAGAGTTGTAAGGAAATTTTAGGGGAAAATTTTGCCTACGATGTTACTGTTGCTATATCTAAAACAAAGAACACGTTTTATACAGGTTTGGCCAAAAGGGTAAGTATTTGAACCGAGAAATTAATAAACACGCGACGAGACCGTTAAAAAGCAACGATAAAGAAAACATTTTAGATATTCATATTAAGTTGTCACCGTATTTTCCAAAGAGATCAAGTGCTTGAATGTGGAAGCATAGTTAAAGAAAGGATTTTCTAATATGGCTGCCGCTGAAGATGAAGGAAAGACTGGATTAAATCGCTTTGAAGCTTTGGAACAGTCCATTGAACAGTTCATTGAAACGACAAGACAAATTGGGATTATCGTGAGTGACTTTCAGACTGGCAGTCAAGGTGTCTTGAACCAAAAAATGTAAGAAACATTAGTTATTAGTTGTACTACTTGTACAGTATTTAGTATTATTTAATTAAAAATAGACAATATTTTTTCAAGTGTTATTTTCGTTATTACGTCTTTATACATTTTGTACATCATCCTTTGTACAGTATAATATAGTGATCTGACCATATCCAGAAACAAACTGATATAGCACTGCATCTACCTGCCCCCAGTCCTCTTGGCATAATTGATTGGTTGAACACAATTAATTGATTATATTATTGATTGAATATGATTGTCTAATCAGATTATTGGTTCAAAATGATGTTCTGACCAGGTCACTGAGCTGTTAAACCTGGCTGTCTGACTGTCTCTTTTGTCGCTTTGTCCACACTGCTCCTTGGTTATATTGGAACTGAAATATTTACAGTCAGTTTCTATAACTTTGACAGAACATCCGTGGTTGAAAACCTAAGAGAAATTGAGAAGTGCAAAGATGATTTTCAAAATGTTGAAGTTCCCATGGATGTTTTCTCGTAAGTTCAAAATGTAAACAAACAAAGTACTGCTGCTGGTTGACTTATTATCAATCAGGGTTGTATTGCAGCTTTAATGAAAGCATTGATTATGTGTTTCACAGATACATTGATGAAGGAAAAAACCCACAGTTATATACAAAAGACTGTTTAGAAAAAGCTCTGGCACAGAATAAAGAAGTTAAGGGAAAAATTGACTCTTACAAGGTAAAAAAATTGTTCCAGTATTACAAATGGCTAGTTGCTAGCTCTGTGTCCTATTTTCTTTAAATGTGCAATTTTCATTTTCTCATTTATTGATGTGTTGTAATTAGAATATCTTGAATTATTTAGAATTTCAAGACAGAGTTAATGAGTGAACTTAGTAAAGAATTTCCGAAAGAAATGTTAGAATACAGAAATTATGTAGAAGACAGCCAGGAAGATAGGTAATGCAGCTTAGGAAGAATGTAGTTTAGTGAAAGAAACATTCTTTTCCATGCCATGATGTGTACAAATATAAAAGATTGTGTACTTAGAAGAACCAATTAAGACTGTGGTGGAGTGGACAGCAAATATCATTGATGGTTGGTAGAACTCTGAAAGAAGAAATATATAAAAACTCGCGTATTTTTGATAATGATTCATGTCTGTTATGTGGAAATATCTTATCTTAGATACCAAAAAATACGTTGAAAGTGTATATGTACATTTTGAAAGTGTGGATGAAACATTATCAGGTAAATTACGTATCCTAATAGGACACGTTCACTGACAAAAAAATATTTTGATAAGCTTTTGGCTACTAATTGGTCTTACTTAATAAATAATAAATGTCAGGTTGGCGATGATGATACCATAGTAACATAGAAATGATCTAATTTAATAAACAATTACTTAATGGTTTCCGTGTCTGATGGCCTGATCCAAACACGCGGGAGTGTTGCGACAGTTTAGAAAAGCGCAAAGCACAAAACGAAGGCGAGGGATTTTGCGAGCTGTTCTTAACTCAAGAATCATTCTCAAGTGTTTAAATTAGGCCATCAAAAAAATAACAACAACAAGGTGTACTGTTCCAAGTTTAATTTCCATACGCGAATTAAATTTCCGTGTTTAGATGGACTGATCCAAACATTGGCGGCTTCAACCAATCAGAACGCATGTTACACACATGTTATTTTATAAATAATTTTCTTTATTGTAACATGTGCATAGATTATCCCATATTCCTTCAATATATGTTTGACATCAATTAAAATATATCCTAGAGGGAATTCCACCTGACGGGGTTTTTTTCTCACGGAGGAGGAAGTTAAGCTTAATTTAAAACGAGGTTTAGACAGGCAGGTGTTTTTATATAAAATATTTTATCCTCAACATGGACAAACAAAGCAGATTAATTTTCTCAAAAAGATTTTATCAGATATCTAACTGAATGCATACATCAGCCTTTAAAATTCTTTCAATTACTCAGATAAGACAAGATACGTCTTGAGTGATTTTCTATGTGGGTTCTCTGTTTTCTCATATACCTGTCATTGTCGCTACAACAAAGATTAGTTAACCAATGATATTCGATTTATCGTGCGGATATTAATTATTAACACCGGTTAATATCCTGCGGGCACTTCAACGAAGCAATCTTCTTGGCAACTGTCTCTCATGCAACCGGACAAAATTTTGAAAAAATAGAGTTCCTTGACTTGAAAAAGAGTCGCAGAAATGGGCTGGTTCTTGAGCCCGACGTTTCTGCTAATTCTTGGTGAGTAAAATTATTTGGCATGTGATTTGTAACTATATTTAAAAATGTGTCCCATCGCGTTCCGCAGGCATTTTATTCCATGCAGATGGCAAGCTTGCAATCTTCTTGCGTAGAGCGAAAAAGTGGTTCTTTCACAAGTGTAGAAAGAAATAAGTTGATATAAAAATGCTTGTTGAAAGTCGTAGAAAGAACAGTTTAGAATTACTGATAGAGTTATCCATCTAGTATAAATAAAGTTACATGCGAAGATGCTTTGTCTGAAAGTGACGGTAAACAATTGAGCTGGTCAGTTGAGGACGACTTTGACTGACCCAAAAAGGATGGAGGTGCAACGATAGCTTGCTAAACACAGATTTCCTGATCACTCAATAAGTCCTGAATGGATCTGTCTTTTGCAATAGCTATAACTTTTTTTTTGTAGTTTGTGTCTATGACGCCTGGGTGTTTTCCTTACAAAATTGTAAAGACGGAGAGGTTTGTTTCAATCTTTTTCCTTATATTGCATAAAAACTCAGTATGACCTGTCCAACTGCAAGTTTCCTTCGCTTGCATAAGTTTTAATTTACACATTTTATATACGGTTGTGTTTGCACGTATACACATAATTCATGCACGTAAAATTGTAAATCCTTAGATCTTCTGTCTAATAAACCATTCTACGAAAAAGATGCTGCTAGGAAGTATCGCAGTCAAGTCAATATGAAAAAGTGATGTGAATATTCTAAATACATTTTCTAAAATTAATTTTAGATGTTCTGTAAAGTTATTCGCGGATGTACAACTAAAAAAAAATGCGACGTAGCATTGGCAGATTTAGAACAAAAGAAAAAGGATTGTGTAGCGAAAAGTCTGGTAAGCAGTTACTGCATGACAAAGTCAATTATTTAAGAAAGCTATCTGAAAAATGCGTGACTTTCATATATACACTTCTTCTAAAATACATTTCTGAAATAATCTTAAAGGAAATGTTGTCGGTCTGTGGTAAGATGGCCAAATCTAGTTTTAAACCTCATTCTTCATAATTCATGTTTTAATGCGTTAGTATTAGAACGAGAATTACGAAGGAGATATGATCTGTTAAAATTTTGCTCTGTTGTTTAGATATTTTGTGAAGCATTGAAAAATTGTACAACAGCTGAGAAATGCGCGGAGGGGGTTCCAACGTCACAACGACCAAGTCAACCACGTCATAATCAGTGTCAAAATGGAGAGGTTGGTTTCTCGTGAAATAAAAATATATCATCCTGAAAAAAAATAACGCTAAACAATATTTGATGTAATGTATTGGCCGCTATACAGAACTATTAAATGAAGATGTTTCGAAGTGTTAATTATGATTTTATTTAATCTTTGAATTTATTTATTTATTAGATGTTTTGCAAGGCAACTGGAGGATGTACAACTCAGGAGAAATGTTTTGGCCCAACTCTTCGTCCGTCTGGAACACCTCCGAGCTGTGAAACCGGCCAAGTACGGATAACTAAAAGTGAAATCATTTCTATTCATGGTTAATATTCCCCACTAACTTTCTTTTGTTGAATTCGTATCTAGATCTTCTGTCCCATGAATAAATCTTGTACTTCGAAAGAGATGTGCGATAAAGCTTGTCCAGATGGCCAGGTCTGTATGCGAGGAACTCTCAAAGTATAAAAAAAGTAATGTGAATATTCTAAACCCATTTCTAAAATTGATTTTAGATGTTCTGTAAAGTTATTCGCGGTTGTACAACTAAACAAAAATGCGACGCAGCATTGGCAGATTTGGAACAAAAGAAAAAGGATTGTGAAAAGAAAAGTCTCGTAAGTTTAATTTCCTCAACTTTCATTTACCAAGACAGCGATGACTAAAAACATCTGGAGTTGACTAACAACAAACATAATATCTTATCTGGTTTGGGTAATTTTGTTTTAAGGATAAAAATATTTTGTTAAACTTATAGATCTATTGCCCTCTCTACAAAAATTGTTCAGCCCCAAAGAATTGTCGAGAAGGCTCTTGGGACGATATACATCCTTATTGTGGAGATGACCAGGTAAGATTGATTTGGAAACAATAATCATCATTTGTTGTACTACAAAATAGAGACAATAGAGATTTTGAAAAGTCATCGGAGAAATAACTTTCAGGCTATGATTTTCATTGTTGGATCAACAAACTTTCTTTTGTCGAATTCGTATCTAGATCTTCTGTCCTATGAATAAATCTTGTACTACGAAAGAGATGTGCGATAAAGCTTGTCCAGATGGCCAGGTCTGTATGCGAGGAACTCTCAGAGTATAAAAAAAGTAATGTGAATATTCTAAACCCATTTCTAAAATTAATTTCAGATATTTTGCAAAGTTATTCGCGGATGTACAACTAAACAAAAATGCGACGCAGAATTGGCAGATTTGGAACAAAAGAAAAAGGATTGTGAAAAGAAAAGTCTCGTAAGTTTTCTTCAACTTTCATTTACCAAGACAGCGATGACTAAAAACAACTGGAGTTGACTAACAACAAACATAATATCTGGTTTGGGTAATTTTGTTTTGAGAAAAAAAATATTTTGTTAAATTTATAGATCTATTGCCCCCTCTACAAAAATTGTTCAGCCCCAAAGAATTGTCGAGAAGGCTCTTGGGACGATATACGTCCTTATTGTGGAGATGACCAGGTAAGATTGATTTTGAAACAATAATCTTCATTTGTTGTACTACAAAATAGAGACAATAGAGATTTTGAAAAGTCATCGGAGAAATAACTTTCAGGCTACGATTTTCATTGTTGGATCGACTAACTTTCTTTTGTCGAATTCGTATCTAGATCTTCTGTCCCATGAATAAATCTTGTACTACGAAAGAGATGTGCGATAAAGCTTGTCCAGATGGCCAGGTCTGTGTGCAAGGAACTCTCAGAGTATAGAAAAGTAATGTGAATATTCTGAACACATTTCTAAAATTTATTTCAGATATTTTGCAAAGTTATTCGCGGTTGTACAACTAAACAAAAATGCGACGCAGCATTGGCAGATTTAGAACAAAAGAAAAAGGATTGTGAAAAGAAAAATCTCGTAAGTTTTCTTCAACTTTCATTTACCAAGACAGCGACAACTAAAAACAACTGGAGTTGAATAAAAAGAAACATAATATCTGGTTTGGGTAATTTTGTTTTGAGAAAAAAAATATTTTGTTAAATTTATAGATCTATTGCCTCCTCTACAAAAATTGTTCAGCCCCAAAGAATTGTCGAGAAGTCCCTTGGTACGATATACGTCCTGATTGTGGAGATGACCAGGTAATATCTGCTTTGGAGTAAAATGATCCATGGTAAGGGTGCATGAATAAACAATGGGTAACTGCATGATCAGGTAATACTGAACAAAATCTTATTCATAATCGACGTCTTCCTTATTTTCGATGATTGGTTTCTTCTCTTGGCAGAAAAGATGCAAAGACAAATGTATTGAGATAAAAGAAAAATGTGATTGTGGGGAGAATATGACTTATTGTGATTCAAAAGAAAGATGTATGCCAAAATGGAAGTTGAAAGACAGATTTGAATGTCCACCTGTGTGTCGTGGGAAAGCGGAGGTTTGTTTCATTCAGTTCATTATCACGATATCTTCATTTATTTAACGCTAAAAATGGTGCAGGTCCACGGTTTCTTAATGTAGTAAGACCATGCCCAATCGAAGATAATTTAGTCTTTGCTATACCCCCGTCTCTATTGACCGTATGTTAGCTGACTTTAAGCTCAATAACTATTATTCTTCCTAGCGTTACTGTCCGTTCTCAGAAAAATGTATTGGAAGAGACGAGTTATGCAAATGTCCAGACGACAAACCAGTAAGTCGCGATCTTTTTGCTGCAATTCCAAGGACGTCTTTTAGATGACAAAATATCAGCTTATAGGACACGTTTCTGGTCTTTCCGGATGCAGATGGATAATCTAATGTATAATTGAATTTCAGGTCGCTTGTGGAGTACTGAAAACATGCATTAATAGCACAGAAACATGCCCTTGTCCTAAAGACCACACCTTCTGTAAAAATATCTGGGGATGTTTACCAAAGGGAGAGAAATGTCCTTTATGTGAGAAAGGAGAGGTGGGAGGAATACTCAAATTTTGAAGAAGTCTTACTTTGTTATAGTATCAAGCATAATAAATTAAACTGAGTCATTTGTGTTGATTATCAGCCCAATAACGGGTTGAAGTATCTCATAGAACATGCTTATTTTTCTTAGAAATACTGTCTTTTCCGTGATCGTTGTATTTCTGGTGAAAAAGATTGTGGATGCCCGGCAGACACTGTGAGTATCTTTGGAGATCATGCAACAGTCACAGCTTGTCATGATATATGAAAAACTAAATGTTTAATACTCAGTTTTGCTTACCACGAGTCCAGTAGTTGGAAACTTAGAATGTTTTTCTCATACTTGGGTCGTTCTCCTAGAAATTCTGTCCATTTCGACGCGATCCTAAGATGCCAGCTTGCGCAAACATTACCGTTGATGAAGACGCATGTGACTGTTCGGATACCAAGGTCAGTATAACAAGAGTTTGCTTCAGTCTCACTGAAGACATCTTTTAACACGATAGTGATTGTTTGTTTTTTAATTTTTTCCTTAGAAAAAATGTTTGACTCAAATGCGATGTATTGACAAAGACGAGACATGCGCGTGTCCAGAAGGTCAAGAATATTGTCCAAGGAATGGAGAATGTGCAGCTGGAGGTTGCCGCAAAGATGATTGTTCTGAAGATGAGGTTGTTTACTGATAACATAAAAAAACTATGCATAATAATCACTGCGTATTCCGAGAAATATTGTTTTAAAATATTCGTTTATCATTGATAACCCTGTAGAAGGACTAATGTAGCTCGGTCGAGACGCATGTCGAAAAAGCTTATTTTTATACTTGTGTTGAATGTTTAGATATTTTGCAAGGCGACTGGAGAATGTACAACGCGGGAGAAATGTCCTGGTCCTCCAACCCTTCGTCCGTCTGGACCACCCCCGAACTGTAAAAAAGGCGAAGTAAGGATGGTTATGTTATATTCTTTCTCGAAAATTAATTGAATCGTGATAAGGTGGCCAAGACAGTTCGTAGCTAAAGATATTTGGAATTATTTATTTTTCATAACAGCGTCTTGCGTTTAACGTTGATTTCATGCTGATTTCAACGAGAATTGCAAAGGATAGGTCTACTAAAAAATGTTTTTCTTTTGTTTAGATATTTTGCAAAGCATTAAGAGTTTGTACAACAGCTAAGAAATGCGCAAATGAAGGTCCGTTAACACGTCAACCCAGTTTATCGAGTGATCCGTGTCCAAAAGGAGAGGTTGGTTATTTTAATCACGTTGTTCTGTGCAAATATCCTGGAATAAATGACACAAAACAATAATTGATGTAACTTTTAATCAAATTGATATTACACACGCTAGTGCTGTGCATGTGTTTATTTTCAAATACTATGAATGTTTTTTTTCGATTTTAGGCGTCTTGCGTGCCAAAATCTTCAAAACGTCCCCCGATCTCTAAGAAACCTCTCCCGATCTCTAGAAAACCTCTCCCGATCTCTATAAAACCTCTCCCGATCTCTAGAAAACCTCTCCCGATCTCTATAAAACCTCTCCCGATCTCTGAAAAACCTCTTCCGATCTCTAAAAAACCTCCCAAAGACAAAAATAATTACTTCTTTCTTGGTACCATACATGGCAACATTGCTGAAGAGCATAATCGTGGTTTTGTCCTTGGAGAGCGTCTGAAATTTAAGGAGGCTTTATTTGAAGGAACACTAGGTAATGTCGATGGTCGTTGGCAGATGAAGAAGAGTACCGTAGGAAGTCGTGCAAAAGCAACCTGGAGTTCTGTTAAGAAAGGTAAATTGTTATTGTGATGATTGATATTCGTGGTCATGCTAAAAGCTTCGCCATGTAGAGATCTGTTTTAGCAGACGGTCTTGTCTGAGATCTAAGGTTGATTCAATAAATCAACTGTTTTACTACTCCAGTTTTTATTTAGTTTTATCTATATTAATCTTTGCTTTATTTCTCAGTATTTGTTGTGTAATTTTTTACAATATATTTACAATATTTTTTCTCCCCAGGAGTCAAGATCTCTCTAAGAGACAGCATCAGGTTTCTTCCGGCCAACTTTTCAGTTCATGGTTTTGAAGGTGTGGAAGTGAAAATTAACGATCAATCAAAATACTTTGGTATAATAATCCTCCCCTGCATTGTTCCAAAACTTCAAGTGAAGAAAGAATTATCAGGTATGATTCGGTGATTTTAATCGATTTGATTCGTATAATTTCATAAAATATGTGTCAACTAGCCTGTAGAAAAACTTTATAACAACTCTCAGCCATTCTTAAGCAATTAATAAACACAATTTATGCTAAACTTATTTTCTTTCTAGCGACGGAGGAAGAGCTTTTGAAATTCAATTTTGATGATGTTTTTTCTGTCACTCGAAAGCCACTCAAAAATCTTGTATCAAACCTTGTTGATGAATACAACGAGTTTGTGCCTAATAAAACACTTGATGAATACGCCAAGATGTTGAAAGCTTCCTCTGTTGGCTCAAACCTCGGCATTATGGTCATGTTGAATAGTAAACATATGTTAATGGAACAGAAAGAGGAACTTGATAAAGACGGGTTTTCTGATAAACGACTACTACCAATATTGTAAGTATTTACACAACAGTTGCGGCAAAAATTAGTCGTATTTACAACCAAGAGCTCCACCCAGCTCCTCGATGGAACTTAAGTGGGCAACCAAATGATTATGTTTATTTCTCTTCAGTCCAAAGAGATTTGATGTTGGAAGTAAGCTGGCGTTTCGACCTGCAAAAGATGAAACTGGTATAGTCAAAATCATTGTCTTCCCTGTTGATTTACCGCCAGAGAGCAAAGAATTCAAGTGAGTTGAGAATATTAGATTTTGAAAAAAACCCAGCAATTGTACTGACGTAAGAAGCAAGAGCTTCAATTTGCTGAAGGTATATAAATGACGTTATTCAGTTCATATCATAATTTTTCTTAGAAATTCTTGTGGTGTTGGAAAAGGAGTGGAGCTTATTATCAACATTGCCAATGTGAATGACAGACCAATGCCTCGTCCCATCGATCCTAGAAACCCAAAGAAACTAAGGATTATTGTTGATGCACCCCCCCTGCCTCATAAACTGGAAAACGATTTGGCAAATGAAGGATTTCCGGTTGGAAAATTCGCAGGGAAAGGTATAAATTTTATAAAATTTGACTATATAACGACACCAATGCAATCATTACTAAATTAATGATGGTGCGACTGCACCGATCTATTTTTTTAACGCAAAGTGCATAAATATTTTAGCTGGCACTGACGCAGACGGTGATAGCCTCGGGATTGCTGTGGTGAAGGGAGGAAGATCTGAAATCGGACAATGGCAATATCGTGATAAAAATGACGTTTGGCAGAACATTCAGATGGCTGTAAATGTTAACAATAAAGGAACAATTGAAGGCGACCAAGCAGAACTGCTTTTTTTGACACCTGCTCGAAAGATAAGATTTAAACCAGCAAAAAACAATTCAGTTTGGCGCGAACGTGAAGCATTGAGGACTATGTTACGTTTTCTTTTGTGGGATCAATCTGACGGTTTGGAATCTGGACTTCATAACATCTCTTGGAAAGGTTTGTGTCTGATAACCAAGACAAATACTCAGCAGTTGCAAGTCGATGAAAACGTTTCAATCTAAGTCCATAGCCCGTTGTTAACATCTTAAGACCTCTATTGACGACCGTATGCAAGATAGCGAAATATGACACGAACAGAAACTTGATTAATTTATTTTAAGAACGCTTTTTTAACAAATAAATGAAGTCATGTTCAATTTTATTGCAGGAAGCAGTTCTCTCAGTTCTCAACTCTTAACTACATTTATGAAGATAAAAGGCTGTGACGGTCGTCCCGGTTCTGGTTTGACTGAGAATGAATGTGGTGAATGTGGGAAGAAAACTTGTGTGAAATGTGATGGTCGTACCGACTCTGATGCGGTTTGGAACGAATGTAAAATATGTGTGCTTGGTAGCACAGGCAAAAATATATCTGCTGGGAAAGATTGCCGAGGAATTTGTAAGGGATCCTTCATCATGCATAAAAAATGCAAGAAATGTGTATCCAAAGGAAAGCAGGTGATTAACGTCCTAATATATCTCTGATTATCCCAGGTAGTCTGCGATCAATGCACTCACTTGCCCCTGGTGTATTTCGTCAGCATGAAAACTAGAATAAGAATATTGTTTTGAAATCTATTTTAGGTAACTGATTGCAGTGGAACGTGTCTTGGCACAAAGAGAATGCAACGTTGTAAAGTATGTTCACATGACAAGAAGGCGGGTGAAGATGCCTGTGGCGTGTGTGGGGGAGATAATTCAACATGTGTTGGATGTGATAATGTGCCTAATAGTAAGAAAAAATGGGATAGATGCAATAATTGCTTGGATCCAGAATCACCACAGTTTAACAAAGGTAAAAAATAATTTGCTATATGATTTCCGTACATGAAGTCTTCATCATGTCGTCCGGAACTCGGATATCCTCGGATGTACAGAGCGCATTGGATGTGCATAATATCAAACATCATACCATTCATACCATCAACACATCATACTGTATACCATCAACACATCATACTGTATACCATCAACACATCATACTGTATACCATCAACACATCATACTGTATACCATCAACACATCATACTGTATACCATCAACACATCATACTGTATACCATCAACCGCATACCATGCATCCCTAACATACACCACAATGATGATATACTGTAACATAACAACATGCACATCCGTATTTATATTCATAGGTTGTATTAAGTTGGGAGCAATTTCACCAAAATCTCATGAAACTGGCAAAAAGATAGTTTACAAAATTAAAGCAAGTGGTTTCTCAGAAAGTGGCGCAACTTGTGAGCTCCGTCTTGGCGACGTCCGCGTTCCATTACAAGTATCGGTGAAATCTTTGCAACTAACAGCTGAAAAAGTTGATAAACCTGGAGTTTATGACCTAGTATGTACGATCTCTGGGAAGGAATATGCTTTGCAGAAAGCAGTCACTGTTCTTCGTGAAAAAATCATTGTCTCCAGGGTTGATCCAAGAGAAGTCGACGTTGATAGTGAGGAAATTAAACAAGTTACAATAACTGGACAGGGTTTTATGGATTCTCAGGCACTTTCTTGTATATACAGCGATGGTTCTGGCCGAAAACACGAGTCACTTCCAGCAATATTTGTCAGTCCTACTGAATGCAAATGTAATGTTAGCAGAAAACAAAGCCGAAAAATTAAAATTTCTATCACATTTGACCGAAACGAAGGTATTTCGAAGTCTTACGTGGAAGTTATAGTGCAAGACGAAGCCGTAAATATCATGAGGTACACACTAAACAATCGAGCCAAGACGATTTCTATAATCTTTGAAAGAGAAGTGAAAAATATCCGTGGATGTGAGAAAATCTTTAATGAAGCTACGATGAAAAAGCTAAAAGATTTGGCAGGGAAGCGGAAAATTTCTTGTAATTTCAAGAAAGCAAACGAGCTGTATATTCGTATACCTGGGGCTGCAATTGATGAAGGTAATCTACTCTAGTTTAGCTTTATTCAGCGTTAATGCAATGCTTACCGCTGACGACAATATAGTGCGCACTCTTTTATCAAGATATCACGATTATTTTCTTTTTCAGACCTTCGACTCGTTTTCAAAAATGACGTCATCAAGGCGGGAAAGGGATTCAGCCGACCTTCAGGGGAACTCACTGTCACTGTTAAAGCTCCACCGAAAGAGATCCCGACTGCAGTTATAACAGGCCCGGAAGAAGTTGGCTCAAGTCATGGGATTAGAATCACTGCCAAAAACTCGAAAAACACCGGCAAACGTTATAATTGCAGTTGGCAGTTCAGTATTGAAGGAGTTGATGATGAAAGTAGCTTGAGCAGTGAGGTTAAAGCCGACTTGCGTTCGCTCCGAGTTCTATTTAAAGATCGATGTATGTTCAAGATTTCAAAGACCAACGTTCTTGCAGGGTATACGTATGTATTGACACTTGTTGTGTCAAACGGACAAGTCTCAAGTCCTGAGGCACAACATAGCATACGACGTTCAAACAAGGAAATTCCTTCTGTAAGATTTATCACCAAAGCCACTGTTTTTGATATGAGACGAGCAAAGTTTCGCATAAAGGTTGTAGCCAAAATACCAGAGGGTATTAAAGATTCAAAACTACAATACTCTTGGAGTTGTGATCCTATGGTCGAATTATTAATTAGTAATAAACCGGAACTAATACTATTATCCAGGTTAGTGAAAGTTTTTATTGTAGTAATTGCATTGATGCAACATAAAATGTTTGTTTTAACGTATTAAATTAGTTTGTTTAATATATTTCAGGGATTTGGATTGCGGTGTACAATACCGATGTTCTATTAGCGTTTATCCTGACAGCAATCCGGATTTGCAAGGTACCTGTTTCTATAACTTCCCTCCTCCCATCTCGTATAATCTCTTCTGTTATCTCTGCTTAGTTTCAAATCTCTTTTATTCATTTCTTTAGTTGAATTGACCTACAACATCACAACGAAAGCTTCAGATTTGGTGTACACAATAAGAGGAGGTGACCGAACTGTTCCCTCTGGTGGTGATTTCAAACTAAAAGCCAGGTATTTATATTTTTTTTTTGTCATTCTATCATCTTCCAACCTCGAAAGATGCGTTCTTTCTTTACAGAAAAATAAGTAAACCGGAATGTGTTGGGAAATTGAGATACATTTTCTCATGTGTTGATGACGATGACATGCCGTGTCTGGTGAAAACCAAGGATGGAAAATATGAATTAATGAATGACACTGATCGTGATACTCTTAACATGAAGGCAAACCTATTTGAATCAAACAAAACGTAAGTATGAATAATATAACTAATAGATCATGTAAACTGCGGAGAAACTGCTGAAATATGCAGTGTGATCCCAAACAGAACGTCTTACTAACCAATATGATTGTGTCTTCCTGCGACAAACAGTAAAACTATTCATGAACTTGAAGCATGATTTTTCTTTTTTTTCTATAATATTCAGCTACACCTTCAAGCTTGCCGTCTTCGGAGGAACTTATAAAAGTGAGTCATCAGTAAAAGTCACAATTGCTCCGGGAACTCCACCCACAGTTACGATTAAAAAACCCAAGGATGGAAAAAAGCCTATCGTCATTGTTTTTATCAAGTCGTCTTCAAATTCACCAATATCGTTCAACTGTGAAGGTGTTGTTGAGTCAGGTGAGTATTTCACTCTCGTTCGCTGTGGTTGTGGCTGAGAATGACTGAGAATGACTGAGAATGTGGTAACATAAATACATTTGTTCAAGGATTAATCGCAATATTTCACCTCACTTTGCAAAGAAATAAGCTGAAAATAGAACAGGAAAAATGGAATTCTTTATTTATTCTTACAGGATATGGCTTCATTGATTTCCAAGACAAGAGCAAAGTTCGAGGAAATTCACGCGGGGAGAATATGGTTTTTAGACGACGAAGATTGAAATTGGCATTGAAAGACTTAGCACCTGGTGTGACGTATAAAATAAGATGTCGCGCATATCACATTGACGCCCCTGATGAAGTTGGAGAGAGCACGTCATTGATTGATACTCCCAGTCCACCTCAGGGAGGTGAGATTACAGCAAATTTGTGATAGTCCTATATTAACTAGCATATATTAACTATCATATATTAACCATCATATGTTAACTATCGTAAACTAACTGTCATGTATTAAAAGTCATATACTAACTGTCATATATTAATTATAATATATTAACTGCGCTATAATAATTATCACTCTGTGTTTTTAGGCTTACTGACAGCCGAACCTGCTGAGGGTATTTCTTCAGAAACATCATTCAGTATTGTTGCAGAAGAATTCATTAGCAATTCATCCATTTCCTACAGTTTTTACACCGAAAACAAAAAAGGAGAACGTATGTTGCTCGGTAAGTTCTACTAAATGTCCTTGTGACGACTTATTTAGAATATTTAGAAATATCTTCTCATTGTGAGATGGCCTCTATTAATTAAGCAGTACTTTGAAGAAGCGATTTAATAATCTTTCTCATTTGTTAATTAGTATCAAACACCGAAGCTTCAGTAGAGTTTCAAATGCCACCAGGAGAAGATAATGATGATTATGATCTTATTATTGTTGTTGTTGCCTCAAACGAGTTTGGAAAATCTGAGTCTAGAACCAATATTAAAAGCCGTCCTAAACAACTTAACACGAGCGATTTCGAGAGTTTTGAGGAGACGATGACGAACTACGAGAACGAGGGCGACAAGACAGCTCTTGTCGTGTTTGCCCTTAGTGTTGCATCCACTGCTAAAGTAAGTAAATTATTTTTCAAATAATCATGATATTAGTGTTTTGTATTATGCAAGATACCGACCTCAAATTATAATAAAAAGTAAGTATATTTTTTATGTCTTATCTCTTATACATTAGTCTTATATATTTTTCATTTTTAGGGTCAAGAAAAAGTTAAAGGTAAAACTAGTTCATTTTTTGCCTTATTTTCGACCTTCAGGAAGAAAAGTGTTTTATTGTGTCTTTAATTTGACTTATTCATGTTTCGCAGACAAAGTGAATGAACTTCAAGAAAACACTGCGCAAGTGCTGGTCGTTCTTTTGGCTGAAAAACGCAAAGAAGGGACCGCGGATGTAAAAGTCCTGTTTGCCCTCGCCAGAAATACCAAACCTCAAAACGAAGACACAAAAAAAGCTTTGGCGGATGAAGTGAGTGGTGCCGTCGAGGAGACAGTCTCTAAAACAGTGAAACGCCGAGATGATTTTGAGAAGACTGGTGGCAAGTCGCGACGAAGACGTGCCGTTGAAGAAGAGAGTGGTGATGATGACGATGACGATGCAGGAATGTCCATTGATGAGGTGAATAAAATACGGTCCGGAAGATGTGATTGAACCAATTGATTATTGGTTTTTAAGTGTTATTATATTGAATTAATAATTCCTAATTAATAATTTTTTTTATGAATTTTCAGATCGAAGACACTTTAGCAACATTTGAGAATCTCATTGATACATCAGTTGTAAACAACAACACTGAAAACTTTTTACAATCAGTTGATAGTCTCTTGATTAACATGTGTAAAGATCTGCCTTTGGGAGACACGTCTGTGGCGTTGTCGAATATTGCCATCCTCAAGACCGATATGAATTACTTGGATAATGCAGACGGAACATTCATAAATATGTCGTGTACCAACTGCTCAATGTTAAACCAAAGCGCACTTGTTAAGTTTGGCAGTGAGGTAAAATTCCACACTTTAATATACAGCTGTACAAATGCTCCAAATTGAATATTTCTAACACAGTAATCGTTGTCCCGCCCAGCCCTGATTCAATTACCCGAATCTCTATTTTGGTGAAAATACCGCTTCTCCATTGCACAAATAGATAAAACAGATGTACAACGAATGGAACTGTTCTGGAACGGATGAACTCTGCAATGGTCTGTGTGCAGCGATGGTCCAGTACCCTCATGATTTCATCACGGCTGTAAAATCTCCTGTGCGAATGAGTGATGTCTTGTTTCTTGAGTTGAAGAACCCGGAGACCCAGGACTTTATTCCAGTCAATATCTCGCAACCCATTCTCTTCCAAGTACCATTGCACGCTGGGTTTTCTGAAAGCAGCGGACACAAGGTATGATTGGCTATTCAGGATGGGGTTAGGATTTAAGTTAGGATTTAAGAGATTTGTCGTTATTCTGTCTATCATTTCACGAGTGATAAATTGTACAAAGCAGAATGGTCATCGAAAATGGATCATTTTGTAATTTCAGTGTGTGATCTGGAGTGAGAGCGAAGATCAGTGGTCAACATCAGGATGCCAAAGAACACGATCTTTTACTAAAGATGGCGTTGTCTTTGTTGAATGCAGCTGCACAAAACTTGGTTATATCACAATTCATGAGAGTGACGAACAGTTTATTACAACCACCAAAAAACCAACTACCCAACAACCTAATACTACCCAGGCTCCAACATCACAGCCAACTAACGGAAATAGAGTGACAGCCGCTAATGGTGCGTTATGTGGTATATTTCAATAAAACCGTTGAAAAACCATGTTAATATATATGATTCTATGTTCTCTAGAACGCCGTGTTGCCAAAGTTGAGTTCAAATTTGACGCAGATTACAAGGTTGTTGTTCGGGATGATGAGACAAAACAAAAACTATTGAACGTCATTGAAGATGAACTTGCTGATACGATGACGGTTGATCGCTCCATGATCTTAAACGTTACCATTACTCCTGGAAGTATCCTGGTCAAATTTATTCTTTTGGCCCCTGAAAAAAGTAAGTTGAAAGGATTAGATTGCTTGATAATGGCCAAATCTGATCTGATATCATTTGCTTGTCAGAGTTGTTTTACACGGATTACCTTTCGTTAACGTCCTTGGCAACACTCGCTCGTCAAAAATCTGAATTTTATCAAAAAACTTTTTAGATCCTGACATTGGTATGAATTATTCTTTGACCAAACTTCAATTCGCTGTCAACGATGGAAAATTTACAATTTTCTTCAACAATCAGCAACTGACAGGTGCGGTTAATTAATACTACACTGCTACACTCCTCTTATTACAAAAGACAGTTTATTGAACTCTACAGGAATGGTGACATCCACGTTTTGTTTGTAACAAATTATTCTCTTCTTGCTTAGCCGAGAATGGAACAATGAAGTATGTTCGCACGACCATGGCTGGCGTGACCCCGGATGAGACGAGTGCTAAGACCAAGTCTGAAGAAGTTGAAAGTAATTTGGTTGTCATTCTTGTTGTTGTATTTTGTGTACTTTTGATCGTCGTCATTATTGGAGTTCTCCTCTTCCGACGTCATCTTAGTCAGCAGACGAAGGTTTCACATGGAAATATCCAACAAGACGTTGCCATGACCGCTCAGAATGAAAACTACCAGGGATCTGTCGACAAGACTCCTGGGAACGCTGCACCACTGGAAGCACGCCTTTCTTCAGGTTATAACTAACCTTCGTTATAGAATAATGTTGAAGAAACCGAAATAGGAAACAGGCTATATACTTTAGCAAGGACATCCTTGTTGTCCACTCTCTGAAGAAAACCCAGTTTAATCGAGGTTATATCAGACAAAATCAACTGCAGGAAGTGAACTCAATGTATTGATGGTTTTTTATGCTATTTCTTTGCAGGGTCTTCAGGACAAGCCAGTCCTCGTCAAACAGCTGAGCTGCCTCATGTGGATTAACTCGCTGGCCTTGTAGTCCAATCTTTTTCATTATTTTGCACAGTCTTATCGTGCGCTATGTAACAAACTATATATATAACCATAAACTCTTTTTTATTGCATATATCCTTTTAAACGGATGCATGGCCGTTGAAAGCACCCACCTTTTTTGCAGGCGAATTTTATCGAAACTATTTGCAGTTGTTTTAGATTTTTACAATGTCTTTTTAAATTTTTTATCCTAGCTGACAAGTTTCTGACGCAAGATCTTTTTCTGATCTCTAAAATCTGTTCTTATCCTCGTGGCCTCATTGGCCTTGTAACTATTGTTCTAAAACTGAAAAAGTACTAAAGGTTTACTTAACTTTCTTATTTGTCAAAAACGCTACATTTTTTCAGGAAATAATTTCAGTTTTATGATTCCCAATTTTCATCACTATCACGTGGAACATTTCAGGTATGCGCAAATATTAAACAAACTAAACAAAAAAACTTTAAAGAAACAAAAACTAAACAAAAAAAACAAAGTATGCTATAATATATGATAGAATTACTTTGCATTGCATGTGTGTCTAATATCTTTATTGTATGCAACCATTTAACATATTATATAACCATTTAGAATATATCACACTTAAAGTATATAAAATATATACATTTAAGGTATATAACCATTTACAATATAAAACCATATGTTAATGCACTGTGATAATAATATTTGCATGAAGCTGATCTGGAATGTTGGATGTTGTAGTAAGAATTACCGAAAGGCTGAAATAAATGAGATCACACCCACATGCAACCACATTGACTACATTATATCTTTCTTTCTAAAGTTACAATAGTCTGCCATGGGCCACAATTCATATCCAATATTTTTCCATCAATGTTTTCAAAATATTCAACTACAGTGGGTCTGTTCCTATCTTGGTCATCTCCATGACCTAATTGACCATATTTCCCCCAGCCCCATGTCAATACACTTTGTCTTGGTTCTGACATCACAGCTCCAGAATGCCTTGCACCACAAGCAACATGGTTAACACTAACCTCTTGTGGAAAATCAACAATATAGGGTAATGTGTAAAATGTTTCGGGAACCTCTGGAGGAAGGCATGTAATCCCCAACTGTCCATGATTGTTCCAGCCCCATGCATAGATATCCCCAATATTACTCAATGCAAGTGAATGCCAGCCACCAGCACTCACTTGGTTCATATGAACACCAGTTAATGCATCAATAAGTCTAGGAATGGTTTCTTCATCAACACCACCATGACCAAGTTGCCCTCGAGTACCAATGCCAAAACTAAAGACATGTCCAGATGTTTTGTTTAATATTAATACATGTTCTTTTCCACAGCTGACTTCATCAACTTTTACTTTCATTTGTATTGGTGAAAAAAGCAAAGGTGAACTCTTTGAACTATCAATATTCATGTCCGTTTTTGATGAATATGCTTTGCCATTCTCATCAACAGTAATTGCATGCATTTGACCAACATCAGCACTTTTAAATTTCGTTTCATTCTCATAAACACTAGTTTTCCAATCACCATGCAAGTTTGAGATGACATGACACTTTCCTTCATTGCAAATTAACATCACTTTTTCCCAGTCAGCTTGGAGATTTAGGATTTTGCTGGGAATTGGTAAAAGCATGTTTTCCATAGCAGCAACTTTTTTCCCATTGAACCAACCATAAGCATGGACTTTGCCAGTCTTCTTACACAAATGAAAAATAGTTGACCAACATACACAGGTTGTGTCAAAAGTTGGGGAGCAATTTATCTTTATTGGACTGGTATAACTTAATTTACTTCCCAAACACTCATTCTCCTCTCTTGAGCTGTTTTGCTCTCTTGAAAAGCTGAAAAACTTTCCAAAACCAAAAAAATACTGTTCTTTTCTTTTTTTCACTCCTTCGACGTTCTCCATCTTGTATTTAGGCGCCTGCAATTTTACCTATACGGTGTGAGAACTTCATGAAAGGTCAGGTTGAATGTCAACATTTAAATCCAATAATGGCTGCTAATGTGGAAGTCCAGAATTTAGTTGTTAATCCGGAAAATAGTGTTGAATCTCCGTAAGTTTGAAATTTTTAGGTTTTACAAGTGATGCATGGTAGTGATAAACCTAATTTATCTGGAAATATTTCTGTACAATCGTCAGGTGGAAATTTAAAATGCTAGATCATGTTTTAAAACCTATTAAAGACCTTAATATAGCCAATTATGTTATATTTCTTCAGAATGGTTGTTGATAAAAGTGAGCAAGGTGAAAGATGGGCTGACGTTGAAAGAATATTGAACAGAAACGGACCAATGGCTCACCCAGACTTTGAGCCTGGTCCTGACGTAAGATCTAGCTATGATCCAAAATTGGTGACAATCTATGTTGTCCAGATCTAAATCGTCTAATTATATAATATCTCAGAGGTTGTGTGATTATTTGCAGCAGATTTCCATCATTGTGCAGGTTTTCCAGTTTGTGAAAGAAGTTATAAAAATTCTTGTAATTGGTGCTGGTGGCTTGGGGTGTGAATTACTTAAAGATTTGGTATGAAGACCTCTGATATCAGAAATAGATATCTCAAATTTATAAGGGTGGTCATGTTAATTATCCTGGCTTGATATTGTCACCTTTTGTTACCTCTCTAATAAAGCCTTCTCTCTGATATGACAGAAAGATCTCCAATATTCAATTATATATGTTTTTAGGCACTTTGTGGTTTTCAAAATATTGATGTCATTGATATGGACACAATTGACCTTTCTAATCTCAACAGACAGTTCCTATTTAGGTTAGAATTATTTTTAATGACTACTATATGAGGTATGTTATACAACCAAATAACCCAACCTTTAATAACCCTGGTCACTACTCATTTTAATAGAACAAAGGATATTGGTCAATCAAAAGCAAAAGTGGCAGCTGAGTTTTTAAACAACCGTATTGAGGGATGTCAGGTTACACCGTATCCTTTAAAATCATTATAGCATCCTGACCAAGCATTAGGAAATATATTTATTTTTGGTCTTAATTCTTACAAGACATTTCTGTAAAATACAAGACAAAGATGATGATTTTTATAAAGGTTAATTGATTCAATGTTGATATCAATATCATGCAACAGTATTCGTAAATTTTATTTTTTTAATGTGTGCAGGTTTTCATATTATTGTGTGTGGTCTGGATTCTGTAGTTGCTAGAAGGTGGATAAATGGAATGTTGGTGAGTGGAAATTAAATTTTATGTGAAAATCAAAATTTGAATTGACAATTAATGCTACTTTTAGACTTGTAATTTACCTTGCATAAAATTGGTGCAAATTCAAGATAGGTTCTTAATATAACATGTGGAATGGCATTTTCTATTTGCAGGTTAGTTTACTGGACTATGATGATGATGGTAATGTTGACCACAGTACAATAATACCTATGGTGGATGGTGGAACTGAAGGTATTTTATATGTGGTCGCGACATATCTTGTAGTTAATCTTAGCTGCACAATTCAAATAATAATCTTTTGGTTGCAGCATTCAAGGGCAATGCAAGAGTTGTCATCCCTGGTGTCACAGCTTGCATTGAATGCACTTTGGATCTCTTTCCACCCCAGGTAATTCCCAGCAACGGTATTCCCAGGTATTCCTAAAAATCAATAGTCTGAAAATAATGAAGCATAATCAACGACGGAAAAATATTTCTGTAAATTTTAGATAAACTATCCCATGTGTACAATTGCTTCCACACCAAGACTGCCTGAACATTGTGTTGAGTATGCAAAAGTTCTTCAGTGGTCAGAAGAAAAACCATTTGGAGGTGGACAATGTTTTTTTCTTTTGTAGTTCAGAAACTGAGTATTGACCATACAGCATATTTATACCAGAGATGGAGAATTCATCTGTGTCTAAAGTCTTTCTCTATTCTCTGTAATCTGCCACTACTGATTGACATACATGCCTTGATGTATTTTAATATTTAATTTTAAGATAATACTCCAGTTGATGGTGACAATCCCCAACATGTTCATTGGATTTATGAGCAAGCCCTAAAGCGGTCTGAAGACTATAATATCAGGGGAGTCACTTACAGACTGACACAAGGTAACACATAACTGATGATGAAGTCATTGTTAGTAAAACCAAAGCTACATTATGATGTTTTATGATTTTTTCAGGTGTTATCAAACATATAATTCCTGCTGTTGCATCAACAAATGCAGTTATTGCTGGTAATTGACCAGATTTGAGCCTTTCTGCCTTCAATTTTTATCCACAATATGTGTGTAATGTAAAATGTTAATTGTTGTTTTTTAGCTACATGTGCATTGGAAGTTTTCAAATTAGCAACCAAGTAAGTTAACATTTAAATTATTATGTACAGTATGTAATGGAGGAAGTGTATAATAAATGTATTGTTAACATTCTGATGCATTTCCAGTTGCTGCAAGCCTCTTAATAATTATATGGTTTTCAATGATTCTGATGGATTGTACACTTATACATTTGAAGCAGAGAAAAAGGTAATTGGTTGATATTTGATTGCTATAATTTGTTCTACATGAATGCTGATGCCTTTCACTGCAGTCTTGCCTGGAGAAACATCAATGCATTGATTATGATGCATTAATTGATGATGCATTAATTGATTTTTATCATAAATGTTTTTAGGAAGACTGTTCTGCATGTGGTCGAATACCTCAACGTCTGAAATTCTCTCAGGATGATACACTACAAAATCTTATAGATTACCTCATAGAAAGTCAATTATTGTAAGTAAATTGTATAATAATTAATATACTGTACTTATATTTTGAAATTAATATTTTAACAGTTGCTAGGTAATGAAGAACAAACAACTCTGAGCCAAGTGTTCAAAAAATCTTGATCATTCTGCTTTTTAGTCAAATGAAAGCACCAGGTATTACTACATCCATAAATGGAAAAAATAAGACATTATACATGAAGGTGAGCATCAGCATATTCAAGTCTTAAAAATATTGCCATTTAATGAACTGCTGGTTTTTTATCAATCCTTAAAATATATTTCTTAGAGCGTTCCATCAATTGAAGCAATGACTAGACCTAACTTAGAAAAGAAACTCCAAGGTACTGACCACTTTAGATAATGGGGTGCTTGTCTTAAATTGTGCTGGTTCGTGCAAAAAAAAGTTGTCATGTTGTGGAGTTCAGCACTATATCAATTTTTTTAGAACTTGGTATAACAGATGGTCATGAAATTGCTGTGGCTGATTCTACCTCACCCAAACCAATCATATTCCGAATTTCCTTTGAATGAAACATTGTTCATTGGTCTAATATTCTGTGCTGCTGAGGTACCAGATTATGGAGCTGTGTATTGCTATGAATATACAACTTTAAAAACTGAATCTTTTCAATCAACGGAGAGTGAATGGAGGATTATAAATGGAAAATTATGGGCACTCTTTGTTAAATATGTGAATATATCAGTGGAATGAATTATGGTGAACAGGTACATGAATTAGAAAATGGACCATAGTTGTCATTTATAACCCCACGAATCCAGATACTATATGTTGTATTATATGTTATATTGTCATGAAATGTGTGTTCTGTAACCCCTGACAATAAATATGCCATGTAATTTTGGTCTGAAGTATCTTGAATCCAAACTTCATAGGAAATATTGTTGTAAAACTGCATATTCCAGGAACCCTCCCAGGATACAAATAAACTAACACCATCCTTAGATATCAAACATTTGCAGAGAATACTTCTTATTTTGCCAGGATACTTTTTTATGTATTTCCTTTTTTGTGTTTTTTTCACCTCATTTAAAGCATTTCTTAGAACTCCAATAAAAGATGGAATATCAACAGCAGTGTCTTGGTAAATTCTAAACAACCAGTAGGGGTCATTACAGCACAAATGAGGAGGAACATCGTCCATGTTTATGATCTCTGTTTGTGTCTCTTTATCCAAATGTATAATCCCACCTTCAGTTTTTGATCTGTTAGGATACACAATAGTGTTGTTCTTGAATTTATTTTGCCACGATCTATACCTAATATCCATGATCTCAGCAAGAGTTTTATAAGGTGTGTAGTTTTGAGGATTAATGGCATAAGGAAACAGCTCGATGACAAAAGTGCCAGGAGAAAGGAACATGGATAAGACTAGAATTGATCCATGCATGCCAATTATTCCTGCTGAACCTTGGATCTGTTTTATAATTTCACCAAGTTCATTTGTTTCCAGACTTAGCCGGACAATGCGTAGATTAAAGGTTGTTGCTATTGTAAATGTGAGCTCTAACTCGTTAAGTATGAGTCTGTTGGATTCTCGTGAAAATAAGATGAGATAGTCTGAGTCTTTCGTCTTGTGTGTTACTCCAAGTTTGTTGGTAATATATGTTGTAAACTGACGAATAATTGTACCATCAGCAGTATGGTTTGGCAAAGGTGCTTGAGGCATGTGGAAACCATATTCATACCATGTTGTAAATTTTGAAATACCAACAGTCACCTCTTGAAAACATACCAATGTGTCAATAGCTCTTTGTAAAAGTTTGGATAACAAGATTGGATTCCTGTTAGAAAATAATTCGTATAGTTCAAAGTAAGGCCCCTCATCTCTTCCTTCCATAAATATAAGTTGTATGTCCATGTTAAATGGTTTGTTTCCTTGAAAATCTTGGAAATAATGTCTTAATGTATAGAAGAGTGGCAACAAATCGTCATGGATTACATGCATTATGTTCTCTGGGTTAAATCTATTAAATAGCAAGCTTGGTTGATCAATTTTAACAATATCTGTGAATTTTTTTAAGGCGGACAATGGTGCATCTTGAAAATTAAAATACTGTTTATTATGGTCTTTGATGGAAGTCAGATCAAGTAAGGCTGGAGAACAACGTTTGTCAGGCACTCCTTGAATAATACTAGAGTCTCCATGAAAAAATATATACTCCCTATCGAAAGGTGAGTAATACAAGTTTCTAAATTGACAAATACGATTGTCTCTGGTTTCACCATAACACCATACACTTGACTCTCGCACCAAATTTGAATTGTTTTGTATTTTCTGATGCTTCTCCACGCAGTTTCTGTCTGTATTTTTTGTTAGTTTTACTAAAGGATTATTTAAATTTTCAGTGAGTTTGTAGAGAATCAGAGTGAAAACACAATGAGAAATCACACAATACCAAAATATCCAACTCATGTTGTTCTTGTGTGCTTGACCGTAATCACTAATCACCACAATCTTGCTGAGTCAGCACTTTATTGCCAAGGCTGTTGTGAAGTTTCTCTTCAATTTTAGCGAGTTAACCGAGTTTTAGTTTGTGCTGGGCAGCCTAAATTTTGAATGTAAATCTTCATCTTTCTATGGTAGAAAAAAATAGGGAAAATCATCGGCGATGCTTCTCTAGAATCTAGCCTGCCTATGCAGGTTTGTTTCTAAGAAGTTTGTACTCGTGACTTCCGGTGCTTGTAATACTTTCACTTTGACTTTAATCAACACTTACGACAAAACACTACTTACTAGTGGTTAGTAGGTAAAAGAGGTTGACTTTTTCCGGTGATATTCCTGTGTTAAATTGGCTATTGGTTGGAATTTTTGTAAAAGAAATATAATGGAATTTTTTGGAATTAAAATATATCGCTTTAGTAGGATATTTTAATAGTTTGGACAAATGTTTTCTTTTTTGCATACCTGTCCTCCCCTGGCGTCATAAATTGTATTACGACATGGTTTTGTGGAATGTATCGAAGGGTTATTCCCTTTCCCGAAATAACGATGTTTTTCTTGGTAAAATTGCAGAGCCTCATGTGTTTAGATAAAACAGCAAACACAGAAAGGTATGGTTTTCTTTCATATAATTGTTTTACTTATACTCGCAATCGTGAGCTTATGCGTTGCAATGAATTTGTTATTGTCTACACAATGACATGCGAAACGTCCTAATTCTTTTCATATTTCATCATTATCAAGGAAATTGATAAAGTCTTCTGCCTCTTTTTTGTCGTAAATACTGTACACATTTAAGTATTTATGTCTAAGTCCTTGATATACTGTATAACGTAGGTGATTTGTGATTCAAAAGCTTTGACAATTGGTGTTAAATTTTCTCCATGAAAATTTTGCTTTAAATTTGATACCACGACACAACACACAAACAGACAGGAAGAAGTGATTACATATTGAAGTGTCTGACAAAATCCAAACCATGTTTTAATATTGTATGACTATGAACAGTAGAATATTTTAGCAATGATAATAATCCTAAGAAAGGTAGTTCCAGTTGTTAAAAAGCTGTATGCAGAAAAATATTTTGGTGTTAGAGTTATTAGCATTGTTTTCAGAAATATATTGTTCAAATTATCTATGAACTGAAAATACATTATAAATACAGAAACTAAACTCTTGCTTGTGACTAGTGAAAGCTTGGAAACCTTTAATATTCAAGAGATTTTGATAAAATCTCTCTGATGATTTTGTTATTATTTACTGTAGGTAACAAAAATGAAATATGATGCTTGATTAACATGGCAGATCAAAGGAATAGACCAGTACCTAAGCAAAGATCAGCACATCTTGGAGCAACAGGAAGTGGGGATTTCTCAACTTTAGATCTATATGGCAGTGGCCAAGATGTTCAGAGAACCCCCAGAATACCACCAGGTACATTATATTATTACCACCAGGTACATTATATTATTACCGCCAGGTACATTATATTATATTTATAGTCCACAGGAAAACATGATTATGGCCCAACTATGTTTCTTTATTTTCCCTTTGCAATTTTCAGATTTCTCCTCAGGCCAGAGTGGATTGCCAAGTTGTGTGCAACTAAAGAAAATCAATGTATCAGCTGAGCAAAAAAGCAAAGATGGTACACTCCCTCAATTGCTGTTTTTCCTGGATGAAGCATGCAAGAAATATTCAAATGATGAGGATAAATCAAAACTTGCAAACCTGTGTATACAAGCTGCATCTTCACCAAACAGAAAATATAGATTACTGGAATATTTTCAGCTGCTGGAGGATAACAAGGTATAGTACAGTATATAATATGAACTGCATGTACATATAGTAGATAAATGTTTGCTAGTGTGTCAGCTATTTTATATGAAAAAAAGGATAACAGTTTTTATTTTATATACCCTAGGAAAAGCTATAGCCATAAATTCTTCAAAGTTGTTTGTGTATTACAGGGATCTGAGAGAGAATAAACTTTTCTTTTCAGGATGACATTGACCTACTTCCTGCGGCTCTTTCAATCTTAGAGAAGTATGCTGTCAATTTGTTACGAGAAGACAAACCTCCCCAATGGAAAGTGCTCAAATATAACATAAGCATCATTCAGAACATGGTCCTTCCAGTCAATGGAGCTCTAAATGTTCTGAAAAAAATGGGCTACACTCAGGTACATTACTGATCAGTTATGATGATATAAAATTTGATCTTTTTTAATTGATATTTGAAATGTTGCTGGTGGTACAAACTTCATTTCAATTTTTTAGGAAACAGAAAATGCTCTATCATTTCCCCCTGATGTTGATGAACCAAACATCCAAACTATATTAGTCCTTACAGCTGACCTTTGTGTGGCTCGCCATGAAACTGATGCTTTAATGAAAAATAATCATCCATTTCTGATTTTTGACAAATCTGGTACAGCTTGCCAAGGAGAGGCTCTCTTTAATGCTGGATACTGCGGTGTTTGCAGTGAGCAGAATCTTGCTAGGAACTGTGAGGAATGTGATATGCAATTTTGTCTGCAGTGTGATGAAAGATGGCATTGTCATAAATTAAGAAGAGATCATATCAGAACCCCACTTCCTCCAACAAGAAATAAAACTATAGAGGAAAAGAGGTAAAGAAAAAAAAATTATTGATCATTCTTTTAGTGGCCATCATTTTAGTGGCCACATAGTCATCAAGTTATAATAAGAACCTAGCGTGATATTGTATTCCACTGGTAGTGATCTTTCCATCATACAGTATGTAAGTCATTTAAGCCTTCAAGTCATGTTTGCAGATTCCGACCTGTTCCAGTTCCACGACAACGCAAAGGCCAAAAGATGGAAGATCAAAGCCTACTCCAAGGTGTTCGTAATGAAGGAAATAATCCTGCAGAATCATGTAAGTAAAATGTTTTCATATCAATTATGAGCCATTCATTTTGAAAGGTCGAAATAAATATTGAAAAGATGTTCTGAATTTTTAAGATAATTATTCTGTTGGCTGGGGAAGCAAGCACACTCCGCAAAGGTCACCTGGCAATATAACATCGACCAGCAACATGGCATCACCAACTATGGCACCTGGCAACATGATGTCACCAACTATGTCACCTGGCAACATGATGTCACCAACTATGTCACCTGGCAACATGATGTCACCAACTATGTCACCTGGCAACATGACGTCATCAACTATGTCACCTGGCAACATGATGTCACCAAGGATGTCACCTGGCAACATGATGTCACCAACTATGTCACCTGGCAACATGATGTCACCAACTATGTCACCTGGCAACATGACGTCACCAAGGATGTCACCTGGCAACATGATGTCACCAACTATGTCATCTGGCAACATGACATCATCAACTATGTCACCTGGCAACATGACGTCACCAAGGATGTCATCTGGTAACCAGGGTATCAATCTTAATCCTTCACAACAAAGATTGAGTGATAAATATGGAGCTTTTGCACCAGGAAATCCACATTCTGTGTATAACCAAGGTTTTAACCAACCAGGAAGTGAGCCTCGTGATTACAACCAATCAGAAAACATGGATCAAAACGAAGCAAAGACTCTTCGTCGGGTCCTGTCATGTCCTAATTGTTCATTTTTGTTTCATAATGAATATGAAAAACGATGTCCAAGTTGTAAAGTGCAACTTGATACGTTGCTTGGTGATAGTGAAAAACAAGTATTGCTGAAAGATTTAGCCAAGTCAAGTGAACTAGCGACAAGAACTCTGCCTGATCCCCCACGAGCTCCAGGTTTGGCAACACGTGTAAATGAAGCTAATGAAGAAATGTATGAAGATATTGATGAGATGCTTGAGTGGGTTTGTGAACATTGTACCTGCAGAAATCCTCTTTCAACAAAGGTGTGTCAAGTTTGTTGTAAAACACCAGCTGATCTTAAGAAGTTCCCTAATCTTGTTGAGGTAAGCCACTCCCAATTTCTCTTGTGTATCTAACTCGAATTGTAGTAATTTCACTTTGGATAACTATGAAATCGAAAGACGGCGTATCTTTTAATATCAACTTTCGTTTATTCCCACGGGTTATTTCAAAAGTTGGCTTTGTTCAATACATTGGCTGTGATTACCTGTCATAATTCAGCGGTGATGTCTCAATTAATTAATTCTTCAGCACATTTCATTCTAGAAGTCAACACCACCACAATCAAAGCCAGCCCCACCCTCGTATCCACCAGCAAAACAAATGACTCCACCTGCGGCATATGGTTCACAAACAAACCCGGGAAGACAGCAAGATCACAGAGCTGTCTACATGACTCCAAAAGATCATCCGCTTGATGGAGGCGTCTTCGTATCGAGAAATGACAGCAATGCCCCCCCTTTACCGGCAAAGAAACAACCCAGTGATGACTCTGCTCCCGGGGGGAGAGTGCGCGATGCTCAAAAAAACCGAGAACAGGAAATATCAGAAAAAAAGAAAGCGGCTGCATTTGATGAGGAGAAACAAGAATTCCACAGGCAAGGATTGATAAGTGAAAAGGAGACGTTAACTATTGACAGTCAAGATCAGTTGCATAGGATAGTTGAAGAAAGAAAACGGTCGGGATATTATGGCCAGGCTGAATATCCTAGAACAAGTGCTGCTGACGATCTCAATGATGAACAGTTGAGGCAATTAATGCAGTCAGGAGTTCTCACTGAACAAGATCTTATTAATAATGGCCTGGTGAACAAGACGAAGGTTGTACCGAGTAATTCCCGTGATACAATGACGAGACAGGTACCACTCAGCGTTATTTCCAAAACTTTATTACAGTGATCATCTACAATCATGAAACGACCTTTCATGGTTTTATTTTTATAAAAATACAAAGATTTCTTTAAGTGTGATTTTGAAAAATTTGCTTGGAAACGTAGCCACATCATTCCACGCTTTCCGTTTGTCTTCCAGTTTCGACTTTTAAACACTATTGTCTGGTACACCAATGGTTATTGCCATGATATTATGGAGAATAATAACAAAGTGTTTTCTTTCACTAGAACCAATTTAGTAACCCTTTATATGAAAATCCCAGAGCAAATGAAAGATTTTATGAACACGAAAATGACCTGTCCTTGAGTGAAGATCAACTTCAAAAACTGCTCAGAGAGGGGGGATTTCTCGAGGAAAGTCACCACCCAGGCATTTACCAGGACCCAACCAAAATTGTAATCCAAGGAACCATCCACCTCAGCAGTTCAATCAAGCTCGTCCTGGAAGCGCGCTCTCTGATGAAGAACGAAATCTTCTGGCTCAAGCAGGTGTATCATCATCCCCCCCGGAACAAATATACAATGTTCCAAGGCATGAACCCCCCGGTTATAATCCTGATGATATTCAGCAAATGATGGCGGAGTTTCATCTGCTCAGTGACCAAGGAACAAAAGGACAAAATTACGATCGTTTCAAGAATAAAACCTTCCAAAATTATAATGTCATACGAGACGCGCCAGTGGTACACGGACTCTATGATAAGCGGTCGTCAAAGGGAATGTATAGCATGCCTGTCAAAAGTGGATCAAAAGACAATTTCTCCAGTTATCTTGTAAGTGCTTGAAAGGGTAAATGCCAGCAGAAAGCGTGAAATTTGTAATGAAATTTGAACTTAAATATACATTCTGTTTTAGAATTCTCAGACACCGTTGGAAACTATTTCAAGTAGAAATATTGATGAACAAAGCAAACTTTACGTCGAGTGGATAAAGGTACAGTGAAGTATATATAAGATATCTCCTTCATGTAGTTTAGACACTTTTTCAATTTGAGATATCTTTCTTACGACAGTTTATTGTAGAATACTACCTACACTGGACCACCACGTTTGAGATATCTTTCTCAGATAGTTCATAATTTATTCATGTTTTGTCACCAGGAAGCAGAGAAACATGGCTTCACTCCAGAAGAGTTGAATCTTGCAAACCACCTTAACTGGCAAGATCCCAAAAAACGTAATCCCGTACAATGGTTGAAAGATGAGTGGTCAGATCGGGTCGCTGAGGTTATTGGTAAAGTAACTGAACGGACAAGTAATGAAAATGATTGTATTGGTAATCTCAGCACAGACGAAGCGAAGCAAGCATTGTTAGAGAATCATGGCAGTGTTGAAAGTGCATGTAAATCATGTATTGAATCACGAAGAGAAAAAGTAAGAATTTATTTTTCAAATCTTGTACGCTGTTATTTCGATACGATTTTCTTGTATAGCAATTAAGACTGATATTGTTGGGGAATCAATACGAGTTATGTGACCTTGAAGTACATTTGTTGAGAATAGTAAAGTTAATCTCATTATAGATTCTTGATTCTGGCTAAGATCATTGATGTCCGAAAATTACTTAGTAATACTATATTTTAATTGAAGTTCCGTTTTTATTTAGCTTGCCAAAATGGGGCAAACTTCTTTTTTCACTCGAGTTGATTGCTTGAACGCCTTGGACAGAAACGACGGAAATTTAGAGAAAGCTTTGCTTGAGCTTGAAAACCAAGCTTTAGAACCGATCAGACAACGAGTTCTTCGTCTTCAAGATTTGGGAAGGCGAAATTCCAGGCTAAGTGAAGCCTGTGAGAAAATTATTAGAAATAAAAATGTCAGTTTTGAGGTAATTGCAATTAATTGCAAGTGTACCACTGAAACCATCTCATTTTCTCACATTATTAACTGCAAGTTTCGGTATTGTTATTCATTCTAAATCTTTCACAATAATGTGTTAATATATTTTTAAACCCATCTTCAGCGTCGTGTACGAATCGTTTATACGGAGAAAAACATGAAGTCCTGGGGAAGAGCTGAGACGGCTGTAAGACTAGTGGATTTTGGAGATTACGATGTTGAAGATTGTATCGAGGCTGCTGAAGCTTCTGGTGATATGGAGCGATCTCTTGCTTATTTACAACAAGATTGTCCAATATGTGTTGAACAGAAACCAATGGGTCAGGTAATAACCATCTGAGAAGGTTTACTCGAAGGTGATTTTAGAGCGATTGTAAAAACGTTTTTTCGATGAATAGCGCTATCAAGCTCTCGTACAACTATCCCTTGTACATTCTGTTTTTCCTGGGCGTGGAATGACGATATTTCAATTTTGATCTGGTGTCACCCAAGAGCAGTAACCCTGGTGATGCTGGAGTCTATTTTCAGTTGTATTAATTTAATGTCATGCTGAAGTTTTGTGTGAAAAGTGATGTTGTCTGTGACAATGCCATGAATTGCTGTTGATTTTACGATTTTTAGATGATAACATTTCTCAACTGTCAGGACAAAATCTGCAAAGATTGTGTGACTGAATACTTGAAGGGTCTTATCAAAGAAAAGCAGATTCATCAAATCACTTGTCCTGTCTGCAGTTTACCAGACCTCAGTGACGAAGCTACGGCGGCGGATTATTTCAACAATCTCGATATTATGGTAAGAAGCAAGCGTTTGTTCAATCATAACATGGAACCAATCAACCAAAATTTATTTTTCCAATTAGATTCGACAGCTTGTGGATCCTGAAACACACGATATCTTTCAAAAGAAGCTTCGCGATCGAGCCTTAAGAAAAGAAGAGAACTTCAGATGGTGTGCACATGTAAGTACATCGAGAATTGTTGATACATGTATAAGGCTGTATGAGGAAGACGAGGGATTGAAGGTGATAGAGAGATATTACGGTGACGAAAAAGAAGGTGATTAAAGAGGACTGAAGGGGAATGAAGAATAGGAAGGAAATGAAGAATGTAAGGTGAATGAAGAAGAGAAGAGGATGGAGAGATAGGAAGGAGTGAAAAAGAGGGGGGATTATGGGGGATTATGGGGGAGGTGAATGGAGAATGTGAGGAAGATGAAGAGGAAAGGGATGATGAGGAGAGGAATAAAAAATAGAATGGGTATGAGAGGGTTTTAGAGAAGAAATGTAGGGGAATTAAGGGGATTAATATCATTTCTTTTCAGTGTTCTTACGGATTCATCAACGAGTTGCCAAACGTAAACAAAATGCAGTGTCCAAACTGTCAACAATACACATGCTTCACGTGCAAAAAACAGGTTTTTGTGTTTCTTGATAATAATTTCAGTCTGACAACGAGTCTATAAAATTGTATGTTTTATTCATTTTGCGTCATTGTCTAGTGGGAGGACCAACATGAGGGAATCACTTGTCAAGAGTTTGCTCGATGGAAAGAAGAAAACGATGAGGAATATCAAATGGCAGGCCTTGCTGGTCATCTTGCACGAAATGGCATCGGTAAGCATCATCGCAGAACTCAATGCCCCCTCACGAGATACTGTAGTTCCTCTTGAGACATAGGGCATCGTTGATAGTTCCTTGGGGATAATAATTCTACTGTTTAATTTAGATTGTCCAGGTTGTAAATTTCGTTATGATCTTGCGAGAGGTGGTTGTATGCATTTCAAGTGTAATCAATGTGGACACGAGTTTTGTAGTGGCTGCTATAATCCCTTTAAACGCGAGGTATGTCGATATCTGACTGAGGTCGTCTCATACCTGTGACATGGAAACAAAGGTTTTTTATCTTTACAAAGCTTATTTACATTTGTTTTTTGTTTGTCTTCAGAGATGTACTGTAATACCAAACTGTACAGTAAAAGGTATGCATGCTCATCATCCGCGCTCCTGTCTGTTTTATCTGAGGGACTGGGAAATACAGACATTGCAGGAGCTCTTGCAAGAAAATGGAGTGGATTATAAGGCCGAAGCAAGACGATTAAATGTGCAAGGTACGGCCAAAGCCTACGACTCAGCCGACCTTGGTCAATTCAGTTTCATTTGAATGGTCGCTGTGGCTTTTAAATAAATTCACTAACGGTATATTTGTTTCTCCGCTGTATAGATGGTGATGAGAACGCTGGCGCAGTGGAGGCAGCTCAAATATGTAATGTTATGCTGCAATTGGAGACTGGAGAAGACCATCCATGTGAACGTCTTTGTCAACCTGATCATGATGGCTTATGCGAGTGAGTATTCCATCAAATATTTTACAATATTTGTCTCTTTTCCTGCAATACCAGATGAGAACTCACGCGAATCTATTACTTGAGTTTTTTTTCCAAATTATCAAATATTTTTTGTTCAAAACTTGTTGTCTCGCACGTCAACCACGAAGAAAGTTTAAAAATCTTAAATTGTTTTAGAAAACACTACAAGGAGTATTTGGTGGATTTGATCAATAAAAATGGAGTTGATCCTGTAGACAAAATGGATGCTCGTGAATTGGAGGCAATATTTCGCAGAGCTGGTGTCGTTGTCGAGGCTCAACAGCAAGGTGAAGCTGATGAAAATTACCAACAACGACTTCTTCAGGTAATTACTTTGACTAAAGAATAGTAGACTGGCTATTGTCATCGTAAATGGAAAGTTTACCTTTGATATCATGTCTATTTTCTTTCTTTTTTCTCAGGGGATAAAACAACGTATACCTCTACCTGGAGCCCCCGTATTGCCTTATCCAGCACCAGAAGCCCAGGGGGGAGATGATGAGGAATGATGTTCTCTTTAACAGTTGTGGTGATATTTACAATCACTTATATAACACACATCGTATAAAATCCGTCGTTTTCAATATCAGGCAGGCTAAATGCACTCTGGACAAATAAGACAAGTGCTTCACATGCTTTGGAAACGTACGAAATAGTGGCACAAAATAATATCGATTTTTGTTTATTTTACTGATTCAGTCAACTATGTTAATGTCTTAGAAACAATTAATACATGCTTGGATCAATTTTCTACCTTAAAAGTTGCCTTTAAATCATAGACTTTCATATTAATGGGTAAATGGATAACATTTATGTGCTTGAATTTAACCTGAAACACTGTATTGTAATGTGTTCTTGCTGTTATGTTGTTTGTTAAAAAAGTTAATATTCTTGTCATAATTCTGTAATTTAACAACTTACAAAGTTGGAACAATTTTGCAAGTCTTAAACAATTTATTTTAAACCAATCTTGTGAACTGATGCGAATTTAAAAACGTGTTTTAGGATTGTGCTGAGATAGTTTATTATTACTATACTCGTGCGGTAAATTTTGTCTCATCTTGTCTTTTGTTTCCTTAGAGCGAGAGGATGTCGTATGATTCCGGAGGCGTGATCGAAAATTCTGCCCGTCATTCAATCAACACCAGCTCATTAAATAAAGACCTTATTTCGCAATTATTTCCTCATGTTGGCCAAAACGTAGTCGAAACGTCCAAAAAAATTATGAGTTCAATCTTGCGGATTTCCTTTTTTCATTTCAATATCACTCCGTGATTTTACGAAAGTATTTCCTGCCACCAAATGTTTCATTTAGAAATTATTGAACGCTCATGGCGCGGTCTTAATTCATTCCAGTGTCACAGTAAAATTTGGTTTATTTGGAGATCGCATTTGGTTGACATGACGTCAGAGAAGAAACGCGCTGAAATAAGAAGCAGGCGAGGTCTGTGGTGCAAGATTGTCAACACAGTTTAGCTTCATGCTGGGTGCGTAGTTGACCTCATAACCTCATAACCTCATTAGTAATTTACATTTTCCGCGCACTTCAAGCTATCATTGAGAATTTCCAGATCATGAACTACCCCTATATGAGCCTTTACATCTTCATTTTTCTCACAGAATGTCAGAGGCAACGAGGTATACAAAAAACGATTCTGGGAAGAATTTTCAGTGATTTCAATTGCCTTGATAAGTCTGATATTTTGCAGTAAACATGAATGCGGCATTTCCATAGTACCTAATGCTTGTCGCGTTTTTGAAACACTTTTCAGATCACAATGAATATTTATTTCGTATGATAAGTTATCAAAATCATGTATCAAACATACACTAACGATAAAACGTTCATTTCGACTAATGAACTGGTTAATCGTTCGAGAAACTTCTCTTCGTGTTTGGTCTGTTTAAACTCCGTAGTTAGTAAATGCCTGGCATAGACTATAGAATGAGATATTGGATTGCTTTACGTTTAATTCACCCTGTGTGGGATTCATTTAATTCTTCGACAGCCGTGAATGTGAAACGAAACACATCCAGTTCAAAGATTAGTTACAGCTATGGTGAATTCAACGTTCATTTTAATTTTCTCTTCTTAATACAACACCACGCAATTTTTTTTATTTTCAACAGCTAAGAAAGAGTGAAATGATTGAGTTTTTATCTGACCTGCATAGGGAACTTTTAAACATGTTCACGTGAATTAATTGCATCAAATCAATTTAATCTACTTTCAACAAGTCGTCAGAACAAAAATAGATTTCCCCAATTTATACAATACTGTAGTTAAAATGCATCCTGCTACGAATCATCACTATATATTGTTATTGACACTCAAATACAAGTGCAATATTTATACGTCTTTAGCTGTATAGGTTGTTCTTCAATCGATTTAAAACAAGTCAAAATGATCAGGGTAGTTTAAGAGAAAATTCAACGCTACAGGTCTTGTATGTATGGGTGGTCTCTGACTGGCTTGCAGGAATTCGCAAACATTTAAAACATATGCTTTTGTGCTTTCCATAAAGATTGAATCTAGAAATTTTAACAGGAAACATATGTTATGTTGTCTCGACCATCCTGCAGTAAAAAATTCATTAATTTTTTTCCAAACACATCCCTTATGGAAATAATGTATTGTTTCCACTCATTGTGACGTTGAAGAAGGTAATCTCCATGCGACAATCTTACCGCCAGCGCAAGTCAAGTGATTTGTCACAAGGGTATCATCAAAGACACTAACATGCACTAAGTTATTTAAATTTCTTTGTAATGAGTTTTTTGCCAAACCTAGCCTCATAACTCATATTAAGTCTCTTTTGAGAGAACACGCTTATAAAGCTCAATTTTTAGTTTTTAAAAGGCCGAGGTGCTAGTCTGAAAGCTTTAACAAAATCGTTCTGAGGGGGGGAGCAATCTAATCGATGAATTCTAGACGAATCGTACCGTAAACTGGAAAGATTGGGTGATTGATGTCGTTACAGGTTGGTCGGAATAAATCATCTGCGAAGGTCAAAATTTGGAAAGAACTGAGTTCGTCTGATAGTCTTTGTATATAAACACAATACGAACTATCAGAGTAGTTTATCACTGTCGTTTACCGAATGAATCAGGTGATTTTATGAACTTGTTCTTACAGACGTTTGTCTTGTGTTCCTGGCAATTTTATTAATGCGCGGTCACTGTTTTGGTAGCCTGAGACTAGTAAAAACACAGTAAACAGTAAAAGAACCACCGAACTGAAACACTTTAGTCTTTTTACTACAACCCACGAAAATTAAATGCTTGAAAAGTTTTAAAGAAGAAATATCCTTCACAAACCTCTCGGGTATATGTAAAAAGTGTGTTTTGCGTACCTTTGAAAACAGCAAAGACCTTGGCGAAGATGAAGTTATTCCAGGTATCAGTATTAAAAACATGGCTGCCATTTGATTTATAAATTAAGATAAAAAATAAAATGGTCAATGGTCTACAAGTGGTATAAAAAAAAGAACCTCGGAACTTTCTTTGTAGTCTCTTTGTTTTATTTTTTTAACAGTAAGAAACAATTTTACGAACTAAAATATTTTGCAGTACTTTCAAAAAAAAGTAGGGAAATATAGGCTTAACTTTTCTCTGAAACAAAGAAAAAGCTGTGTTCCCTGAACGAGAACTGTTATAATCCCAAATTAAACACACGTTTCTTTTTGACAATGTTATTGACAACATCATTAATTGACGATGTCGTATGATGGCATTCAGTATCAAATATGTTTTCAATATTTTGGCGTGGTAGGTTGGTAATAACCAGTAATAACTTAATCCAATGATCCCAATCACCCCATCGATGTTTTTTCGGCTGCTCTGAGTGCAATCGTGCGGTATAATACGACCTAGATTAGTATACTTTATAAGTAAGATAAATCCTTAATAAGTTGTTTGTATATTTAGGATTTATATGTCTGCAAAAAGTTTTACCTGTTTAGATTAAAAACAATCATTTTGTGGCAAATAATAACACTTGATGCGAGGAAAAACAAAAAATGTTATTTAAAAAATCCTTCAAACTATGAAAGGTATTGAGGGTATTTTAAAAAGGAATAATCTTATTCTACGATCTGGTCGCTGTTGTCAGAAAAATAAAATATATCTGCCGGGATTCCAGGGACACAGAGGACCTTCTTGGACAGAGCCAGAGGTGTAATTGTTGTACAAACGAAAAGTTTGGCCACTGCATGCGCGTTTGGGAAGCATGCACCCAACCGAAAACTTCAGTGAAAAATGGCGGGCGATTATACAAGAAAAAATACCGCAAAAATCTTTTTCCTGATCATCTAGTCTCTAAATGGTTTAAAATCTCACCATCTTGAAATTTAAGTTCGGGAGCGAGGATGGGGGAATGAATGCCCCTCAAACGCGCACATGACGAAGTTTTTGGCAGCGCGTTACAGGCTTTTTTGGCGGAGTGCCCTCTTTCCAAGTAGGTCCTTTGTCTGTGCTCGAGATGACGATTGACGAAGTTCAATCAGTTTTCACTATTACATTAAATTGGTTGCAATTTTAGCATTTTTTAGAATTGATATTATTCGAAGGAAAGATATGAAACGGCTAGGATAATGTTGTTGTATTAAAAGTTCATAACATTAAGTTTGTTTTTGGTTTTTATCTAGGGTAGTTTTCTCATAAGACGTGGAATAAAGGAGAAAACGCCCAAGATTTCAGAGGTAAAGCTAGGGCCTGGAAATAATACTAAACACTAATTTTTTATAAGCCTGCTCCAGGTATCACAAAATGACTAATTTGATCTGTTTCTTACCTTTCTACGATAAATAGATTTGTTGTCTTCAACCTGTCTTCACCATTATGAATTACAGCTAATGTCAGCTATCAACTGTTTGATACATATATATATCCAAGGTACAACCAAGGTATGAAATGTCCTTAGTTGATAGATATCTTAAGATTTATGATAGTTTGGTATAGTGTCGGCTTATTGGTGTGACTTTATCTTTCGATATTTACTGAATTAAGATTTAATTTCTTATTTCTGAAAGGAAATTCATATAGTCTGCTATTTATTATATATAATATTGTATTGCTGTACTGATGTGTAAGTTGTAACCATATGTCCCCAGCCTCGGAATTCCGCACTATTTTATCTCCGCACGACCGTGATGGTATTTGTATTGTCGAGATAACTTTACAAAACTTGAAGTTTGAAGTGTCTGCAAGTAAGATAACAATCACCGACTGGACCGCACTTAAGAAAGCGTTGACAATGATTCAGTCAAAAACGACATCACCATAGTCTAGTACACTAGGGGAAGCTACACCTGCCATTGTCCTAAGTCAACCCTGATTTAATGTAAAAGGTGGCGATTGTGTGTATTCGGAAACCAGCCTTCCAAAAAAAGGTTGTGTCGTTGTTTAGGAATTGCGAAGGTATTTTCTCTTAAAGAGATTGGTATTTATATCAGTCATCCCTTGGAATGTTGGCAAACAAACGTAAATAATTGCCAAGCTAAAAGGGTTGTTATTGACCAAGTAAATAATTGAACAGATTCACCCAGCGCTGTAAAATATGCTTTTGTTTTTTACCTTGGAATTTTGTTTTATTTTGGCAGCTAAGATAGCAGCTGTAATTTCATTGTTAGTTTTATCACCGGCACAGTAAAAATTCTAATTAGTAAAATGTTCAAACAATCGGTAAATTGATCAAATTTTTGTGGCCAAAACGAAAGGGCAATTATCGTAAAGCATTAAAATATTGTTTAAAACATTCACGCAGCCTTACGTAGTTAATGCTAATTTCTGCGTCATTTAACTAAAAGTTGCGCAATATATTTAATGTCAGACGATAGGTGAAATTTGATTTTGAGAGCTCAAGGTCATATATATCCCTATGTCATGTGTTTATATACAACGTTGATAGTTTATTCGTTCGGTCTACGGAGTTGCTCTTCGTTGCTTACATGTTGTCGTATTAACTGCCTGTTGTAAAATATTTCAAAATTCAGGTTATAATTGAAGAAATCGTGCGCGACTATTTTAGTGAATGATATGAAAACATGACTGAACTAGCCAGTGTAGGAAAATCTAACTGATCAAATATCACAACATTTAACAAAATACTTGAGAATACTTGTAACTACTTCAGGACTAAGGAAGTATAGCAAAATTCCACTTAAATTATCTTCGAAGCAAATGTAATGTTATATCATTGAAGGTGAGAAGATCACGTCTACCCCGCCTTGTCAAAAATAGCATAGCACTTGTAATTTTACACCTCCGTCCATTATACCTATTAAACCATCTTATCAGCTCCAAACACGGATCTTAAATGGAATAGCAGTTTAAGGGTAAACGTTTTTGCGCGTGGTGATATTGCATGTACATGACTCGAAGTGCAAAACATAAAGTCTTAAAGTGAAACAGCGATAGAATGATTAAGAAAAATGATTGTTTATTTTGGTTTCGAAGCATAAATTGCATCTGAGCAGTCATTAATAGGTTTTATGAATTTGTAAACATATTGCTGACAAGTTTGGAGTAGAGGAGAAATGAACACTGATGTTCAAAAGCCCTGGAGATATGTTCGGATGTCCTGATAAGATCTCGTTCCTAACCAACCACAACGCGGCGGTCGCGCGTCTTATGATAACGCACTTGAAGCAGCAATTTGTCGGTGAACTGTGAAAGATAACTACTTCTTGAATTGCGGTTGTAAAGAAGCCGCGCGCGGGCGAAATTGCGCTTATCACGTTTAAAAATTTTATTCGGACCGGCGAGACATTAGTAGAATTTGCGCAATGTTTGAAAATGAAACCAAGTTTATTCATGTAATTTCTGTGAGTTCTGAAACTGCTTCGAAATCGTATCATTTGAATGAATCCTATACTTGTATCTTCTCACACAGTCTCTTCTGTTGTCAGCTTTAATCCAATCGTTTAATATTCCTAACCGTAGCAGCGATTTTTCCTAATAATTTGCGATTTATTGTTTTATATCTTTATGCAAAACAGCCGTGTTCGCCTTCCTCTCAAAGAGGAAGAAACGTCTCCGCTCGCTTGGAGTATTGTCAATTTAAACATGCAGACGTAATACGTAAAGAAAGTTTGTTATTTAACGGCATCGGTTAGCGCAGTCGTGAGGAAAGTTATCAGTTCTACCACAGCACTGCCTCTGAGGGCTGTATCCATACGTCAGATTGAGAATAAGCTGTTTCTCTTCAAAATGTCATGCGGGATTGTTAAAGTATGTTTAGTGTCCGGATTAACACACGAGTGTTGTTTAAACTATGGCAATATTCTAAAATATATACCAATATCGTAACAATGAATAGCAGTTATCAAGGTAAAAACCTTTGCCAACTGAAACACCTTGCACTCTCGTATGAACTGAGAACGACCATTGAAGTAAACGATTCAATAATTTCCGATCAAACTGCATAGTTCAAGACATTAGGTGACATCAAGTTTAGCGGGAAGTGGGAAGTTCTTTTAAACTAAAGTATTTAGGTTACAGTTGCTGAATAGAGCCGTGGTTTTGATCAGTGCCAAGAAGTGAATATGCGCAAAGTGGAGTCTTATGCATACTTCAGGGACAACGGGAATGATCGTAAGATAAGTGTCATTTCAAAAGCTTCTAAGACTCAGATTAAACCCTGATTAAACATGGACAAAACAAGCCAGATCTTATTTCTCGAACTGCTTGAATCTTCTGTGCTGGTAATTATGCATTGAAGTTTCTCGACGGATGGGTGGGAGGAATCTTTCTCGTGGTTGGTCAGCTATCATAGCAATGGTGTTGACAAGAACTTAATTGATGACAGTCACAGAAAAACGGCCATTGCCTTTGCTGGCTTCTGTGCATGTGTGTGGTCACACTGCGGGAGGGAAGCTCTGATTGGCTGAGATCTAAAGGCATTAACAATAGACGGGTGAAAACAATGTAACTTAATCATATATCTGAGCTGGGCTTGCGCGTGACTTATATTTCAGCGAGTAGAGAAGTGAGCAGTTGATTAAAACAGTCAAAGAGGCGAGAATGATGGCGATGTATCCTTACTCATCAACACAACCGGGCGCAAACGGAATGATGCATTACCAAGGTTATGATTTCTATCGTCCAAATCATCCTTACCCTAGTATGCATTATCCAATGACATACCCTGGTTCTCAATACAGACCTGATCCTTATTATAATGCAACTATGGTTAGGGCAAGTACCGCCGCTAAAGATATGGTTAAACCACCATACAGCTACATTGCTTTAATAGCCATGGCCATTCAAAATCAACATGACAAGCGCATCACACTCTCAGGAATATATCAATGGATTATGGATAGATTCCCTTACTACCGCGATAATAAACAAGGCTGGCAGAACTCTATTAGACATAATCTCAGTCTAAATGAATGTTTTGTCAAAGTCGCTCGAGATGACAAAAAGCCTGGGAAAGGTAGTTATTGGACGCTAGATCCTGATAGTTATAATATGTTTGAGAATGGAAGTTATTTAAGAAGAAGAAAACGCTTTAAAAGAAAAGCGAAAAAGGACGAAATTGAGACGGGAAGCGACGCGGGTAAAAATGAAGATAAGACCGAAAGAGCTGCCAGCACCTCTGCTGAAAGTCTGCAGAGCGAAGAAAATGATGAAAGTTTATTAAATAATAACAAAGACGAAGAACTGAAATCGTCTTGTATGAAGAAACAAGATCATTGTGGCATAAGAAATGAGCAGGAACATTGTACTTTAAGAAACGATAAAGAACATTGTCTCAGAACAGACGCAGATATCACAAGTCTTTCACCAGTTATGAAAAGTCCAAAACTAGAAGCACAAAGTCCTATTCATTCAAACAGCTCATCGCCAGCCCAAGATAGTCGAGGAAATCACATCAATCCTTCGTGTAGTCTACCTGGTGGTTATAACGAGTTTAATTTCCCTGCCTCGTCCTACAATTATCCTCAAACACCTTACCACCAAATGGAAAAAGTCACAAATAACTACCAGTCCCAATGTGAATACCCACAACAACAAATTCCTCAAAATTACGCCAATGGTTACATCCCACATTCGCCTCGTGTGGCAAATCATTCCCCACACATCGTACAATCGGAAACTGCGCCATCCAGACATGCATACTTACCACAATATCCTAGCCAAGATCATTACAACGAAAGTCAACGCAATGCTAACACACAAATGAATACAACAAATTCGTGGTATCTACGCGAACAAACAACCCCGCCATATTCTAGCCCCGATAACACGCAAATTATGCAAAACACCGCGGCATCAGGCTTTCCTAACGTACGGGAAATGTTTGAAGCGCAACGTCTAGCAGTAAACTCACAAAACCCAGAACATTTAATGAACTCAAATTACGGTAACATTGAATCAGGTTATTTTCAAGCAAGCAATAGTTGGTAAAATATAGTTTTAAGTATCTTGATATTTAGTATAATATAAGAACGGTTGAACTGATAGTATTTGACAATTTCTCCCGTATCCGCTTTGGGATAATCAACTATAGTTAAACTTCGCTTCTTCATGCGTGTTTATAAATAAGTCCGTTATTTGGCGTAAGTATTTAATTCTGTTGTAAAAATGCTATTTTGTGCATAGGATTTGTAAGATATAAAACATTAATAGATGAATATACTTATTATTTGTATGTAGCTACTATCAGCGACGGAGTTACGCTGCGGCAGTATAAAATTGTGTTTCGCCGAGTGAAAATATACATGCATGCATATATATATATATATATACCTTGCATGGTCGCTGAACGATACCGCCGGACTTGTTATTTAAGGAGTAAACTAGAAATGATCTGCCTTGTTTAATATCATTCAGTCTGCGAAATAAACTTTGGAGAGCCGTTAAGCCCGCTTTCTTAAGACTAAGCTACTAACAAGGTGGCAACAGTTTTGCGTTCTTCAGTCGTGCGTTTTCAAACAAGTCACGCACTATTTTGTGCTGAATAATTGTTTCCCACAAAAACTGCTTGTGTTCTTTAATGACAACCGCAGGTGAACTGAGCTAAAGGAAATCAACTGTAGTAAGGCACAGTTGGATTAGTTTTAGCCTCAAAGTTGGGTGCCGTGATTTTGTTCCAAATTAAAAGGCTATCGAAAGTGGCCAACGAAAACTCTCTTTTTAACTATATTATGCACAGTTGTGACAGGTTTGGGCCTCAAAATTTCTCGAACTTTAAAAGGGCGTCAATTGATAAAGTTTTGCTTGAATCATAGATTGTTGTATAAACTGTGGTTAATCGATAGAAATTATTTCTGTGAAAACGTAATGTTGTTAAATTAGCCAACCATCTTTGTCTATTCCATCATGAGTAACTTCTTGTTTCAGTGCAGACAAGCACGTACGACTCATTTGCAAATAACGTTGCCGAGTTAAGATATCTCGTATTCCTCTCAATTTAAAAACTCTTCTGTTGCCATGCACTTGATCGTTTTAATACCATTTATGTGAGTACTTTTAGAAAAGATAGAATACTGGATTTGAATTTTCTTTGCAAATCAGAAGTATTGACGAAAAAACTTGATGTTGTTTGTGTAAGATCAGACTGCGGTCAATGCTACTGAAAAACATCCATGCATTTAACTGGGTGTTTAAATATTTCTCGTTGTTTCTGCGTCAAAGCGTTTAAACCTCTACTAATCAATTGAATGGTTTCAAACCACTTGCATTTTCAACATCTGGCACACTTTGATGGCTTTAATAACTTTTGAAGCAACGTCTTTGATGTGTTTATTTATATGTATATATTTCACAATGCTACTTACGCACGCGCAACTGCTAGAAATGAAACTGTGGCTCTGCGTATTTCGCGATTGCATTGTAATTTTAACAGACTTCGATGATTTTACTAAATATGACTTCGTGGTTTCGATTTTTGAATAAGTAAGTAAATACAATGTTCAACTATGCAGGAGGCCGGGCTCCACCTGCCGGCGGTTATAGCTACTATAATAAGAGCATAAAAATGAATCATTCATTTTTTTACGTTCGTCATTTCAGTCTGATATTGTTTCAATGGTAAGCCAGCAACGTTTAAATAAAGACAAAATTAAATTCTCGTTCATTTTGACTGAGCTGCGGGGGAACAATTCATACTTCAGCGCGTTAAATAGAAACATGAATGACGGCTAATTTACAGTCACACTAGGACCGAAGATTATGAAACTGAGAAGTTAATTTAAACTCCGCAGATGAACTAGTTCCTTCCTGGAAATAATCACAACACATATTGTTAAATACCTCCATCATACACACGAACATTGCATGACCCTAAATATTCATTTCCGAGCTGCGGAGAAATCAACATAATTTACGCGTTCATATGCGTGAAAAATGTTAATAATTTTTAGGAATTACACTGTGGTTGAACTGCATTAGTTCATAAAGAGACAACGCTGGGCAACCTAAGAGACAACCTAAAATTTTCCTCCCTTACTTAATGTGGATCTAAGCTCGTGTACGATAAAGCTCAATAGAGTTTGAGGCGGTGCGTGCATCAGTGCAGTGGAGTTGATCAAAGTACTCGGTTGTGGCCTTGCGTGACTCAGATGGCTCAAGTCAGCCGGGCGTTGCACCATATTAACTGTGTTTGCACGGACACAAACCAACTGAGTAACAAAGCATTGCTTCTTCATTTTGTGTGGGCGTTCATACTTATAGAAAAATCAAGTGCTCTGTTTTATGTATTGCTAGGGCATTCACTTTTAAAACTAAACCCAGCAAATTTTTTCAGGTTTCTCGTCAAACTAGAGGTAGAACCCAGTTATTGCATCCTGCATAAACGCAGAGTTATCTTCTTACTCGAGGCTAAACCAAATACACTAATCAAACTCATTGTCTTCATGTTTACACCAGCGGATGATTCGAGAGGTCGATCATGAACCTAAACATTATTCGTATTTTCGTGCGCACTGGTGTTTTTCATGTTTGTCGTAGCTGGTCAATGTTAGAAGAATATATCCTCTTTAACTCGCGGCAATGCGGGAGATAATATCCACGCTAATATACACGAGTTAAGCTTTATAAGAATATTATACGTCCCGTCGTAAAGAATAGATAAGCTTCCTATTGGGTAACCTAGCTGACACGAAGATTTCTGTTCCTAAATATGAAAATATTTATCATAACAAGTCCAGAGCTTCAATCAATCTCTCAATCATTTTTACATTTCCTCGCCGCCACAAATATTCGTTTTCTACCATGTTTAAATAAGGATTAGGGTTAAAAAAGTTAATGTACAATGTTACAGTAAAAAGGAAAAATATAAGCTTAAGCATTGACAAGGGTTCGGGTTCCCAAGGTGTCTAGGTTTTCGCTGGGTCATTGTGATAAGGATATGTGAAAAATTACTGACAGAAATTTAACTTTGTTTGCCCCGGATTTTGAAGGTCAATATCATGAGGAGGTCTCCACTTGTTGGGCAAAATATGATCATTCATTCACTTCAGTGGTGGTCACTAAGAATTGTCATGAAAATTGTTTCATATCGTGTGTCATGACATGCATAAAATAGATTTTAGGTTAGGGTAGGGTCAACATTGTTAAACCCGTTTAACGTTTTACTGTTTATGATATACAAGCAATTGAATGTTCCTCTCAAAGAAACCAGAATAATTTAATTGTGTTGCAGTTTCAACTCCATCGTTCTGTGTCAAGTAAGCGGCCACCCAGGAAATGAAATTTGCTCTGAAATTGTATTGAAGATATGATAGACCAACACGAGATAAGATGAATTGCCTGGTTTTTAAAGCTTGTTAAAAACCTGCCGTTAGCACGGTTTAAATACATGATACGGAAAAGGGAGGTGCTATATAGTATGAAAGCAGAATTTGAAAAGATTAAAAATGTGCATGGAATCAGTATTACTAGTAATCTTAAGTGCCGCAACCCACCATGGTGACTGAGACTCCAGAGAACTTGCCTAAAAACTCGAATAATTTTCGTTGTGCAAACTACTGCAAACTTCACAAGCAAGCAGTCACGAACACTTAAATAGAATAAATTCCTATGTTGATGTTTATTCACTTTAAAAGGACTTCAGATGCAGACAAGCTTAGTAAATACACCTCCCAGAATGTTTGTCTTATTCTAAGTTGCCAAATATGCTTGCATTTGATAGACTTGACAAAGTTGTGTGTTAAATGAATATATTCCCAAAAAAGGCAACTCAGTTTTTTATTCACAACTTCGAATGCATTCATTCTGTACAAATTATTTTCAAGACGCTTAATTGTGTCTAAAGATTTCCCAACAGAGGACACAGCCTAACTTCACACCCTGTCAACTATCAGGGAAATTCATTAAAATGCTCAATCAGCAGAACACCTTAACGCTGGTCATTTGTATTTTATGACAGGCTAGAAGCCAAAAAGCTACTAATAAGATTAATTAAGCCAATCTTATTTCATGTCAGGCCAGGCAACCAAGTGACAACTCCAAGATGATCTCCACCTTCTGCATACCTTTCATCACTTCTACTTAAATGACATGATTCAGGAAATTGAAGCTCGTAAAGTTTACAGGCCACCCAAGCAGCTGTGTCATAAACAAGACATCATGTAACCATGTGGTGCATGGAATATATGCTTCAAATTTCATTTCATATTTTTTGATTAGTGGCCTGTGATGGCGGAATTCAATAAGCATTACAGGGACAGCAGATGGTGCTTAACTTGTTCACATTTGCAGCAAGATCAGTTCATCTAGCGTTCTCCTTGTCACCTAATTCAAAACAATAATTTCATGAATAAACGTAGGGTTGGTATTTTTGTGTATCTGCGATTTCTGACAACTTGTTTGTAATAGTTGGAACTTGGAAAAATATATCAGAATTCTGATTTTTCGTTCAAGATAAACGGTTAGATGCATGCAGAAAAGATAGAGCTATAAAACTTTCGGTGTTTTTATGTTATAAAGAAAGGCTTGCCTTTGGGAAGACAATACCAATTCTTAACAACGTTTCAACACTCACAAACGAAGATGATTTATTACAATTTTAAGCGCCACTAAAACCTAGAATAGGAGTTGCCATAGTTGAAACCACGTGATATACCGTTGGTCACAGCGCAGGCGTAGGCGACTATAAAGAGCTGCAAGGTTGAAGTGAACGAAGATCTACCGCAGAAATGAAAAACTAAAATTGAATTAAAGGATTTCAAACACTTCTTACAAGATAATATAGAAGTTCCACTTTTGTTGATGAAACTCTATAATAATTTCAATAATGTCCTGGAGGATGTTCACCGGAGAATCCCATGGAGACTGGGGGATATATTCTAACGTAATTTTCAGTAGCTACTAAAAATATTATTCATCCCGAGAATAAGAGAAGAGATTGGCCATGATATCATTTTACTGATTTTTCAACCCGCAAATTTTCCCTCCATATTTCAACCCATTTCACAAGAGCTTTTTCAAAGTAGTTTAATAGCAGAATATCAAGTGATCATGTCAGCTGATAAAGCAGTAGCCATGCTTGAAATGGAATAATGGAACCATGCAGATGCATCAAGCTTTTGTAGAGAATTAGATTGCGACAAAAGACAAAGCAAAGCTTAATTAAATTGCGAGCGTGATTTCCTGCCTTAACTCCATTTTTGACAGGAAGGATTTTAAACCAATGCTTATTATCTGATTAAGAATGGTTTACCATGCCTTTTGTGAGCTAGTTGTTTAATCTCATCCGGGTTGGGACGAGTGAAAGACCCATTGTTTGTTTCAGGCATTCTGTGCCAACCAGCAGCATTAAAAAACGGTTTTATTAATTGGACATCTAGTGTTTTCTTTATGTTGGAAAATAGTGGTTACAAATGGTCATTGTTACATCCTATTCTGAAAAATCTTGTATCTATTGTTTTACAGACATCTGTCACCATCTTTACCAACCAGTCAAAAATAGCCTGTTCTTGACTTTTTCCTACAATCTTCTTAAACGCTATTTTCTGACTAATCTTTTGATTTTCTCTGGATCTGGTTCCAGAAATCCGTTTTTATTATTTTGCTTTTTGTAATTTTCCACTCCATCCATCTTATTCATTCGCTGAGATTATTTGTTTATTATAATGCCTCAGGTTTATTTCTTTAATGGAAAGAACATTTAAATTGTCTTGTAATCTGCTTATCATGAATTATAATTCATGATTACATGAACGGCCGCCAAGCCAAGTGTCGGAAAACGAAGCATCCTTGGTAAAAAACTTGACTTATCTTTCAGTTCAAACATTTAGAATCACAGACGGATATTTTCTTATATTGCCTGATTGACCACCATGCATGCAAGTTCAAACTATAAGAAAGCACTTAAATTTTGCTAAACAAAAAACCGTTATAAAAGGAAGAATGATTTATGAAAAACTCAGGAATGATTTATGACCTAACGAATCAATCGCTTGAATTATTTACAGTGTTTCGTGTTCATCAATTTCTAGTGCATGAATACATGCATTTTGTCACATCAGATTAACGTCATATTTAAAACGTCAAGAACTATAAAGTTTTATATAATGATTAATCCTTCTTAAACCAAACGATTAGTTGGTTGTTAAAATGTCAGACGTATTTTTTGCCATACTTGCTCACGCAATCAAAAAAATTGTTTTCTATCAGCTCTCGACATGACAGGACATGGAACGAATCTCCCATAGCGGGCATATAGAGCTAGAACTATATGGGAATGGTTAGGATTGCTGCTGTTAGAGATTGGGATTGGATTAGGTTTACAGTCAGTATACATAGCTAGGATTAACTTTGGAAATTTCATCAATTTACTATACATTAGAACTCAGCTCTGAGCTTCATGATGTATCTGGACTCCTGTATCATTCCGGCCCACAAACGAATAGGCTAAATATAGCAAGTTATATATATGTATAATACGTCAGTCTTTAATCCATCGATTAGTTTATCTGTAAGAGATGACATTTATGAAGTAACTCTGAAGTGTTCAGTAAACTATCAGACATGTTTGTAGCTATATATATTTCGTCCCAAACAATACCTTTCACGGCGCAGTTAACACACTAGTTCCTTCTTACCACATGCTATTGTTTATTCTCTAAACTTTTAAATCAAAGAGTTTCATGAAGTGAGTTCACGCTGATCATATTGTGAGAATGTCTGTGAAAGAAAGACCTCCCTAGCTGTTAACCAGCTCAATGCAGGACGCCAATAAAATTCATACTGGGATAGGAAGTCATAGTTTTAATAAGCACATTTGCTCTTCAAAATGACTTGTGCGATATTCACAACCCTTCTCTAGTAATTCCTCATTATAAACTAACATAAAAAAATAGTTGTCAATTGTTTTTTGTGAAAAATTGCTGTAGAAAGATTTGATCATATGTCAGTGATCATAAATGTCAATTGCAGTCTTAACTTGCCTTATCGTCTGATTGTTAGCAAGTTCTAACAATATCTACATTTCTTGTTTTTAATTGCATTTTCTTGTGAAAAACTCTCGATAGAATTTTGCTGACTGGTCTTTCATAGGGTCAGTTCTCAGCGTGGTGGTCTTCCAGTCTTAATGCTTCATGTCGGGAAAACAATTGAATTCCCTTTCTTTTAATTGCGTTCATAATCTTACAGGAAGACAGCATTTTTCAAAAATAGACTTTTCGCTTGGCTTGATTTAAAAGTTATTTATGCAGTGCAGTGAGAACAGGAAACTCTCTCCAGCCAAGTACGGTTGGATGTTAAATTAATTGTTTTGTTTTGTTTGTTGCGAGGAAACACAGGATTATTAGTTTGAATTGCTAGAGAAAAATAATTGCAGACAAACAATTTATAAAATGAAAACTAAGTTTAATTTTAGAAGGCTTTGCTGCTCGGAAGAGGCTGGTGTTGAATCATATGATAGAAATCGTTACGTCATAAAGCTTAGAATTAGGTCAAAGGTTTACGATTTAAAATGAATTTTAAAAGGTGAGAAGTTATAGTTTGGTTTTTCTAAGATTAAGGTTGTGATACCCATTCTTACCTTTATAGATATCTTATTCACATCTCAGTTCAGCGAGGATTCATTTATATCCAATTAAACATGAACTCCAGAGGTGATCTAGGTTCACCGACAACCATATGGAAACTAAATCTTTTCTGAATTAACACCAGCAGCAAAAGCTCGCAGCATTGAAGGATAAGATTATATTACTGAAGCAATGAAGTTAGCACTTTGTCAACCATTTCTTAGATATAAAACTCTTTAGTTGACCGAGGCTGCAGAAAAGCATCTTTATACAAGTGCCTGCAGGAAACTTGTGCTACTGTAATGAAGTGTGAGACCATGCATCATCTGTACAAGGTATGACCTTCGCTCTCTGAGTGTGAAAATACTTCTTTATCCCTTTCATACATCATTAATATTAGCTCTGGAAATCATTGTTTCACAATTAAACGTTAAGAAAGGCAAGGTGTACGTTCTGCCATTCAGTCATTCACAGCGGACAAACGTACGTTTGCGACGACTGAACAAATTTTCTTTGAAGCAAAACATTTTATCTAGCTGCCGATAATTTTTTATCATAACATGCTGCATAAACTTTGTTGAGTTAAACGTTGAGTAAGCGTTCTTGTCAATAAACTTCGTTTATATATGTGTATAGAATAACATGGCAAGAAATTGGACTAAAAGGCTTTGCTTTATTACTGCGTTTGTGTATTTTCTGAATAAACGTAAACGGGAACTCTCTTGTTTTTTGTTGTTAATCAATAACTCGTAAATCGTTTATTTTGACAGACTATAGAATTCCTGCATTTTTTTGCTATGTTCAAAAATATTGAATTCACATTTATTCTAAACAAAGAAACTAATCGTAAGATTGAAGTGGCTTGGGTGAATCACTGGCGTTTTCGTCAGGATTTTGAAGTGAAACCTTTTTGCTTCAAGTATTTTGCCACATCGCGTCTTCATTAGCATTTACCTACGAATTTAGTGTGTTTAACTGATTTACTTCTAGGCAAGGACAATAGCACTGTAATAAATATCCAGCCCGGCCAACTAAATTCAAAACGTATGTCAAAATGGGGTGACATTGAGATATTTTGCATGTTGATATTTTAGTGCAATGGATATAAAAAGAATTTCGTGCTAAAATAACATTTGGAAATACTTCACACTGCGCAAATTAACATACGAATGATACGATGCGCGCGCAAATGATGAGAATAATATCGATGCCAAGGCGGTTGATGCATGGGACCGCCGCAGATTATCATGAGTTAACAACGTTTTTAAACATCATTCATAGTTGTGCTCAAACTGAAAATGAATTCTCAGTTCCCTCTCAGAAATGTCTTAAATTGTTGCTGCACCAAACTTCATGCTTGGCTCCAGGCTGTTCAACCTACCGCCTTGCTTGAAGCTCACAACGTTTAGTATAAGCCACAGTATAGGTTCTAACATGTTGATATAACTCTTATTTATAACCAGATTACTCTTTTAAGATTTCCCTTATTACGACGCTTTTCCTATAGAAAGGATTTCAACGGATTTTCTTGGTTACTCGAAATATCATTGGAAGTGAAATTATTCAATCTGAATAGTTGGTTTCACTCTGACGAAGTGACCATCTTGCCTATGTTATCAATGGACCATTTTAAAACTTTATTTCGAAAGTAATTTCATTTCGAAGTTGTCTTTGCGGTCTCAACTATTACAACCCTAGTTGAAATTCTTTATATGAAAGTCTTTTTGGATTGAACTAAGGTGGTCAGATTCCAGTTCTTAAGATGGAAAATTAATGCCAATTCTTTCACAACACAATAGATTAATAATATTTGTTTATACAACGTTGACGTCGATCTTCTCTTCTTACTGTAAGCTCGTAAAATCTGCCAAATCTTTTGGAACTGACCTGCCTAATCAACCGGATGGAGTAAATCATCTTCGTTCATTAGTCAAATAATATAGATCAGACACATTACAAAAACTCGAATGTTTTGATACATAGATCCCTTTTTATTTTCACCACTACAGTTGTTCAATTTCAAGATATTGAATACAGAATCTTTAGTGTTCTACATAATATCAGTTAAACAACAATTTTATTTAAGAGTAAAATATACCACAACTATTCTAAAGTGATTAAAATCCATCTCATCTCGTAACAAGTTATATTGGCTATGATTGTCTATGAGGTTCTCATGCAGGTTCTCTTCAATGGAAGCTTACAGAAATTAAAGGGTAAGTTACATCAAACTTTACGCGAGTTGTTCGGAGGCTTTAATCAACTTCTGTGAAAATGTCAGTTTTTTAAAATTAGACCAATCAGTAAGACTATAACCAAGTGCCTTAGAAACGAGATGAACGGGTTTTTCTACAAGCAGTTGTGAGGTCGGAAATATAAACTATTTGTACGTTTTTTTTTTCAATATCGATTAAATTGTTTGGTCAGAAATAACAATAGCATCAATTCTTGGAAACAAGAATTATCTCGCTTGGATTCATGACTCATGCAGTAGCCTATCTATATTAATATTATACACGACATACCCAATATATGAACCTTCAGACAAGGAAAGGACCTTGAATCCAGGAAACACTAACTTTCTAACTATACCAAGTCACCGACAAATAACTCGGTTTAATTAAATGAATAAAATAACAAAACTTGCTGATACAACTGAGGGTCTCGTCCGTCGATTAAAAGTTAAGACCATGAGCAGTTCTTGAAAGGCTGACGCGCAAAAAAGTTAGTTCCTTGATCTGTTCTTGCTGAAGTAAAACCACTCCATTGAGCTTCATTTGACGAACACACTTTTGACGCATTCAATTTCTGTCCGTCTCCTAAACATCTTTGGTTGAGAATATCGTCAAATGGCGTGTACTCAGAATGATTTGGGAATGATGATTGAAAGTTATTAGAATGATTTCTTGCGTGTCTTTCTGTGTAATGTTTAGGCTGTCTGTCTTCTTCATATAAAGCTCTGGTCGGAGCATTACATGACCTATGCAAGATAGGATTAGTTCTGGGTGGAACAACATTGTAGGGTGGAGAAACTTGTGGGCTAGGATAGACTTCTTCTCCTAAAGAGGAATAGTTTGGACAAAACCTTGGCTGAATTTTATCTTTGCCATGAAGAACGTTTGAGTTGAAAGCGTATTGTGTTGAGTTTGTGTTTAATGGCATTACAGCATGGGGATTTTGTGTTGGTGGATAGTACAATTCTGAATCAGCAAGGGTAGGATTTGACGAGGAAATATTTTGCTCTGTTCTGTGAGTTGGATATCGTGTTAGGTTTTCACAAGGAAGTGTGATATCTTTCTCTCCTGCTTGATATGGAAGCTCTCCACCTTGCTGTCTGAAAGGGTTGTTGTCTTGAGGTGAAAGCATTGATACGGTGTTAGCAGAAGGAAAATACCCTGTGTTGTTAATAACGCTTGTTCTTTCACGAGATGGCCATGTATCGTCTTCTATGTTTTCATTTTGTGCTGACACAGGACTTGTGTCACGAGATGACTGACTGGTGCTTCGTGATGAAGTTTCGCCGTAACTTCTTTCTGAGTTTTGACCTGGTTTCTTTTTAAATCTTTTCCGACGTCGTAGGTAACTGCCATTTTCAAACATGTTGTAACTGTCCGGGTGCAGAGTCCAGTAGGATCCTTTGCCAGATTTCTTATCATCGCGAGGGACTTTTTCAAAACAATCATTTAGACTTAAGTTATGTCTGATAGAGTTTTGCCATCCATGACGATTTTTCCTGTAATAGGGAAATCGTTCAATAATGAACTGATAAATACCGTTCAGTGTAATCTTTTTATCTGGTTGACTTTCAACCGCCATGGCTATTAAGGCAATATAACTGTACGGCGGTTTCACCTTGTCTTCATTACCAGAAATACATTTACATGGGGACCAGATATATTCCTGAGGCTGGGTAGGAACATAAGGAAAATAAGAATAATGCATTGTAGGACAGTTATGGTGTCCGGTTCTGCAATTGAAATCAACTTGATTTGTGTTTGAAAATGTCCTAGAACCCATATCTTGCCCTGGAACGTGTTGGAAGTTCGCCATTCTCTGCTTTGTGATAATCTTCTTTTTTGTCAACTCTTCTCCTTGTGATATTCTGGAACATTTAACTGTCGCAATTAACAGCTATTTAAGAACGCATTTATATAGGATACCTAGCATTGTTTGAGAGCTGATCATATGTTCCTGCCAAGTCTGTCTCATGCCACCCTGCTGTTTAATATGACTTCGTGTGAAGGCTTCATGCACTAGGAAAAAGGTCAATAGCTCATTGTAAAACCGGACACCATCTCAAGCGATTATTTAAATCTTTATCATATATGAAAGTCTGTAGGCTTCCACCACGAAGAAGAAAGTATTCCAGCTTGCCTGACGACATCCACTGGTAATAATAAGTCATTTGCTAGGAACTAACAATTTAGCAAATAGCTGTAAAAGCTAAAATTAGGCTAATTTTGCTCAAAGATATAATCAAAAGACTGTGTGTGAGTCGTATCCCACACCTAAGGCTAAAAAGATCATTAGCTTGGTGCCTGGTAATTGAGGAAAACAGAACTGTCCTGAAACACAACTGATCAAATTGGTTTCACTATATCTTGGCAGTTAGCTAGTTCTAGGTCTCTGAATGAATATATTGACAATAAATTATCAGTTTGTCTCAATTACCAGAATATACCACATATAATAATGGTCAATTATAATTTTAATTCTTGTGTTTTGGCAGGTTGGTCACCAACTGTTGTACGATTATTCTTAGCATTTTCATCATGTAGTTTCATATACCTATAGAACAACACTGATATTAGTTCCTACGTTTTCAGGCAGTTTTTAGTTATAAAGGTTTGCTTCAAAGAAATCGATTGGGTTTGACAAAAGAATAACGCTCACATCTTCATTATTTTCAACAATTTTTTTTCTTCTAATTTTGAGTTTTTGAGACAACCCGTTGTGAATTGTCTCCCAGATTGTTTTTCTCGAAGAACTTCGTACGGAGTTTCGACCTGGGTGCTGCAATACATGACATCTCTGAACTTAACTTGCTGTTTACCCCACCAAAAGTTGCTTCTGATACTTGCTGTTAAGTTTGCTTAAAAAACAAACATGAGCCCAGTGAGGCAGAACACCAGTAAGAATATGGTGTTTATATAATGAAACAATAAATAACACTAACTATGCGTTACCATGCACCCTTCTTTTACAAACTAGCACTAGGCACGTTTGTTAAAAACGGCCACACCGGGAACTAGGTAAGATTGATCGGGCAAACAGTTACTGTGGCTGGCAAAGATAATGCACGAAGTGTGTCTAAACAAACTTTTCGGAATTGAAACGTGAAAGACATTCCAGAGTTAGAGCATAGTTAGAGACAGCGACATCATTCAGCTGGGTCCGGTTGTTCAAAAGGCGTTTAGCTTAAACGTTGGATAAGTTCAAAGTGGAAAACAAAATTATCTGTTTATTGAACAACTGAGCTGAAATCTCTCGATGTAAATAGTTTAATTTTCAATGGAAGTACATATTTAATGCATAGGATGCAGGTTCAGTCATTCACAAGATCTATGAGAGTATTTTTAAACTTTGGCTTATCCGCCGTTTAAGCTAAACGCCTTTCGAACAACCGGACCCTGGTAAATAAAAGTGGCCGGTGGGGGAAGAACTGAAATTCTACTTATTTATTTAAAAGCGAGATTGTTTCGTGTGAAAAAAGTGCAATTTTTTATGAAAATTTCCATAGTATTTTTAAAATCAAAAATACTCCTATTTCAGTCGCGGTTGTAGGGGTAGTCAAATAATTTACTACAGCTTAAATTCGCAATCGCATTTGTAGATTTTTATTTCCAATCTATAACCAATAAATAAGGTGTTTTGAATTTAAAATTAAGCAGTGTAATTTATTCCGGCACTGTCCTATTTTATGATGAAATATGAACTACGGTGTGAAATGTGAAATATGATTTTATGGTTCTAGGTTCTATGGTTCTGTCGTTCAATAGTAGCAACTCTTTTAAGGGATTTCGAGCGGGGGAGGGGAGATTGACAAAGAGGGACCTCTCTCGACGAATTGTTGTGTTATCAAGGAAACACATTATATTAGTTTACATTGCTAGAGAAAAATGATTCCAGACAAACAATTTATAAAATGAAAACTAAGTTTAATTTTAGAAGGCTTTGCTGCTCGGAAGAGGCTGGTATTGAATCATATATGATAAAAATCGTTACGTCATAAAGCTTAGAATAAGGTCAAAGGTTTACGATTTAAACTGAATTTTAAAAGGTGAGAAGATATAGTTTGGTTTTTCTAAGATTAAGGTTGTGATACCCATTCTTACCTTTATAGATATCTTATTCACATCTCAGTTCAGCAAGGATTCATTTATATCCAATTAAACATGAACTCCAGAGGTGATCTAGGTTCACCGACAACCATATGGAAACTAAATCTTTTCTGAATTAACACCAGCAGCAAAAGCTCGCAGCATTGAAAGATAAGATTATATTACTGAAGCAATGAAGTTAGCACTTTGTCAACCATTTCTTAGATATAAAACTCTTTAGTTGACCGAGGCTGTAGAAAAGCATCTTTATACAGTGCCTGCAGGAAACTTGTGCTACTGTAATGAAGTGTGAGACCATGCATCATCTGTACAAGGTATGACCTTCGCTCTCCGAGTGTGAAAATACTTCCTTATCCCTTTCATACTTCATTAATATTAGCTCTGGAAATAATTGTTTCCCAATTAAACGTTAAGAAAGGCAAGGTGTACGTTCTGCAATTCAGTCATTCACAGCGGACAAACGTACGTTTGCGACGACTGAACAAATTTTCTTTGAAGCAAAACAATTTATCTAGCTGCCGATAATTTTTTATCATAACATGCTCAGCATAAACTTTGTTGAGTTAAACGTTGAGTAAGCGTTCTTGTCAATAAACTTCGTTTATATATGTGTATAGAATAACATGGCAAAAAATTGGACTAAAAGGCTTTGCTTTATTACTGCGTTTGTGTATTTTCTGAATAAACGTAAACGGGAACTCTCTTGTTTTTTGTTTTTAATCAATAACTCGTAAATCGTTTATTTTGACAGACTATAGAATTCCTGCATTTTTTTGCTATGTTCAAAAATATTGAATTCACATTTAATCTAAACAAAGAAACTAATCGTAAGGTTGAAGTGGCTTGCGTGAATCACTGGCGTTTTCGTCAGGATTTTACGTTCACAACGTACAAACTCACAACGTTTAGTATAAGCCACAGTATAGGTTCTAACATGTTGATACAACTCTTATTTATAACCAGATTACTCTTTTAAGATTTCCCTTATTACGACGCTTTTCCTATAGAAAGGATTTTAACGGATTTTCTTGGTTACTCGAAATATCATTGGAAGTGAAATAATTCAATCTAAATAATTGGTTTCACTCTGACGAAGTGACCATCTTCCCTATGTTATCAATGGACCATATAAAAACTTTATTTCGAAAGTAATTTCATTTCGAAGTTGTCTTCGCGGCCTCAACTATTACAACGAGTTGAAATTCTTTATATGAAAGTCTTTTTGGATTGAACTAAGGTGGTCAGATTGCAGTTCTTAAGATGGAAAATTAATGCCAATTCTTTCACAATACAGTAGATTAATAATATTTGTTTATACAACGTTGACGTCGATCTTCTCTTCTTACTGTAAGCTCGTAAAATCTGCCAAATCTTTTGGAACTGACCTGCCTAATCAACCGGATGGAGTAAATCATTTTCGTTCATTAGTCAAATAATATAGATCAGACACATTACAAAGACTCGAATGTTTTGATACATAGATCCCTTTTTATTTTCACCACTACAGTTGTTCAATTTAAAGATATTGAATACAGAATCTTTAGTGTTCTACATAATATCAGTTAAACAACAATTTTATTTAAGAGTAAAATATACCACAACTATTCTAAAGTGATTAAAATCCATCTCATCTCGTCACAAGTTATATTGGCTATAATTATCCATGAGGTTCTCAGGTTCTCTTCAATGGAAGCTCACAGAAATTAAAGGATAATTTACATCAAACTTTACGCGAGTTGTTCGGAGGCTTTAATCAACTTCTGTGAAAATGTCAGTTCTTTGAAATTAGACCAATCAGTAAGACTATAGCCAAATGCCTTCGAAACGAGATGAACGGGTTTTTCTACAAGCAGTTGTGAAGTCTGAACTATAAACTATTTGTACGTTTTTTTCAATATTGATTAAATTGTTTGGTCAGAAATAACAATAGCATCAACTCTTGGAGACAAAAATTATCTCACTTGGATTCATGACTCATGCAGTATCTATATTAATATTATACACGACATACCCAATATATGAACCTTCAGACAAGGAAAGGACCTTGAAACCAGAAAACACTAACTTTCTAACTATACCAAGTCACCGACAAATAACTCGGTTTAATTAGATGAATAAAATAACAAAACTTGCTGACACAATTGAGGGTCTCGTCCGTCGATTAAAAGCTAAGACCATGAGCAGTTCTTGAAAGGATGACGCGCAAAAAAGTTAGTTCCTTGATCTGTTCTTGCTGAAGTGAAACCACTCCATTGAGCTTCATTTGACGAACACACTTTTGACGCATTCAATTCTGTCCGTCTCCTAAACATCTTTGGTTGAGAATATCGTCAAATGGCGTGTACTCAGAATGATTTGGGAATGATGATTGAAAGTTATTAGCATGATTTCTTGCGTGTTTTTCTGTGTAATGTTTAGGCTGTCTGTCTTCTTCATATAAAGCTCTGGTCGGAGCATTACATGACCTATGCAAGATAGGATTAGTTCTGGGTGGAACAACATTGTAGGGTGGAGAAACTTGTGGGCTAGGATAGACTTCTTCTCCTAAAGAGGAATAGTTTGGACAAAACCTTGGCTGAATTTTATCTTTGCCATGAAGAACGTTTGAGTTGAAAGCGTATTGTGTTGAGTTTGTGTTTAATGGCATTACAGCATGGGGATTTTGTGTTGGTGGATAGTACAATTCTGAATAGGGAAGGGTAGGATTTGACGAGGAAATATTTTGCTCTGTTCTGTGAGTTGGATATCGTGTTAGGTTTTCACAAGGAAGTGTGATATCTTTCTCTCCTGCTTGAAATGGAAGCTCTCCACCTTGCTGTCTGAAAGGGTTGTTGTCTTGAGGTGAAAGCGTTGATACCGTGTTAGCAGAAGGAAAATACCCTGTGTTGTTAATAACGCTTGTTCTTTCACGAGATGGCCATGTATCGTCTTCTATGTTTTCATTTTGTGCTGACACAGGACTTGTGTCACGAGATGACTGACTGGTGCTTCGTGATGAAGTTTCGCCGTAACTTCTTTCTGAGTTTTGACCTGGTTTCTTTTTAAATTTATTCTCACGTCGTAAGTAACTGCCATTTTCAAACATGTTGTAACTATCCGGGTGCAGAGTCCAGTAAGATCCTTTGCCAGATTTCTTATCATCGCGAGGGACTTTTTCAAAACAATCATTTAGACTTAGGTTATGTCTGATAGAGTTTTGCCATCCATGACGATTTTTCCTGTAATAGGGAAATCGTTCAATAATGAACTGATAAATACCGTTCAGTGTAATCTTTTTATCTGGTTGACTTTCAACCGCCATGGCTATTAGGGCAATATAACTGTACGGCGGTTTCACCTTGTCTTCATTACCAGAAATACATTTACATGGGGACCAGATATATTCCTGAGGCTGGGTAGGAACATAAGGAAAATAAGAGTAATGCATTGTAGGACAGGTATGGTGTTCCGTTCTGCAATTGAAATCAACTTGATTTTGGTTTGAAAATGTCCTAGAACCCATATCTTGCCCTGGAACGTGTTGGAAGTTCGCCATTCTCTGCTTTGTGATAATCTTCTTTTTTGTCAACTCTTCTCCTTGTGATATTCTGGAACATTTAACTGTCGCAATTAACAGCTATTTAAGAACGCATTTATATAGGATACCTAGCATTGTTTGAGAGCTGATCATATGTTCCTGCCAAGTCTGTCTCATGCCACCCTGCTGTTTAATATGACTTCGTGTGAAGGCTTCATGCACTAAGAAAAAGGTCAATAGCTCATTGTAAAACCGGACACCATCTCAAGCGATTATTTAAATCTTTATCATATATGAAAGTCTGTAGGCTTCCACCACGAAGAAGAAAGTATTCCAGCTTGCCTGACGACATCGATTGGTAATAATAAGTCATTTGCTAGGAACTAACAATTTAGCAAATAGCTGTAAAAGCTAAAATTAGGCTAATTTTGCTAAAAGATATAATCAAAAGACTGTGTGTAAGTCGTATCCCACACGTAAGGCTAGGAAGATCATTAGCTTGGTGCCTGGTAATTGAGGAAAACAGAACTGTCCTGAAACACAACTGATCAAATTGGTTTAACTATATTTTGGCAGTTAGCTAGTTCTAGGTTTCTGAATGTTTTGACAATAAATTATCCGTTTGTCTCAATTACCAGAATATACTACATATAATAATGGTCAATTATAATTTTAATTTTTGTGTTTTGGCAGGTTGGTCACCAACTGTTGTACGATTATTCTTAGCATTTTCATCATGCAGTTTCATACACCTATAGAACAGCACTGATATCAGTTCATACGTTTTCAGGCAGTTTTTAGTTATAAAGGTTTGCTTCAAAGAAATCGATTGGGTTTGACAAAAGAATAACGCTCACATCTTCATTATTTTCAACAATTTTTTTTCTTCTAATTTTGGGTTTTTAAGACAACCCGTTGTGAATTGTCTCCCAGATTGTTTTTCTCGAAGAACTTCGTACGGAGTTTCGACCTGGGTGCTGCAATACATGACATCTCTGAACTTAACTTGCTGTTTACCCCACCAAAAGTTGCTTCTGATACTTGCTGTTAAGTTTGCTTAAAAAACAAACATGAGCCCAGTGAGGCAGAACACCAGTAAGAATATGGTGTTTATATAATGAAACAATAAATAACACTAACTATGCGTTACCATGCACCCTTCTTTTACAAACTAGCACTAAGCACGTTTGTTAAAAACGGCCACACGGGGAACTTGGTAAGATTGATCGGGCAAACAGTTACTGTGGCTGGCAAAGATAATGCACGAAGTGTGTCTAAACAAACTTTTCTGAAACGTGAAAGACATTTCAGAGTTAGAGCATAGTTAGAGACAGCGACATCATTCAGCTGGTAAATAAAAGTGACCAGTGGGGGGAAGAACTGAAATTCTACTTTTTTAAAAGCGAGATTGTTTCGTGTGAAAAAGGTGCAATTTTTTATGAAAATTTCCATAGCATTTTTAAAATCAAAAATACTTCTATTTCAGTCGCGGTTGTAGGGGTAGTCAGAATAATTTACTACAGCTTAATTTCGCAATCGCATTGGTAGATTTTTATTTTGAATCCATAACCAATAAATAAGGTGTTTTGAATTTAAAATTTATTCCGGCACTGTCCTATTTTATGATGAAATATGAACTACGGTGTGAAATGTGAAATATGATTTTATGGTTCTAGGTTATATGGTAGAACTGTCGTTCAATAGCAGGAACTCTTTTAAGGGATTTCGAGTGGAGGGGAGATTGCCAAAGTGGGACCTCTCTCGACGAATTGTTGTGAACTGTTATCAATGTTTTTCTTTCAACAGGGGGACCAACATGGGGAATAGGGGTACCTTGAGCCCCCAGTCTATGGTTAAAAGAGGTCCTGTTCTAGGGTTCTATAGTTCTATGATTGTATGGTTCTACGGTTCTATATGGTTCTATGGTTCTACGGTTCTACGGTTCTATGGTTCTATGGTTCTATGGTTCTATGGTTCTACGGTTCTATTGTTTTATGGTTCTATGGTTGTATGGTTCTTCCGTTTTCGCGACTCCTCTGCCATGAAAAGACTGGGCATGACCCTCGAGGATTTCCGGCCAGAGGTGTCGTACTGGCGTTCCAAAGGTGATTCAATTCTGGGCGAAATATTGTGAAATATCAAATATTTCTTCTTAAATCTTAACACAAAGTAAGTTGTTTCTTTTCTCACGATAGTTAAATGTTTGTGGATAGTAGGTCTTAACGAAATTGGATGGAGAACACTTGGATTGTCACATTTACCTTAGCAATATTTCATGTTTAATACAATATGGCCTCCAGGCGGAACTCAGATTTCAACATTATGTATATTACAATTTTGCAAGTAAAACTTCCTTTTGGTCACTGAATGTATCGTATATGAATTTATAACAGAGAATAATTACCTCGAATAATCTCTTCTTCTATCCTATTTGTGTTGACTGTATACACAAGTACACAACATAATATTATTTATAAAGTTCCATATTGTTGAAATATTGTGTGCATTTATCTTTTATGTTTTATTATTTCAGAGTTACGTTGATAGAATTCACTGACTGCTGCAACAATGACGGACTCGAAGTATTTTACAACAACCAAGAAAGGTGCTATGATAATATAAAATGATATATATTTTCTGGGTTTTAGGGGCTAAATTAATTGATTGGGTAAAAATGGCACTTGAGAGTCACCTGATTACAAGCAGTCTGCAATAAGAATGTTAAACTTTATTCCAAAGAACTTGTATTGAGGGTTGTCCAGTGTACAGCATATAATTTTGGTGACAAGTTTGTGAAATTATGATAGTAATGACAATATTTTGTTCTTTTTCCTCTTCATTGCCATCAACAAACACAATTGGAATATTGGATGCATTTCAGGTGAAATATTTGAACTGAAAGCTGAGTTGAACAGTGAGAAAAAAGATAGAAAAAAAGAAGCTGTTAAAAAAGTGATCGCTAGTATGACTGTAGGGAAAGATGTCAGGTACCTATGTTATTTTTACATCAATGGTCCACCTCTAAGCCTGGATTGGTTTAAAATTCGATTTTTGTAGAATTAATTTTTTCACATGTTCACAAACACCATGCAAGTCTTTTACAGAGCTAGAAAAGCTGACATTGCAAAAAGTAACATTTACATAGATTCAGCTATATTGCTATGAACATGGATTCTGTTCTGGGTTTTTTTTACTTTGACTAAACTTGTTCTAATTTTTTTCAGTTCATTATTTCCTGATGTTGTTAACTGTATGCAAACTGACAACTTAGAGTTAAAGAAATTAGTCTATCTTTATCTCATGAATTACGCTAAATCTCAACCTGATATGGCTATCATGGCTGTAAATACCTTTGTCAAGGTAAATTAGAATCTTTTTTAAATTATAAAAGCTTGTGCGACAGTCTACGTAGAGATGGATGGATGGCTGCTTAGTCAGAGATTCGCTCTGAAAAACTGTGAAGTAACAACCACTGATAAAATTATTTTCATCTTCAGGACTGTGATGATCCAAACCCACTGATCAGAGCTTTAGCTGTGCGTACTATGGGTTGTATCAGAGTGGATAAGATCACTGAGTATTTGTGTGAGCCGTTAAGAAAATGCTTGAAAGATGAAGATCCATATGTCAGAAAAACTGCTGCTGTCTGTGTTGCAAAACTTCATGATATTAATGCACAGCTTGTGGAAGATCAAGGATTTCTGGACCAATTGAAAGAACTGCTCTCTGACTCTAATCCTATGGTAATGTTGAAATTTTTACTGTAATTAGTCATGGCCATCAATCACTTTCACAATAAGTAATATTCATTTGAATGTTGCAAGATTTTCTATCAAACATGGTATTCTTTATATTCTAGGTTGTTGCAAATGCTGTTGCTGCATTGAGTGAGATTAGTGATGTGTCAACATCTGCTGCTGAAGCATTGGAACTTAATTCACAGACAGTGAACAAATTATGCACAGCATTAAATGAAATGCACTGAGTATGTATTGATAACAAACTTCTCACTTGTTATAATTGATGTTTCAGTATGTATTTTCAGTTTAGAAAATATTTCTGTTGAATATATTTGTAGATGGGGTCAAATCTTCATTCTGGATTGTTTGGCAACTTACAATCCTCGTGATGACAAGGAAGCTCAAAGGTATCACAGTGATTGTTTACCACAATATTTTATGGCATCAGTGGTAATTAAATTTCATATTCTAGTGTATGTGAAAGAGTGACACCAAGACTGTCTCATGCTAATGCTGCTGTTGTTCTCTCGGCTGTAAAGGTATATATCAACTATGATATTCTGACGGTCTCCACTCATGAACTGATTTTGTTAGTTCTACAGATATAAATGGATATATTTTGCATAGGTTCTCATGAAATACATGGAAATCTTGGAGGGTTCCCCATTCACTCAAAGCCTGATAAAAAAACTGGCGCCACCACTTGGTAAGAATGAATCTTTAAAGAATGATTAGCTACAGTGTATTTAATCATATAGTTGTATTGTAAGTTCAAGTGTTGTGACCTTAAATGCTGTAACATGACAAATTTATCTCTGAACTTATTTTATCTTTGATATTAGTGACATTACTGTCCAGTGAGCCTGAAGTTCAGTATGTGGCCTTGAGGAATATAAACCTGATTGTTCAAAAGAGGTTAGTTTGTGTTGGATTTACTTCGTGTTAACTTAAAGTCATGTTATGCTGTTATATTTGTTTGGTTTCTGTGTTTTAGACCTGATATTCTACGGAATGAGATGAAAGTGTTTTTTGTGAAGTACAATGATCCAATATATGTGAAGCTGGAAAAGTTGGACATCATGATTCGTCTTGCAAATCAACAAAACATCGCACAAGTCTTAGCTGAACTGAAAGAGTGAGTAGAAATTTGTGCAGTTGGTTTACATTACACAACTAAAGAGCAGGCATTGTAAACTGTATAACCCTTGGTAAGCTGCCCTGTTAACAATCCAAAGATCATCTCCAAGTAATATTAAATCATTTTAGATATGCTACAGAAGTAGATGTTGATTTTGTGAGGAAATCTGTAAGGGCAATTGGTCGTTGTGCCATCAAAGTTGAGGTACTAAAATATGTTTATTAATCATCTTTGAAATAATTCCCTTTACATTCATTCATATATGTATTGTGTTTCTGTATTTTAGCAATCAGCAGAAAAGTGTGTCAGCACATTGCTGGATCTTATCCAGACTAAAGTTAACTATGTTGTGCAGGAGGCCATTGTGGTTATCAAGGTATATTCTATTCCCTTAAGTTTAAAAATTTACTTCAAATACATGCAACATATGTGCAAAATGATATAATACGCACATGAATATAAGCTACATGTGATAAAATAATTGTTCTTGCAGGATATTTTTCGTAAATATCCAAACAAGTATGAGAGCATCATATCAACCTTGTGTGAAAACCTAGACTCTCTTGATGAGTCTGAAGCAAGGTATGGTACAAGTGCTTTAAAAATGTCTGTGTTACACAATTTTTCATTCTTTTCAATATCTTTGGAAGCTTCAAATAATGGCAGGCAGTTCATCATGCCTTAAGTTTGAAATAGTTTCCTAAATTAAGGAAAGTCTGCCAGACAAGAGTCCAGTTTTATCCATGCTGACCTCTTCACTGTTGACATACATTTGCAACTTGGCATTGTAAAAAATTCAAAGTTTATTCACTTTCCTTCAGCTTCACCACAAAAGCATCATGATTACAATGTTTTTAGAGCATCAATGATTTGGATCATTGGAGAGTATGCAGAGAGAATTGATAATGCAGCTGAACTACTTGAATCTTTCCTTGAAGGTTTCCAAGATGAAAATACCCAGGTGCATGTCACTTGCTGTACTTAAATCAAGACATGAGTTTCATCTTGATAATCATTACAACATTATAATAAATAAGTAGAATATACATTGTAATCTGTTTTGCTAGGTTCAATTACAACTGTTGACTGGAATTGTAAAACTGTTTCTCAAACGGCCATCTGAAACTCAAGAGTTGGTTCAACAAGTGCTGAGTCTTGCCACACAAGACAGTGATAATCCTGATCTTAGAGATAGAGGCTACATATACTGGAGATTGCTTTCAACTGACCCTGCTGCTGCAAAGGTATTGATTATTGATATATGCTGGACCTGAATTATGCTGGGTGTCATATTCTCCTTCTCACTGTAGGAAGTTGTGTTGGCAGAGAAACCACTGATCTCTGAAGACACTGACTTGTTGGAGCCAACCTTACTGGATGAACTCATATGTCATATTTCATCATTGGCTTCAGTCTATCATAAACCACCCAGTGCCTTTGTTGAGGGCCGTACTTGTGCTCGTCGTTTTACATTGCCTGCAAGAGCTGAACCAACCCCTCCTAGTGCACAGACTGAATCAACCCCACCTGTTGCTCAACAAGCTACTGTCATTCCTTCACATCCACCACAAGGAGATTCATTGATTGGTGATCTCATTGGAATGGACTTTGGAGGTGGTATGCCTGCTCAGCCTGCTGCACCCATGCCACCTGCAGCTATGAGTAAGTTGAATGATATATTTGTAAATCATATAGCTCAATTGAGACAAAATGCCTGGTGCCTCTCTTTAATATCCAAGCAAGCAATTTATTTCCTCCACTGCGCCAAGCACCTGATTCTTCCAGTTTTTTATTTTGTAAGTTGTTGAAATGAGAAGGGGAGATCTATTGACTGCCTTCTAATATAGGTAACAGCCATAGTGGAATTGATCTGTTGGGAGCTGATCTTGGAGGTTTGCAGGTATATTCTCCAAAGATTATTTCATGTGTTAAAACTTCATAACAAGAGACAAAGAATGGCAGAGGGTGCTGTTTTAGCAAACTTGTGTTTACATAAGGAAAATTGTGTGTTCTCATAGCTTGGCGGTGGAGTATCTGGTGCTCCAGCCCCACCCAATGCTGGCGTGGTACCAGGATCATCAGGTGGTCTTGGTGATTTATTCAGTTTGTCTGGTGGTGCTGGACTCACGGCTGGTCATGTTACCTCCAAAGAGGTAAGTCAAAGAAATATCAAGCAAACAAGCATTGTATCCTGCAGAAGTCACTAATGGTTTGAATTAGGCATTCTAAAATCGCCTTTTGGAACAGAGCTTCCTGGAATTATGCATTATTGTTCTTTATTTTCTTTCAAAGGTTTGGTTGCCAGCTGCGAAAGGAAAGGGTCTTGAAATTTCTGGTAAGATACTATGTCTGTGTCTGTCTCTCATTATCTCTGTCTATCCCTCGATATCCCTGTCTCCCTAATGTCGTTTCTGCCTTTTGCCATCGTCATTCTTGTTCTTAGGAACCTTCTCACGACGTCAAGGTCAAATCTTTATGGAATGCTCAATCGCCAATCGAGCAATGCAAGCTATTGGGAATTTTGCTATACAATTCAATAAAAACAGGTGACTCGCTAATATTCCTACGAACTTCATCACGAATGGCTTTACACGAAATTTTCGTTACATCTATCACGTGTTCTATCACGTGTTCTGTCTAATTCAGAGGTAGTGATGTTATGAAACAATCCACACGACAGTTTTTTACGGTGTTTAATATGCACTTAAGTTAGGAAATGGTTAAAATAAAGAAATAAAGTAGGTTGAATAATGCTTTATTATTTAAAGTTTTGGTCTCGTCCCTGGAGCTCAATTACATGTTCCAAGTCCTTTACCTGCGAACCAATCTGCTGAAACATCTTTGTTGCTTACAACAAGTAAGAAATCTAACATAATTCACGAATCATTCATCAACATTGTGGCTAGCGCTAGTTTATCTCAAATGTCAAAACACGGCCTCCCTGACCTTGTTCTATTTTTTCAGCTGGTCCAATTCAACGGATGGATCCTCTCACCAACATTCAGGTCGCAATTAAGAACAACATTGATGTATTTTACTTCAGTTGCATTGTTCCAATGCACGTTCTTTTCATCGAGACTGGTCAAATGGGTTGGTTATCTTACGTAGCTGGATTAATATTTATCTATATGTCAACCAATCTATTTGTTTTCCTTAATGTATTTCATTTTCCTATTTCTAGATCGTAAAGTATTTTTAGCGATGTGGAAAGAGATTCCTGCATCGAACGAAGTCCAGAAACAGTTCCATTGTAATATCACTTCGGGTAAAGCACATTACATTTCATTTGATAGCATGCTGTAAATTGGTTTAATGTGTTAAATTATTTAATAATGTACTGACAGTTGTTTTTCTTTAATTCAGAAATGGCTCAGCAAAAACTTGCTGCAAACAATGTGTTCACTGTCGCCAAACGTACAGTGGATGGTCAGGTAATGAAACACTGGTGCTAAGCCAGACTCTATATTAGCGTACATGGGGTGTGAAAGTTATTTTTGGGGATGTGCGACTTACAGTGATCTCATGCTTTAATATAACAGGACATGTTGTATCAATCCTTGAAATTTACCAATAACATCTGGGTGTTGGCTGAACTGAAGATGGAGCCTAATAATACCAATGTTCAGGTAAGATTGAGACTTGTTATGATCACTTTACCCTCACAAGACTATAATTGTCGCCATGTTTGTCTTGTTTAGTTGGCTTTGAAGACACAAGCAATGGATGTAGTCAAAGGCGTCCAAGAAGCCTATGAAGCAATTCTTTCAAGTTAATTAAAAATGAATAACGAGCCACGCCAAACAAAGAGCCATAAGACTTAATTTTTCAATAATTCATTTAGTATTTGAAATAAAGTAGTCAACAATTTCTAATCATATCGTTCGGTGATGCCGTGTTGTTCATTCTACCGCATGCATAACCCGGCCGCTTTATACACAACCCCCTTTTCCGCGCCATTCCATACCTATCTCGAGGTACTGATGTGAGATTAGACCAGACTCAGAGATTGTGTCAAATTACTCGGGCTAAATTGCGCACGCAGTGTTTATTGAGCTAATTTGCGTTAATTGCTCATGTTGCTTACGTCATAATTGCTTCCACGCGATGTTCTGATTTGTCAAGTCTTTTCTTAAAAATGAGAAAGTGTTTCCAAATTTTTATATTGTTGCTATCCACGTTGGTAAAGATGTCGTATTGTAGATTGGTTTGTCAGGAAGTTCCAGGTTAGTAGTTTTGGCTTGAATACTTAGGGTTTATCTTATACAGACTTCTGTAGAGTAATGTAAATAATTTTCCTCAAGAATGAATGAACTGTATGACATAGTCATAGTCATGGACATGGTGAGATTTTTAACGAAGCAAAGAGTGTTAGAATGTTTCAAACGAAGTTAGAGTGTTCAATCTGTCATTTTTCTGTTGTTTTCAGATCAGTGGACGGATAACTGGGCAAACATAACATTAGCAAGTATTGGTCTAATTATGGTCTCAAATCTAGCATTCAGAATTGAAGTTCTGTTACTCTGGGAATTATTTCTATGAAATATTGGAGACAGAGGAATATTTCAATCTCACTTGGCCAGTATAATTTATTATCGGAATACATTTTCTAAACTTGACGATTTAATTGAAAAAATTGAAATGCAAAAACTAACGAATTTAGAAATGACAAATGTACAATAAAATCCAACAATGCTCTGTTTCATGTAAACGATTGTCTTAGAATATCATTGTTTTTTAAAACCCAACTTGTGCAGATTCTTTTCCAGTGGAACAGGTTCGTCACCTGGTCGAGCCTGCAGTCAATGGTAATGACTTGTCTTGGTACTGGTTTTCCAGGTTTCTTCTTTGGGTATAACGCGCTTATCACCAGGAAGAACGGGGTTAGTCAGCTGATGAAACAGGCCGAGGAGAATCTAACCATATATGATTTCGCCCATTTATGAAGTGGGAAAACTTTTGAAATACGTTGCATCCAATTGAATTATAACTGTCTGGCATTACCTGAAATACGAATTTGCATTGCAATTTAAATAGCTATCACAATCCTCTTACGTACAATGTTATCCACTTCCTCCCTGTCCTGTATTTGATCATTATCCAAATAATTTCAGATTTGATTTTTACTCAAACTTACATCGACTTCAATTTCCTTGTTTCCAAACAACAACACTCCACGGTAGAGAGGTTTCTCCTCGACTTTGTGGATTCCTTTGCTTTTGATGGTTTGTAGAAACTCTAGGTCCAGTTCAGGTAAAATATTTTCACTAATGGTGACCACCTCACTTCCTGTGTCCACTAAACAGTTGAGTAATTCAACAGAGTCGTGTCCTGTTACGTTTGATTTGATTTTACACTCGTTTACCCAAAGAAAATCGCTGGTAAAGGTAGGAACAGCGTCGTTCTTACCCCAATACCCGTACGCTACCGGTTGCCGCGTTGTCGTCACCGTATCTTCGCTGTTGGCTGACAGGCAAATGTGGCTTGCTGAAGTAAAAGTATGACAAATCTAACATTCGTATCGCCCGGCAACGAATCAAGGAAGAATAATTACAGTAATTCTGACAAAGAAAAGGTTTTTCGGATCCTGTTGTTTTATCACTAGACTTCCCATGGCTATAGCTATAGCTATGAGTTCTTTTTCTCGTAAATATCCAAACTAGTTATTTATAACCTTCCTCGCTGCACAGACGAAGTTCACGGCAACTAAATACAATAAAATAATCTGGGTGGCTCGTTGACGGAGTTGAAGAGTAGAAGTGGATTTCTCACTTACCTGCCATTCTCAGTCTCTTTCTATGACCAGGTACCATCACCTCCAGTTCGTCCATCAAATCGTCGCACATTACACATTTCTTTAGTTCATTCACTGTTGTTATTTTATGTTTTCTGAAATATCTCTCGTACTCTTCTAGTTTGTAGTATGTCAGCCATGTGGATATATCAATCTGCGCAACTAAATAATCACGTAATCACTATTGATCGCCAAGCACAATGATATGTGATTAGTGATTACTAAAATTAGCTGAAAAGAAATTTCTACTATCGTGTCGTCGCCTGAGGATTCCCCTGGCCCTACTTTGAAAATGTAAATGGAATTGACCGCTTTATAGAGTTGAACAGTCACGTACAAAAACAGAAAATATTCAGGAACGGTTTGTTTTTATAATTTTATCCGTTTATACTTTATTCCAAAGTAAACAAAGGAAACGTAAAATTGGTTCTCATGGACTTACGAATTGTGTGATAAAAGCAAGAAGCTTTTCCTATTTGGATCGCCTATATATTCAAGATACTGAGGAATAAGTCTATAAGACGCAGGAAAATGCAATCGCCGCGTTTCTTCTTTAGGGGCAAGGGGCATACAAATTGATAGTATGAAATATTTACAGTATACTAACCCGCGTTTAAGATGGTAGATCTCTCTGCATGGTCCATTATATGTACGGCATCTAAATCTTCACTGGTAAGTAAAAAAATATCTTGTTCATCAAAATATCCTTGACCAATTAAGAGGGAAGCGTAATTTTCGAGATTAATATCCTTCAAAAATGAGTGAACGCTTGCCATGATTGAGACAATCTAAGACCAATAAAAGACAACTAATGTCTCTGAATATAGAAACATTACACGCGAAATGGTGCTCCGTGATTGGTTGAAAAAGGCGTCTAGGGTATTTCCCTGACTCAAATACTCGGGCAAGTCCCGACAAGTCCGAACAAAAATCTGATCACATGTCATGCCGCGCAACAGTCAAAGGTATGGGACGAGTTACATGGTCAATCACTTCAATGGTCATTTTATAGTACTTTTTTATGACTTTTAGTAAAGTATGAAATTTATTCTCTCTTCAAAAATATATTTACGTAAAACTGGTATGTATTTAATCATTAAAAATACTCTTTAAATCCCACTGATCTGTTGGTAGGATGTTGTATGTATTCCTAGTTTTATATGATTTGTAATATTGTTCATTGGTTGATTAACTTGATTTGGTTCTAGCACATGACCCCTTGCCTTGGTATAGTCGTGCATTGTCAGCTTGCTTATTTCACATGAACCTAGACTTCAACAACAATCTCTTCCCATAACTTAAATGGCTCTGTGAATGAGATTAGATTTTTGGAGCCTGCAACTTGCAATGCAATTAGAGTTTTGAGGAATCTTAATTTGCAAAGAGTGTTCTCGTTAGCAGATCATAACTACATAAGAAATGTTTGTGTTTGTCGACTTTAGATGGCTCAGGAGTAGAATTGCATTGCAAGTTGTAAAAGGAAAATTGCGAGCCTGGTTCTTAGGTTGAATTCCAACTTTGTAAATATTTCACAAATTTAATTTACTGTGAAGACTGAGCTATCCTGTATTCCATGACCTTGACTTGTGTTTCCAGTGTAAAATAAAAACTAATATATAACTGGAACAGCAGTCTTTAATTCAATGTCTCTAATTTATTGTAGGATTTATCTCAGAGTTGAATGGACTGGCTTCTGAACAAGTGGATATATATACTTGCTAGTTAATGGATTGACAAGAAGCCCTGGCAGATAGTCAAATATCTTGCAATACCCTGGTAAGTGTACTACAGTTAATGGTATGCAAGTAAATGTCATCTCACAAGTCTAGTGCTGGTACTTAGCAATAACCCTGAAGCAAAATTATGCATCAGTTTCAGAGCAGCTTAACTTGGAAACAGACAAATCCTTTAAGGGTATCATAAGCTTAACTTTTTTGTCCTCAAAGATTGACTGTTAACTATCCAATTGAATGGGTTAGAAGTGATTGTTTTTTCTCCACTGGGGGTTAGAATAGCAAATTAAAGTATCACTTCGTAAGTAGTATCTTACCATGTACTTGCAAAGATTAATGGATAATTGCAAATTGCCTAGAGTTAAACCTGTCCTACCCAACCTATGAAATAGATTATTCATTTGCCGAAAATAAAGCATTGTTTTAACTTAGGTGTAAAGGTATTATGCTATTGTCATGGGAAAACTACTAATTTACAACTAAAAATATTGAAATTAGAAACGCAAGGACTATGTTGGTTTTTTAGTATTCTGGGGTATATGCAATGTTTTTTTTGTGGTTTTTCTGAACATGGGACTTTGACCACAAAGACTTCGTACTACATCTGTTATAATCATCATTAATTATCATTAAAAGTGTCAAAAGATTGTTCATGATGGTGCATATAATCAATTTATTTCCTTCTGCTTAACCTGTTTCAACATAAACATTCATTACTTTGCCAATTTTTCAAGTGTTAATGCGTTCAATGTTGACAGAAATTGGACAGAAATATTCGAACACAAAAGGTGACTATGTCCCAAAGGGTGTCCCTTTAAGTTAGCTTTCTGTCTTGTGCAGTGTAGACAGTTTGGTGTCAGCCAAAGGGCAAGATTCTATCTTGTAATGCAACTAACCATAATATAGCTAAATTATATGGAAATTCCTTTGATGAATTATTAGAACTAAACAATCCCGTGCAATGACAATGGGTTTTTTCATATTCCTGTTGGTGCATACGATATTGGCTTGTTACTATCCCTGATATGTTTTTGAATATCAACTATAGTCTGCTGTACTTGTAAACTATCAACACTGATTTTATAAATCTGGACGTTTGCCATGATTTATGGTCTAATTGAGACAATATTGATTACTTTACCCAACCATGCAACGTTTTTAACCTTAGGGTTTTTGTTATTAAATTACGTCGTTGAAATGATGTTTCTTTTCCTGTTATTTCTATGGACAATACATCTTATCATTTCACGGCACGCTTCCTGATCTCATTATACCGACATTTTTCAAAGACAACTTTTGGTGAAATGTAACAATAGAATTTTACTCCTATTGAATTTTAAGACGTCCAATCGCGACACTGCGAATTTTCAATTATATTTCTTTCTTCAGTCAAGCCTTAACAATACAAGTACGCGCTACTTTTGTACAAGACACCAGTACAAGTGGTCTTATTGCAAAATAATCTTTGTAGTTTAGTACGACAAATAAGGAAATACTTGTTGATAAGCCGGACGCTGGGGAAAAGCAAACCTCAAAATAATAGTTTGGTTAGCTCTAGAGTTAAACCTTAACAATGAAGCTGAGAAATCAGGGATTTTGTTTGTTTATTTTATTTGTACTTGATCCGGTTGTTCTGTTTGTTTGTTTTCTAGCTTGCGTTCCAAAACTCTTGAAAATCCGTTGGATTATTCTTCTTTGCGCTTTAAATTGTAAAGTATCATCCTGTGATCTGATCTTTGCGCTTTAAATTGTAGAATTATCATCCTGTAATTAGGCGAATTTCATTTCATGCTTAGGCGAATATTTTTGTCTTAACTTCGTATCGTAGGGTTTTGTTAATTTCGACTAAAAATCAACTTCTTCTAAAATCGAAATTCATTAGACTGCTGCTTTCTAATCTATTTCAACAATTAGATCTTGCACACACTTCTGTCTGTGTTCATTGACAACGCCCTAATATTAAGTGCTTTGTGTCGATCCAAATTTAAAGCAACGTCTTTCTTGGTGTTCCAAGTTATACTAGTAGGATTTCAGATGTAGCGGATTTGTGATAGTAACAAATCCTGATAGCGGATTGAAGATTGTTACATGATTAAAAGAGGAAACGAATAATTTTACATAATTTATCCTATCTATTTAATTGAAAACCAAATTATGTATATATATATATATATTGAAAACCATACAAATTTTGCATGTCGTCGAACGACCTGTTATAGTGTTTGGTTTCACACTACGTAAGTAGCTCAAAGGATTATGTACATTGATTATATATTCAACTGTAAAAACTGATCTTATCTAGCATGCTGGGTTTTAAATAAATATAGATGATGTTGGGAATAACCCCATGCACGGCTAATGCCGCCAACAGTTTTTCCTAAAACTGTATTGTGATAACCGAAGTAGTCCTCTTTAGAAATTGTTGGAATTGTATTTGTGGAAATGGTATGTTCCATTTTACTGCATTTTACAATTTCATTGTAGCTACTATTTCACTAAACTACAACTGTTCTGGTTTAGAGAGCGACGGTTGAACAAGAGGCAGGTTAATTGATATCAGCGACGATTTGCGACATTTGGAGAAGACGGTCCTAAGGAGAAGAACCAGGATGGCATGTGTCCATAGTAAGTATTAAACATAGTAGGACATGATGCTGTAGTGACATGAAGTATCCCATTTGATTGTTGATGTGGGGGATGATTTAGGTACATAGCAGGTGGTCCGAGGTCAATATTACGACAGACACTACCTAGAGAGAAAAACAAACAGAACACACCCTTCAATCAATTAATTTGAACCCACAATGGTCTATATTTGAAAGTTAATCTTTTTGACAGATGTGGAACATCAATAGCCTAGCATTAACCAATTAATATTTGCTATCATAATCAAGCATTCTAATACCTTTCAGCTCAAAATCTTTTAAGACACGGGCCGGTATCGTTTGCTTGTAAACTATCAATGTGACATTTGCATAATTTGCGCGTATTTACGATTCCCAGTATTTGAAATGTTTTTAGTCTAGTTACAATACTTTATATAAAGACACGAATATTTCTTTGTCAATATTTCCGTTCTGGTTCAGGAAATCACACTGCTCAATGTTTTGAGGTACTTGTGTTAATATGCTTATCTCTTAAGTTGAAAACTGTTATCCTATCATAAATAATCTACTCGATTACAGATTAGCCACAGAACCGCGTGTAGGCAAGACGGGAGATTACTAAGGGACCACATATGTAGACTTTATATTATAAGCTGTTGCATGTTTAGGAGAAAAGAATATGCAGAATATTGTCAATTTTGGCTTTCTTGTGCACGGTTATTAAGATGAGTATAAATTGCGTGCGATAACTAGTGAAGACCATTGTGTTAATACTTGGCTAGGTCTTAATGATTTGGTCTGACCTTTTGTATACTCTCATTGTGGAGTCAAACACAAACAGCTGGCACAACTTGATAAAATTCACTCATCAACATAACGCTATTGACGTGTTTGCCAGATAACTCACAAAGTTCACTCGTTTACCTCACACAATGTAATCAACTTTCAGCTGTTTTGTAGCCATACGGGATACGTGAGCCCTAAATCCCGTTGACGGCACAAATTAGAAAGCTCTCTTTAAGGCAAAATAACAATGAGTCGTATTTAATAAGTATTCTTACACCATTTGCTGCTGTGATTGTGCCATATTTTCAGGGTAATTATCACAGATGTCCTCTAATCATCAACATATGATGCTCTTTTCAACATGAACACCACATTAAATTGGGCGAACAAAGTGAATTTTTTGCTTAGAAGTAAATTTTGTACAGTCCAAAAAATGGAATGAAAAATATTGCGATTAAAAATATTTTCTTGATAAAGTTGAGGTATAACAAATATTTCAATTCGGAAGGAAGGCCTTTATCAAAGCGGAAGCATCATGTTAAGATTTATTCTAAACATATCAGACTGTCAGTGAATATTCTTCATATATGCAGCCAAGAATAACATAATAAAATAATAACTACATCTGCAGCTCTTCAACGCTTATATCTTTGCGTATTTATGAGAAACATTGCAACTTCAGCTCGATTGCTTGAATATCTTAAAAAATATTTCATGTGACTTCATTGAATGGATTACAGATTTAAAGCGAGCGCTAAAGATATGAAACATATGCGTCCCTGACGGAAATAATATCCTAACAAGAAAACATGCATGACCAGAATTTAGCACATAGTTGATAATTGTTCTTTTTAAATAGCCATGCACTTGTTTAGTTGGACAAATATTTGGTTAACAAGCCATAGAGCCGAAAATGAAGGCTACTTGATATTGTCATGCAGGACTTTGGTATACTTCTGCATGTGCCGTTTTGGGAAGAGAGTTCTTGCGCTGTGCTTGCTTGTGATTACGCGAAGGAAATTGATTATGAGAATATCATAAAATTTAATCCTTAAAAAGGTTATTTTTCACGGGAAGTGCAGCAATATAATGCTGACTTGTTTTACAAATTTTATCTCAATCTAATCCTGTTAGCACTTTCGACTGTATCCTGAAAAGTTTTGTTTAATCTCATTAGACAATTGCCGCCTGTTCTTTTGTGCTATTTGATTGGAAAATCTAGTCAAAATGACTAGCGATATTTCTATTGCTTTTGAAATATGCTACTGTTTTCAGACTCTTTAACTTAAAAGCTTTAGAATCAGGTTTCCACTTACTAAATCACAGCCCAAGGCAATAATCACAACCTGAAGTATATATATTCTGAATGATTTATTACCCCACAAATCTTCTCCGAACAGATGTTTATAGTGTAATAATCACTGTTTGCTTGTGTGTGTTTTTCTGCACGAACCTGCGTGTATATATTCTGATAACTTACAAAAAGCAATAGCAATTCTGTTGTACTAGTTTTTCTCGCATTTAGTGACGAGAATATTGGGGAATTAAAATCAGACCTCATCAAAGACACACATATTTTGCGCACAATATGCGAATGTTTGCTACTTATTAGGAATTAACCGTAACGACAGAAGTAAAAGCTTAGACGTACTGTCAATGCTTATTGTATTTGTTGGTGAAAGGTTGATTTAGCTGAAGAAATTACGATAATCGGATATTCCAGCTACCTTCATTCATGAAAACGCTGACTCGCTGAGGATATTTAGTGCTTTCAAAAAGACTGATCTGGAGCTATGTACATGATTACGTTCCATACAAATTTTATATGCTAAAAGCTGGAGGATATTCACTGTTCGTTGATATACTTGATATATTGCACAGATGTCGATAAACTGACAAGCATATTTGATCTCACTGAGACGCGATGAAAGCTTGACTTAGATCAAAATAATTTGTTGAATTCATTTGCGCAACTTTATTATTTCAATTTTCGCCTATTTTTGGCGTATACGTGATGTGTTTGCACTTTTAAACAAAATGTTTGTTTTGGGCACAGTTTCCGCGCGACTGCTTTGCGCTGTGTCATTTGCGCTACCTTATTTTGGTCAGTGTAACCGCATTCGCGCGCGTGGGTGGGTTATTTTGCATAAATCGCGATAACGGCAAACTAGATTACGTTTCTTTATCAAGTATTCTCCCAGGCGTATTGAAGTTAAACAACGTGAATATTAAATCAAATCACAGGTGTACGTTTTCCCTTGAAACACATAGGGTTTATCAATGTTTATACACACTAGGTCACACATCGGAACTTTGTAAACAATTTAGAGGGTATCTTCCTCACACAAACGCGAGGTAAATCGCAAGATAAGACATTGATTAGTTTTAAGTAAACATAATTTACATATTATTTATCAAACACGATTAAATGGACAGGAATCTGGCGTATGGAGCACACAAAGAAGTGCTCGAATCTCCTACGAAAATTAATATCAGCTAGGGTCTGTTTGGTTTTGCAAAGGTCATATTCAGTGTATCTTGCCATATTGCGCGTCCAATCACCGTTTCATAAATATTATTACAGGTCTATGGTAAGGAATAATTGATCTGGCTTACCGTGTATAGACTGTCGCCTGGGTTGTTTTTCTTCAAGAATACTTGAAATTGAAAATGAACTGTTGAATGTTGCAGACGAGCTTTGAGGTTGTGAAGAGGTTTCTGTTGTCGAGTTTAGATCATGTCCTAAATTATTATAGTCCGAGCTAAGTTCTTTAATGTCATAATCTTGTTTTGTTGTTAAATCCACATCGCTTGCGTCATCTTCTAAGACGAATCCTTCTTGTTTAATTGTCTTTCCTTTGGGTCTTCTTCTGCGGCGACGTCTGAAGCTTCCGTCCTCTTGTAAATAATCATTCAATGAACTTATAGTCCAGTAATTATCTTTTCCCCATGGTCGACTTGGATCTTTCAGAATCTTTGTAAAACATTTATTGTAGGATAGATTGTGTCTCACTGAGTTCCTCCATCCTTTGTAAGGTCCTTGAAAGAAAGAGTAGTGTTTAATGAGATAGTCGTTAATTTCGGACAACGTGAGACGTCTCTCTGGTGATTTCAATATCGCTGTAGCAATCAAAGCAATATAAGAATGAGGTGGTTTTTCGTTTGTTGATTTTGCCAACTTTCGTTTCACACTAGCGGACATTTTTTGTTTTGATATCTTGATTTGTCTCAAAACAACTCGCGCCCTGGGTAGTTCTGGTAACAGATCTAGAGCTGTGCTTCACTTGTGACAGTATGTGAAAGATTGAACAACCACCCACATTGAACACTTTTGAATGCTGCGTATTAAGTCGTGATCACATCAATTGTACAATTAAATCTTGATAAATGAAATTAATTGGCCCGTTCAGTGCGATACTCAGACCTCAGGGGGTTTGATAACACACAATATGGCGAGGCACGCCTATCTACGGAAAGTCTGTAATGATATTAGGAATTAGCGCGGATGAAAGTGTCCATTAAGATAAGGGTTTAATGGAAACTATTTTAAACACTGATGTATGCAGTACCTTTGATTGCAAGACTATTATAAAATACAAGACAGATAATGCCATACCTAATCCATTATTTTGTGTATCCGCACCGTAACAATAATTATCCAATTACTTGAGATAAGCATGACAGATTTTACACGCTCTTAAACAAGGAAGTTTTAGTAGATGCGAAGGATTACACTTGCAACAATGAGTTTTGTCTCTCTCAGTTCATATTCATGACCGTTGAGTTCGTTCTTCCCAGTGCATTCATATCACGTATGTCCTATTAATGTTGTTTAAAATCAATTAACATGGACCAAATGCAAATTGATGTCAAATAAACACATTCAAACCTTTTAAGAAAACATTCTATGAAAATATTTAGTATACTGTTATCATGAGGCCCAGGCAATATTTCAGAAGCACCCACATAGTATATATATGATATATAATATATGCTTCATCGGAATGTTTGCGGTGGATGTTATCATTCTTACTGCTTTAAATTATTTTATGATCTATGAAAGTTGTATATATGTATATATAAATCTGCACTGAGTCTAAGGTGTGCACTGAACAGTATATGACCTTTAGTATATAAATTATTACCCCAAACTCATGGAAACCACATGAAAATAGTCTAAATACTCTTGCAATGCAAAAAATGGTTCATGTTGTGTTAATATCGAGTTGATGTTGATTTTATGGCGTAAGTACGCGACATCTTACTGTGCACAGACCGACCGGAAAATGCATTTAAATTTAGGTCTCCGTTTAAAACATTTGCATTAATAGCGTCGCCATTGCAGCGCGGGAATAAAAACAAGCTCATTTAGTGTTGAAACTTGACATGTCGCCCTTCCCAGGAACAAACTATTATTAACATAGCATGTAGGTTAAATTTCAATACGATTGTAGAAATATGAACCATTGGTCTATGGTTAAATAGATAGGAGATTACTTTGTGTGTCTTTTTGACACATTGAAATCATTTGTGTGAAATTTGAGTGAACACGCGCGCATCGACAAGGTGTAATCGTATTTAGCGGTTCTTCATTGTTGCTAGAATCTTTCAAGAAACCTTTTTTAATCGTTTAATGCACGACAGTTTAAAGAAGGTCTACCACTGTCATGAGATGATTAATGCATGAAAACCGATTATGAATCGTTTTTGGGTCAAAGTAATTCTAGGTTATCATAATAAAGGTTTAATCACTTGAGTACTCTTGAGTTTATTTCAAGTTCACGTCATATCAAGAACTTTCAGGTTTTATTTAATGCTCTTGTTTTGATTGTTGAATAACATTCAATCAGGGAATATCAACTCTCTCTAGGTGAACTAAACAGAGGATTATAGAAGTAGGGTTTATTTTTCTTTCAATTGTTCAGTAGGTTGTAAGTTAAGGATTGACTCCTGTGGTAATAGTCTATCACGGCATCTCGTGCTGCGATTTTCACGTCATTGAAATTTCACTGATTTCGATTAAAACAGTTTAAAAAATGCATGGCTAGATGAAATTACACAACGGATCAATTATGTATTGGAGCACAAATGAATAAGATTTGTCTCCGTTTTACCTAACTCTATACCAATAATATGTATATGGCGGCTATATGACGTTGCCAACTTTGTTTCGAATGGCATGCTTTGCTTTACCTTTGAAGGATTTAAAAGAGACACAAAACAATTGAAATGGAAAATAAATGTTGATATAAAATAAATAGCAATCAGTGAATTTTTAGACAACACAAACTAACCCGCGGAATAATAAATTGTTTTAGAATATACATGCAGTTCATAAGAAAGTTTGCGTGGAATGACGCCCGGTTGACCGGCGTCTATCAAGTCTCAAGACGTTTGTCTTGTGCGGTTACCAAGAATAATAACTAATGCTATTGATTTTAATTAATTTCACTCGTTGCATAAACTGTATAACGAATATTTGTAATGCAAGACAGTATACGTAAGAGAGGCGAAAGTGCATTCTCATATCCGTCGGGCATTTTTTGACAAACACGTCACTCATTCCAATGATCCATTTTTTTTCTGCAAAGGATTAAAATCATTGTTTCACCCGTTTGGCTTATAAATTAGACAAGTCTCTGTTTGAAAACCATTTGCATTGCATGTTGTCTTTCTTCGTGATAAAGATGATTGATTTATACATTTCATTTTTGAAGAAATAATAAACTTTTCTCGTTAGTTCGCATTTAATTATTCAGATGAAAGATACTTTTACTGCCTTAGGAATAATCATTCCACTTGATTTTGTCTGTGCATGCAGTATGTCCTAAAGGTGCTTTTCATGCATGAGGCCCATTCTTCATCTCTATATATGAGTAAGGAAGCCAGCAACCAACCAGAGCATTCTTTGGCTGGGTTATTTCCACTGCCCACGTCCGTTCCTGAGGTACACATTATCATGATTATAGGAAAAAACAAATTTATCCGATAATCTATTTTATTAAAATAGACATTACTCTTCAACGTTGTTTTAACATATCCTCGTCTAAATTATCAAGAAAATATTATCAGCATTTGAATAACATGCAGCAGCGTTCTCCCAATGTCAAGTTTGCTGAATTGTGTCGCCCCATTATATCACGCGAAATAATTTTATGAAAAATTCATCATAAAATGAATTTGTTCATTCATTCTAATGACCACCAGTAGCAGTTTCTGAGGTCATCGGTTTTGCCAAGCCTCACGCTTACAAACTACTACTACTAAAGTTGATAACTGCGGCAGACATTTTGGCAAAATGACAGTTTTTTGATACCCCACACAGTTCTTTAAAAGCTCATAAACATTACATCTCTTTAGCGACAAGTAAAACCCAGTATTGAATAATTTATATTTCCTCCTCAATCATAAGACGTTTTATCTTGAATTATTTCATGACGCGGGAGTGAAATTGCAGAATTATGATTTACATATTTAGCTATATTTAATCACTATATTCGTTTTCCAATGTTCGTGACTATTAAATTAACTGCCTACAGGATCTGTGCCAAATAAATAAATGAATTTCAGCGGCGGCAATGTGCGGTGAACAATGAATACACGTCATGACCCACCCTGTTGTCGTTTTAGCACGCCATTTATGTTAATAAGTTTAAGCACAGTGGTCTAAGCCTCATCATACAGCAATATATAATATTGTGCAAAACTTACAGCACTACACACCACTGTACAACTATAAAATGCAGTACTATGGTAACAAACACAATATAGCACTACTACACTGCACTATAAAATACTATAGAATACTGTACAGGATTATACTTTGCTATAGGCACTATACACTGCCATATCTCACTGTACATTGCTAATACATCATACAACACTATACAATATTGTACAGTTTACCATACTGCTAGTAATGTATGTAATAATGTATGCCACAGTGTCCTAATGTATAGAGCTGTATTAGTACTAATTATAACCAGTGTGCCAGCCTGCTGAGGATTTTGTCTCGCTATGTAAATTTTGAATCATTATAATTATTCATGTCTTTAGAAATCTATTGTTTTCACAGTCAGTGAACATTAAAATATTAGCATAGCTGGACAAATCGACAGGCTGGCTACGCTACTGGTACTAACTGTACTTTGAAGGAGTGCTGTAGTACTGTATCAAATTAATTGCATTGTATATACAGTACTGTACAGTGTGTACAGTATGGTAGTGTTTGATAGCCTTAGTACTGTCATGTATAGTACTGTAATCTGTACAATGTAAAACATCTAGGAGTGCTTGACTAGATGCAGGCTAGATGCTAGGGCAAGCAAAATGCCGTATAAAAATGCATTTCGTAATGAGGAAGGTTTTCATCGCTCGAAGCTTAAGTTCAAAATATATATAGATGAAATATTATCTTCATCAATGTCATGGTAAAAATTTATATAAATGCATTGTATTAGTGGACTTAGCACCCACCACACTGAAATAAACCTGCCAGCTGCTGTGAACTTTAAATAGATTATGACATAATGATTTTATATTTATAATGTAAGCAATTGACATTGTTACATTGCAGTAAATGTTGCTTAGTCTTTTTTGCTGTTTTCTAATTAATTGCTGCCTTGTCAAACTCTCTTAAAAAATTCTCTGGGTTTTCCTCTTGTATTTTCTCTTTAAGTTCTTTATCAGAGAAATATCCTAAAAGTAGAAATATTGTATGAAAGTTACTTTTAAACAAGGCCTCTTAATTTGACATGGAGGACACAGTTAAGGCATTACTTCTTACATTGCCTCCTTTACATCTGATTGCCATTAAGGGTTACGGTTAGGTTAGGCCCACACTAGAGATCCGGCCAACTAGGTACAAGTAGCAATATAATATGTATATTAATACCTGCTGCAAATTCACGTACATTTTCAGGTCGTTTTTTCAAGACTTCCCTAGCAAAACAAATAATAATTATTACCTTCATAATTATGTCTCATTATTCATTAAAATATATCAGTTGCACTATGTGGCAGTCATAGGCGTATGGAACAGGGGGCCAATAGAAATCTGTCAGGTAGAACTAAATATATGAATAATCACCCCCAATTATTGTTCTAGTTCCACCCCTGGGCAGTTGACCATATTAACAATGTTTTTGTCTTTCCTAAAAAGATATTTCACATCATATTTCAAGAATGATTAGGGCAAATCTTTAATCTTACCATCAGATGTGAAGGTAATATGCCTATGTCCTCAATATTTGTCCGTTTTCCTTAGCACAAAACCCTTTTTAAGTCAAAACATGCCCCAAGATTAACAATCAATCAACTTACTTTATGAAAGCTTGTGTAACATGTGAAATTTCAGCATGACTTCGTAAATATTTCTCATTTGCAAGCCTCGTTTCTATCTATTATAACACAATTAATACGGATGTTTTTCACCTGTAATTTAACCTTACGTAAGAGACGTCTAGTTTTCTGAATGGAACTACCTTAAAATGATTCAGTTTGGTTTGTTGCTCCACTGTAAGTGCCCCATCGTCGTTTTCCCCAAGACCAGAAATGTTTAATTGCGTCGCCATTGTTACTGTTAATTTTATTTTATGAGATCAGTTGGTTGAATACTTCATGTAGTAATACATAGCTACTAAAAAGCTACATACAGAAAGGAAGAAAATATGACTCATATTCCTGCAGTAATACTTCTCTTTTTGTTTTGGTCTTTGCTCTATCTTGGAGATTCTCTATTAAAAGTAATGTTGATTTTCACTATTAACGATATAGTAAACAGATAGTGAAAATTACCTCAACAAGTGGGGACGTTTATCATAGATTAATCTATATAATCATATAAATACATTCAAATTCTCCTGTAAATTAATGCTCAGCAATAAAGGTTGGCCTATTATGTCTTTACAATTTCTAATTTTTCAGAAATTTCGTAGACTATCACGAGCATACAGAGAGCTACTGGATCAAAATGGGTTATCTTTCAGTTTTGGTCATGTTAGATGGTACACAACAAAGTTTAACCGTTGCTTTTTCCGATGGGGCAAATACCATCCTACTTTGGCACGAGTTTGGTTTTCAGTTGGTGCATATTTTGGAGTGTCTATGATGGCGATTTCTGTGGTAATATTGTCGTGGACACTGGCTAAAGCTTTCAGAAATAGTTCTCCTGAACAATTTCTCACACCTGTGGTAGGTTAATAAAACTACGTTCAAAGTTGCAATTAGTGTGCATCTATTTTTTCAATTTAATATATCAGACCTTGTGTAATTGCATTACGAAAGCCCTGGTTTAGTTAATAGACCCTTTCGATAATTATGCACAACATTGTTTTGATTTTAGAACCACCTTATCTGAGATGGATTTCAAGTTTTACTCTCACAAGCTATGTGCAAAGATGCAAAACATCCTTCTTCAACACATGCATGAAAAATAAATTTTCATTTTGACAAACTAGTGTGAAGTAACACGAGAACGAGGCTTGCAGTTTTTGCCTGGTAGCCTTGTTTTAGTGTTACAACTTATTTCCACATTTACTGGTCAAAATTAAAAATTCTTTTTCATGCATGCTTTGAAGAAGGATATTTTGCATCTTTCCGCATAGCTTGTGAGAGTAAAACTTGAAAACCATCTCATTTAAGGTGGTTCTAAATTTATAAGATAATGTTGTGACGTAATTATCGAAAGGGTTTATTAAGAGCCTTTGGCTGCTATTTTTCATCACTATTTTATTATCTAAGGGTTCTGATAATCTAACTATCAATGCAGCATCAATTAAGTTAATTAAAGTACCCATACCATGGTTGCGGATTTTGAATGTATCAAAAGTTTAAGGTATTTTTAAAAACTTTGCAATACATTTTGTTATTGAAAATTTTATCTTGATGGTTTTATTGGCCTACCGGACATGACATCAAGTTGGGAATTGCAAACAGTTTTCTTTTGACTAAGTTGCACGAAAATCCGATTTGACATCATGTCCAGTAATTTCAAAGGCTGATAAATCCATCAAGACAAAATGTTTCAATAACAAAAGGTATTGCAAAGTTTTTTAAAATACCTTAAACTTTTAAAATATTCAAAACCTCTACCATGGTATAGGTACTTTAAGCAGACAATTAGAAATAAGTTAGACTGTAATATGGCAACTATGAGATTGACAACTGATCAATATCTCTATGTAAATTTAGATGCCTGGAGTCAATCTACCTTGGAGTCATATTGTATATTACTTGGTTACATTAACACTTGCTGGAATTGTTCATGAAGTTGGCCATGCATTGGCAGCAGTTAGGTATGTATTCCTAATTCCCATACGAATGGGCCAGTAGGTAGTGAGCATAAACTCATTCTAGTATCTTCTCCTTCTTCCATGATGTTCTTTTAAGTCAATACAATGTCAGTTCTGTCAATTAATAACAATAGAATAGCAAAACTACATATTATTTTGCACAGCTTGAGAGAGCAATGTAAAAATGTAGCATCAGTGCATTTCTTGTTAGTGTATCAATACATCATTAATTTCTTGCCGATTGTGAAATATCAAAAAGACTTGTGGATAAGCTGGTAGTCACTTAATATGAAACAGTTGGAGGAAACACTGTGCAATCACATTCTTAATGGTTAGTCTTTAAAACCAGCATGTCTGGCATGTTTCCACAAATCTGGGATTTAATATTATTCTTTTAAAATTTATTGTTAGAGAGCAAGTACGGGTAAATGGATTTGGTATCTTTTTCATGGTGTTGTACCCAGGAGCATTTGTTGATCTTTATACAGAACATCTTGCGGTTATATCTGCTGTAAGACAACTCAGAATATATTGTGCTGGTGTCTGGCATAATTTTATACTGGTATTAATTGCTGTTGGTCTCTTGTGGCTTCTACCAAGTATATTGTCATTGGGTTATGTTTCTAACCAAGGAGCTGTTGTGTTGCAACTTATGAAGGTACTTTGAAATTACTTACTTTAAAAATGTGTTCACATAGCACATGTAATTTTGCAGGTGCATAATTAGATGTATATGGATAATGGATTAATAGAACAAGATGATCTTTACAAAACAAAAATTACCAATAAAGTTCTCCATACATATTGACCTTTAGAAAGAAGAACTGATAAAGTAGATTAGTTTTGAAGTTTGAGGTATCTTATAGGTTACTGCAGACTCATTTAGTACATAAGTAAAGATAGATTTTGTTTCTGATTATAAAAGATAATCCTTGGTAAGTCCTTTTTTCATGCTATATATGGTACATCTAACTTAGGGATCGGCAGTGGAGAACAGTCTCACAGTAGGTGATTACATAACCTCTGTTGATAAATGCAAAGTTACAAATGCAGAAGACTGGAAGTTGTGTTTGAAACGAACAATATATGAAGCACAACATGGCTTTTGCACTGATATGATGACAATGACTAGAAAGAACATATTTTTAGGTAAGAGTTTTACAGTATTTAGCAAAAAAGGTTCCTTCAGCCAATTTGCAATTACAAAACTTTGATAGATTGAAATATAAATTTTATAATTTATTGTGACACTTATGAATGTATTTTAGGAAAAGAGAGTAATGTACATTTAGATTGCTGTGGAAATCTAAAAGCATCACGACTTTGTTTTTCATACCACTCAAGCTTAGGACAAAAAGTACAGTTCATCCGTAATGTTTTGATGTAAATGATTACTTGATGGTTTCATTGTTTGGCTGGCCAGATTTTGGATCAGGCCATCAAAACACAGAAAACCACTAAGTAATTGTTTTATAAAATAACAATAATAAGGTAGTGTTCCAAGTTTAATTTCCATACGCAAATGAAATTTCCGTGTTTGGATGGCCTGATCCAAAGATCAGAATACATGTTACATACATGTTATTTATGATACAATTTACAGTTACAATTACAATTTAACAAAAAATTGCCTTTACCTTTACAAAATAATTTATTATTGTAGTGAACATTGAATCTTTTATGTTTTTTACCAAACAAACATTGCCTTCTTAGGGTTTATCTTGCTTACCAGCAAGAACTATGGTGTCTAACAAAATGTGTAATGACCCTAATGAATGTCCGGGCACAGGTATTTTAACTTAGATTTTACTGTTTTGTTCTTATTATATTCACTCTTTACTATATACTCTCTTTATAATTGTTTAGGTGAGAAAGTTTGCATCCATCCATCAATAGACAACTCCAGCCGCCTGATCAAAATCTCTCATTATAGAGGAGAAGATGTTCTCTATGTTGGTGATCCACATCTTCTGTATTTCTCAGGTATATAATTCAATTATTTACATATTTCCATATGCCCAAGTGATCTAAATTTGGATTTTCATATGATTCTTGAATGATGTAATCTTTTTTCAATTATCTTTTCAGTTTTTGTAGGAACATATTTACCAGTTTTTAAATTTTTACCACTTTCATTGCCAGTCATATTAGAAACACTTTTTATGTATCCTTTTTGTGACAGAGAACTAGAGTAATTCATTTTTAGATCTACAAAATGCAATGCAAATCCGACATCTTTTTATAGAGCATAGTCAATAGGTTGTATATCAAGTTAATTTTTTATTCTGTTGGACTTTCAGTTGTGGAACTTTCAGTCTGGTAGTACAGTTTTCTAGTGACCTTAACAAAACACCAGGTATATAATCTCTCTCTCTAGTGCTCTTGCACTTTTGAATGCTGCACCATGTTATTGGCTAGATGGACAATGGATATTATATGCTTTAGTAGATTACTCTTTAGGTAAATATTTGCCTGACGTGCAAGCAAGGAACACCATTTGTACTGTTATTTTGACAGCTGGGACCTTCTTCCTTGTTTCAAATATCCTATTAGCTTTATGGACATTAGGAAACATAACATAAAGATAGACCCTTTTTGTTTGATATGCATTTCTTTGCCTGTTGCTGAAGGACAGGGATTTAATTGGTGCCTTAAATGTCAAAGGATAACAAGGCTTCACTTTGAGGTGGAAATTGCTCATTGAAGGTCAAACTGCAAATCTTGTGCAACCAGACCGTTAGGAAAAAACATTTAGAGAGATTATTATTATTTAATGTAGTATATTTTATACATATGTTTATCGATAACTGAAACATATAGGTACAACCAAAGATTAATCCAAATCAAGTGACAAAGGTGATGTGGAAGTAATGTGGTATGTGTTGGGTAATTAAACTATATTTTAAAATCTCAACTGTTCAAGATATAAGTATTTTGTTATGTAATTGGATTATTCACATTGTGGTATGAAAAGGGTTTATACAACCCAGCATAAGTCTTATTGTTCATCTGTTTGATCAGTTGCTTTTTGTTCCTCAGTCATTTCTGGTTTAGTCTCAATTTGTTCAGCAGCACTTTCTACTTGTGCTTCTTGTACATCTTGAACATCTTGTACATCTTGTATAGTTGTTTCTTCTGCTGCTACTTTCGCATCCTCTTCCACATCCACAATATCTGTACTGTCACCTAGCAACACAACAATCAAAATTCTACTGTCCAGAGATCATGCATGCCAGAGAGTAAAATAAATTATTGCAAGAAAAATGCATACTAAATTGCTATTATGAATCCATCAATCAGATGTACCTTGCAAAATATTTGTTGCTGAAGTTACTTCTTCCTGGAGTTTGTCCTGAACTGCTGCAGTTACAGCTGCCTCTCTTTGGATAGCTTTAAACAGCTGTTGTTCCAAATGGTCATAAGAATTGATTCTTTGCTTCACAACATTTCTTATCAATGCTAAAAACAAAGGTTAGTGCAGGAATATCTTCTATCAATGTCTCATTTTGTTTTAATGAAAGATTACAGTTTATTGGTTTATCATATGTATGTAATAAATTCAATGTATTCTATACTTACAGTCAAGCATAAGGCAGGCAACTCCATAATGGTTCAAATTCTTATCAACTTGCTCTTCTAGCCATGGCATAAAATATGTCTCTACATCTAAAAACAAAAAGAGCAATACAGTTAAAGTAGTTAAAGGTCATGGATATGGTGATATAAAATAAGGAACCATTTTGACATACCTCTTTCAACAGGGTCATAGAAGTATCCATTTTCACTAAGAGAACCAAATACTGATGGTACCATATCTGCTAAATAACTCTGAAAATAGCAAGAAGGTGGGTACAGAAAAAAACGTAATGCATTTGTTGCATGTTATGCCTAATTAAAAGGATTCAATTGCAGATGACTACCTGTGCAAAAGCTCTAGCTGCAATTTTTTCAGCTGTTTCCTTCTCCTTTTTCAAAACATCAGTTTGTTGCTTCATTCTTCTCTCTTTCTCTTCCTGATGTCTTCTTTCCTGTTCTTCCAACCTTTGAGTCTCAACAAGCTCTGCATTTCTTAATTCCTCAAAGCGTCGTTGTTGTGCTCGAAGGTTGGAAAGTTCTTCTTCCTCCATGACTTCCAACAAGGCTTGTTCAATTGTTTTACCAACTAAAACCTCCAGGATTGGCTTTACTTCAATGTTAAAATCAAATAGCTAAAAAAAAAGCAGCACTATTTATTTAGTTTAATAACTTGATGCTGCAATAGCATATCCTAGCAATTCTGCATTTCAAAAGGATATAAATGAATTAACAGGAAAATATATGACAACATACCTCTCCTTCTAATATTTGTGTGGCAACATCGGTGCCAGTTTTTGCTGGAATATATAGAGGTGATGGTGGTCTATCAAGAAATTCATCAGTCTGTGTTTCAACATCCGCCTCTTCCACTCTGTCACTGAGTTCCTCAAGGTACAATTCAGTTTGAACATCAATATGTTTTCTTCCTTCAACTGGCTCTGGTGATTTTGGGATTAGTTGTTTTTTAGCTCTCTTTCTGGCAATTGCACGTCGTCTGGCTTCCTGCTGCCGCTGGACATCTATTGGGTCTGGTTGGGCACTCTGAAAGAATACGCATTCAGTCATTATATACATTTAATTATTTGAATGGCTTGATTTTCCCAAATCCAAAATAAGCAAATATGAATGCAAATGATCAGAAAATTTAAGTTAAACTTACAGCAGGCAAGGTATGTTGTGCATATGTATTCCCACGGATAATTCTTCTGTCATACATGATATTACCATATGGCAATGAACCTTCATTTCTAAAATAAGTCAATTAACAATGCCACACGTACCTTGCGTTTTTCGGCTAGGTGCATTGAAGTTAAAACTTGAGGTTTTACAAAATATGGGGGTGAAAATTGTTAAGCTAAATCAGGATTACAGGAATATAGTCATATCAATATATATAATCATATTATATTTAAGGCCGTTTCGCGGCATACGCGCATATGCTAAACCAAATATTAAATCTTTAAACCGTATATTAAATCAAAGTTCTTCAAATGAACTGTTCTTGTTCATATCTAAAGAACGCCCATTTTTCCAGCAATAAATCTTTGTTTGTGATACACAAAACATTTTTCGTGTGATGAAAACTTGTCCTGACTGAAAAGTTGTGTTTTAATAATATTATCAGAATTCTGTTTCTACCTTTCCAAACAACAAAACTTTTTTCAAGAACCTTTATCAATAGCTACCCTGTTAAGGAGATTTATACCAACTTGAAGTTCTAGTTTTAATAATTTTAATACGTCTTTGGCTTTGCAAACACTTACTCAAATGCATCGTGATCTCTGTATTTTTTCCTTTGCTTAACTGGTCGCGGTTGACTAGCGAATGTGTATGTTCTTGAACCGTCCCCGTTTTGAGAAATAACTTGGGTCATTTTGGTATTGTTTACTTCTGTATTGTCTTGAGAAAGATTTTACAAAATTTACAATATTGAAAAACTTTCTTCCTCGAAGACAAAACTTATTAGTGAGTGCGTTGCTACGCAACGAACTACGAGTTGTTTCCACTTCAATTTTTTAATTTTTATATTTTTATTAGTACTAGGGCCTAATATTTCAGATCCGCCTGAGCACCAATTATTGCGAGGTTTATCAAGAATTTGCCTAAATTTGTTCTGTTTTAGGTTGCAAACACTACCAAACAGTGAAATAAAGATATGAAACATTATCCCACTCAAAAATAGATTATAGTCCAGATGAAGAATCGAATTCACTGGTCCATAATAAATACAGGTCAGTGGTCTATTGCATTGTGGGCAATGTGGTGTGACCAAATTAGCCAATCACAAGCTGTAGTTTCGGTCATGTGACAGTTTTTGGCAGATTGAGTGATTGACAGTAAGACTCAGTTTTCAAGACCATGTGGACGATGCGGTGGCAAGGAAATTCGCTCTTCGTTGCAAGAAAAGAAAACCAGGGGCTAGTTGTTCAAAGCTAGGTTAGCGTTAACCCTGGGTTAATTTTAATCCAGTGTTTTAGTTTATGTGCTTCTGAACCACTATTCGTTTTGAAACTTTAGAAAATATGACTTCTATTGGTACAGGAAATATTTATGAAAAAAGATATTCAACTTTGTAAACAAGCGATTTAAAAAATCGATGTAAAGATTTGCTTTAACCCAGGGTTAAGCTAACCGGCTTTTGAACAACCGGCCCCTGGTGTGTATATCTCTGAATACTCTGCACAAAAAGAACGCAGATATTATTCAAACAATGTTTCAAATAATTAAATAGTTATTAAACACTTTTTTGTCTTTTACTGTTTCATTTTAGGCCGAAATCCGTCGACGAAAGCTAGATTCAATGGTCGTGAATTGTACAGTATGTGTTAAATAGTCTCTTATCTGTTAGTTATTGAAGTAAAACGTTTATCAGCCAAGCTAGAATGGTTCTGTCTTCGGTATTCGTATGAATAAGTGTCAATTATTAAGTGCAGAAAATTAAGTCCAATTTTCAGCGTATTTAAGGCGCTGCCGCGTTTAGAGCATATTGCTTTGATTTTTTAGGTTTCCTTTGTTGTAAGCAAAGCTAGAATAGCTTCAGCATAGTATTCGTAACGATTTCTACTAATTTGCAGAAGAATTAGGTCCAAATTTTCAGCGTTTCTAGCGAGTTTCCGTGCGGTTTGCAACGCCGGTGTTTTCAACTTTGTAGTCGCCGCCGCCGTTCAACTTTTAGATCATATTGTTTAGTTTTTAAAGCTTTCATATATTGTAAGCAAAGATAAAGTAGTTCTGTCTGAGGATTCGTATAAATTTGCAGAAGAATTACGTCCAAATTTTCAGCGTTTCTAGCGAGTTTCCATGCATGCATGTGCGTGTTTGCAACGCCGGTGTCTTTTTTAACTGTTGTAGTTGCCGCCGTTTAACTTTTAGTTTTAGAGCATATTGTTTAGTTTTTCAAGCTTTCTTAAAGTGTAAGCAAAGATAAAGTAGTTCTGCCTGAGTATTCGTACCAATTTGCAGAAGAATTAGGTCCAAATTTTCAGCGTTTCTAGCGAATTTATACTTGTGCATGTTTTTGCGACGCCGGTGCTGGTGTTCTTTTTTAATTAAACTGTTGTAGACTTGTAGTCGCCACCGTTTAACTTTTAGAGCATATTGTTTAGTTTTTCCAGCTTTCTTATATTGTAAGCAAAGATAAAGTTGTTCTGTCTGAGTATTCGTATAAATTCGTAGAAGAATTAGGTCGACATTTTCAGCGTTTTTAGCGAGTTTCCATGTGTGTTTGCAACGCCGGTGTTTTTCAACTTTGTGGTCGCCGCCGTTCAACTTTTAGGACATTTTGTTTAGTTTTTAAAGCTTTCTTATATTGTAAGCAAAGATAAATTAGTTCTGTCTGAGTATTCGTATAAATTTGCAGAAGAATTATAGGTCCAAATTTTCAGCGTTTCTAGCGAGTTTCCGTGCGTGTTTGCAACGCTGGTGTTTTTCAACTTTGTAGTCGCTGCCGTTCAACTTTTAGATCATATTGTTTAGTTTTTAAAGCTTTCATATATTGTAAGCAAAGATAAAGTAGTTCTGTCTGAGAATTCGTATAAATTTGCAGAAAAATTACGTCCAAATTTTCAGTGTTTCTAGCGAGTTTTCAATTTTCAATTTTCAATTTTTGGATTGCATGCAGCTCAGATCCCAACCCTTGGTTATATCTTGCATGTTTTGTCAGGAGTAATGAGTAAGTATAAGTGATCAGGGGCCCGGATCATTTATACCTTCTGTATGCTCGACTGACCTAGTCAGGCATAGGCAAAATATTGCTCTTGGAGCACACAAAAAAAGAGATGCATGTTGAGATATGGTCTTAAAAAGGGGGTATAATGGTCGAGTGTTAAATGTCTGTCCCATTTTTGAATGAATGCATGTGTTAAATCTTGCTAAATTTGCATGTAATTTCGAAAATGCATGAAAATTTTGTATTTGCATGTACAATGAGCATCCTGGTGAAGATGATGTTGGTGGAGCTCATGCAGGTAACATACCATAGGTGAGCTTGTTTCATATCATTTCAGATGTTAAGAAATGAATCATTTCAGATGATGATGGACCAGCCGACGATGACAGATGATGATGGACCACCCGATGACGATGACCAGCAGACGATGACAGATGACCAGCAGATGATGATGAGGCGCCAAAGACAGAAGATTATGGACTGAAGCTTGATGGGTGGTATTCAGTTTTCTTTGCATTCTATCCTATGCAGCTTGTTTTCCTGGTGGTCTGCACTGAATGTGTAATACATTAAGTGAAATTCCTATTTCCCATTTTGACATTGATGATAAATAAAAATTCCGGATTGCATGCAGAACAATTAAATTAATGTATACAGCATGTTTGATTCTTTGAAAATGCATGTTCCTGTTTTATCACTTAATGTGTAATGCAATTGGTGAAATTAATGCATGACATTACTGAAGTATCCAACGGTGCGGATAAAAATGATGAAGCATGAACTCAACTTGAAGAATGGAATTCTTACAAAGGTAACTGTGAACAAGAACCAGGTATGCATATGATTGTATTTGTTTGTTGGCACATAAGGCATTGGCATAAAAAATTTGCAACAAAATATTACAGTAATGCGCCACAAGATTGATTTCTGTAAGTGCATGTGCGAATGAAAATAGCCAAAATAATAGCATGAATTATAGGTGGTTGATGTATTTTAACAGGTATGATCCAAAATTAGCTGTGAAATATTCCAGTTATGCATGCCACAATTTAACATAAAGTACATTGTTCTAATTAGGGAAATTGACTTTCCAAGTGCATGTGACAGTAAAAATAATTCCCAGAATAATAGCATGATTATAGACGACCGTATTTAATTCTTACATGTATAAGATGAAAAATTAGGTGTAAAAATAATTTATGCATGAGAACAAATGCTGCACCCGATCAAGACGTCCTTGTATCTCAAGAACAAATCTTTTCAGTCAACTAATCCTTGATGGGAATGTTTTGGAGATCTCAATGCGATACAGAGAAGATGTTTTGGTGTTGAACAATGTCAGGAACAATGAAAACTTTAGCCATGCTGCATATAGACAGTATGTTCTATGGCAACATGGTAGATTAGGAAGAGGAAATAGGAGAGTAGTACCAACCTGTTGTGTGGTTGCTATTCGTAACCGTTATCCTTCACCTAATGGACAGTACAGGGGATATTTGCCTGCACGTGTTTAGATAATTTAGCACTTAAAGTATAAATGGTGCCCCCAAAAAGTAGACCAAAATAAACCACAATCTGATGTGATCCTCTTGATAAAAACCTTCTCAATCAGTTCAGGAATGTAACTAAATTCTTTTGGTACAAGAACACGAACACGGCACCACTGTTGTGTACGCTTACTGAACTTCCGACCGTACCTAATAAAAAAAACAACTTTACAATTCCATACAATACATACAGTACCATTACACTATAAGAATGCACAGGACCTGAAAAGTTGTTCACACTTAGGATGGGAACACTAAGGCAAAAATTTCAATACCAGTACCTTTCTTTCCCATCAGCTGTAGTTGCTGGTGCCGGGCCTCTGTGGTGGTTAAAGTCCAAGGCAGCAAGCTGGTTTCTAGCTTGGTATACTGAGTATCTGAAGATACAACAAACATCAACATTCTTTTATTAACAATGCTTCCTTGCATGGAAATCAACCATGATAGGAGTTTTATTAGCTGTTACCTTTGTAATAATATGTCATATACTTACGAATAGGCATGGCGCTTTGGAGCATACATCAAAATTACATTATGAAAGGACTCTAAAAATCCTGTGTGCCTAAAAAATATTTCAAACTTTGAGATGATATAACTTATCTGAAATTTTCAAATATCCAATCTCATTTGTTACCTGAAGTTAACATAATACACCAAAGTGTTTAAAAAGCGAGTGTCCAGAATGATCTTTGCCCGTGCTTTATGGGCAAAAGACTCTTTCTTAAGCCATGGCTTCTTTCTCTCACTTTCATTAAGAGGATCATGTTCACATTTTCCACCATTTACACCTTCCTCCAACACCCACTCATGCTCATCAACAACATGGTGTAAAATACCAATCCACTTATCCTATTAAAAAAATATAAAAAATACAACATAAAGTGACTACATATTAACACATGTATGTACAGTTTGCACGAACTAGATAAGTATTGCTGCAAAAACCAGTAGTACTTCAATGTGAATCTTACTTTGAGATTTTTTGAGTCATTAGCACATGTTTTTGAACAATACCAAAAATGGTTCCTTATTGATGGTGCCCACAAGGTCAAATCTGCATTGTCTTTAGATTTATCAGCCTAAAGAATAAAATCAATTCTAAATAAAGAAAGTTTTTTAACTAATTGCTGGTTGATATCTTCAACACTTACAGTAGTGATTTTCTTTGCAATGTTCTTTGCTCCATGCCACACATCATTCTGATGTGTGACCTCCTTATATTTCTCTTCCCTTTCTAAAAAATGCAATAATGCTAAATTAATAAACAAATGCATGTTGTAAATATTCCCTTGCTGTCTTTTAAAGGGTAAACACAATTAATTATATAACATTGTAATCAATCTGCAAATGAAGTTGTTAAATTATTGAAAGTCTGACAATATTGATTATAACAGGTTGAACTATTAGAGTTTCAGGAATTGCCATATTGTTATAATGTAGAAACTCATCAATGCAGCAATTTCAATATGACCATCAGTTACCACCTCCTTCATAACTATTGGTGATGCAAGCAGTGTGTCCATCCCTCTTTCAAACCCAATCCTCTCCATATTATTGCTCCTACCAGCAGCTTCTCTCACATCAACCACATTCATTTGCAGTATGGCATGATCATTGGTATCAGCCAAGCTGTAAGTACAATATTGTGCACTATGGCCAGGCGAGTCATTCCTTCCATCACCACTCAATATAACCTCTTTGTTCTCTCTTTCTTTCCAACATTTCTGTTTGTGTTCTTCCCAGTAGATTACAGAAGTTGAACATCAACCCCACCTTGGCGTAGGAATTGCCAGACAACAACAAAGCAGAAGCAAGCACGAGGTTGCCTGCTCTAATCTTGTTGCAAGAGGGTTGAGCTGCCCATCTGCCTCCAACATGACCACCCTTCCCCCCAGGATACGACCAGGCATGTTCCAACATATGTTTTCTTATAGTTCAACACACGGCCACATCCTTGTCGTTTACAAACACTCCCATGTAATGATGTTATCAAAGCTATAAGAGCTCATCTATATCATGTCCACGGATTGTCAAAACCCGGGGGGCATACACTACAGTAAAATGGCAGTAAGAGATATTATTGGACGAAATATTTTATGCCATATTCAGTGATATATAATGTGTATATTTATGTTTTAAATCAATAAGCATTACAGTAGGAATGTCACAAAGATTATTATTGAGGTTTTGCATCATCACTTACTCAAGAGAATCGTCCGACAAAACCTGGTCTGCCTGGATAGTGTGTTCACCAAAATTGTCATTATCATCATCACTTTCATCATCAGAACTATCATCTTTGGCTGTCAATGTTCGACTGTCAGAAATCAAACTCTGACCCGACCTGAGATATAAACACATATTGCGTATTTAAAAAGTAATACTCTCTGCGCAAAACTTTGCATGTATGGGTTTCAAATTATAAACTCAGTAATCACAATAAGTTTCAAATCACCTGATAGAATATGATGTTCTAACATCCGACAAAGCAGACAATGGACGCGGATTTGAGTGCGCGCTTGGCGTTGAGGTATTAACTATAAAATATTTCATACGAATGTTTTATGCGAATATTTTAAAAAATAATAAATGTTTACGTTTTTGGAGCAGCACTTTAAAACATATGTTCTTACTGGGAGAAGAAAAATATTTGGAAGGTACTTGGCGGCATATCCGTTGATTCCATTACCGTTTCGGTTTGCGTTTCTGCATTGCTAAAGTGAGTTCAACACATACATAAAAAGCATTATCAAGTAAACAAATAACACACAAAAAAGGCCGGAGGTTTTATCATTTTATACTTACCAAACTATACGATTCATCGCAAGATAGCTGTCAAGAAGCATATCCGCCACATCCTTGTCTGTTCTCAATTTATGCTGCTCCTTAAACGCTCTCCATCGAGGGAAAGAACCCAACAAATACACTTTAGAGGCATCTCTACTAGCATAATATTCTTTTCTACTCGACGACATGACTCAGTGCTCTTGAAAGATTGAGAATTTCTTTCCTAAATTGTCGGCTGGTCATGGTTTTTAGACTGAACAATCCCGGGGATTATCAACTTCAGGTGGAGTCCCCAGGCTGGCGCACGCGCAGAAGCCGTGTCTTTAAAACAGGCAAAAAAATAAGAAATTTCAACCGCTCTTCACCGCAATTTCGGCTCTCTTCACCGCAATTTCCACCGCTCTTCACCGCAATTTCCACCGCTCTTCACCGTAATTTCCACCGCTCTTCACCGCAATTTCCACGGCTCTTCACCGCAATTTCCACCGCTCTTCACCGCAATTTCCTTTCGCTTCTACGCATGTGCGAGCTTTGTTTATATTTTTCGTTTTGGTGTGAATCCATTTCATTTGCGCAACATGAAGTATTCAAAAAACTAAATTAAAATGGCGGACGCATCGAGAGTGAAGAGTGGAGCTTCATAAAACCATTCAACAATTGTCTTTTACAAGACAACCACATAAATATTTTGAAAAACAACTACTGGAAGATATCTCCTGTAAGTTTGTCGATTTTATCTAAGTTTGAGATACTGTGTATAATTATTTTTACAGTGATTGTTGGATAATTATTAAATTTGGATAAAAGATTATACTCAGATAATGATTTTGTTTATAAAATACCTTCGTACTCTGTTCTAATATTGCAGGATTCAGATTTATGAGCAAGATAATCATGCTTCCATGGTCAAAGTAGCTCTTCTGAGTGTGTTTCATCATCAACATCAATGCCATGTGGGTCAACATCACTGAATGAAACTGCTTCAATACGAAAGCTTACAAGTGAAGATATAGATAGGAGAGGATTTTGATGGCGAGTATGGTTATCGAATGATTGAACTTTCAAACCTAGCAAGTGCATTTCAGTCCTTGCATGATTGAGAATTAGGCGGAGAGTTGAAAGTTACCGATGATGAGTCTCGTAGATATGGAAATAGCACAGTCATTGTTGAGTCAGATATTGCAGAGATTGCTGTGAGTTATGATAGCACATGGTCTAAGCGCGAGGGTTCACTGCAAACTTTGGAATTGATTTTGTTATTTCGGTTGACACAGGTGAGGTTCTTGACTATAGTTTTGAATCCAAATTATCGAAGTTTGACATGTATGCATTATTGATAATTGGTGATAAAGTTGCCAACCTTAGTATAAATTAATAAATGCTAATCACTGAGTAGCATGTACGCGCACAGAACACGAATGTTGGGCTACCTATCGTATTACAAGATGTTTCACCATTCGTTCTCTCACTTCTCTGAGCAAGAAAAAAAAATCCTGAAAATTTAACCTTTTTCACCACAAAGAAAAACCACGCCTCGTGTTTTAATAAGTCACTGTTGCTATCTTTTTCTTGATTTACTCAACTATATGGATCGCTTCTGACACTTCACCCTCGCAAAATTTCGTACATGCTTTAATATTTGTGCATGGTGAGACTGAAGTGAAGACTTCTAAAAGTCGGACAATTAATTGATAATTGTCATGTAATTTCCTGGTATAACATCCCAACCTATACATTGTAGTTAAAATATAATAACAATATCAACCTCAAATTCAACTAATATTTTGTATGCAATCAAGCAAAATTTGGACATGCTGGTTGTTAATTTTACTGCAATTATTACACAATGATTACACTCCTTTATCATTACCCAATCCTGTCAGAATTGCTATCACATGTGAATGCAATATAATTTTTGTACACAATCATTATTCAATTATTGTTTTCAGCATAAATTATGCCTTAAGAGGCCTTCTCCAGACAATATTTATTGCAAGCTATATGATATTTGCTCCAATATTTGGCTATATTTGTGAAAGATACAATTGCAAGCTCACTATGATCTATTGCCTCGTTATCTGTTAACAACATTTCTTAGCACACTATACGGAAGGAAAATGGTAGGTTAATGAATAGTTTGGTATGTTCTTGGTTCAAAAGTATCTTCCGCATTTAGTGGTGGCAATAATTTTATAATAGAGAAAACACAGGGTATGTAAACATGTGAAATAAACATCTTATTACTTGATGTGTTTCAGGTAACTCCAATCTTGGGTGTGCTTCTTATCATCTTGGGCTTTTAATTATATCTGTTGTTTGAACCTGTCTAGGGGCAAATTGAAAAGAGTCAGGGTGATATTGTTGCAGACAAGGATGTTATCATTCGTCGTTCATGGTTGAATGATGTGAAACATATGTTACGCTGGTAGGTGATTTTTAACAACAGATGTTGCTTACTGCAGGATGAACTGTTTAGAACTGACAGAATTATCCAGTGTAAATATAGTTAGTTTGTGTAGGTTTCCTGCTGTAGTAACGCTCAATCAATAAGAGATGATCCAGTATGCTATTCCTTGTTATGCCATTGATCCTAGCTTCAAAATATATAGTTCTTTCTTCATTAAATTAAACATGTATATCTGAAATTAAACATATATTTAATATTTCCGTAAAGACATTTCTATCATATAAGTGTTAGCAATTGTTTTGTTTCTTTGTAGATACAGACAGAGCCACAGCATCGGCAGTCCTTATAAGGTGGGTTTGGTATGTAATATACAATTTCTTTTACCTAAAGCTATGAATCACCGACACGCCCACTGAATCTAATTATGACGTCACTTCCGGTCCGCGGGGCTTATTTCGCTACTTCCTTACGCTTTGACTTTTGACTCCCGGTTTTTCGATGGGCGTGGTCAGACACGATCACTTAATCTAATTATGACGTCACTTCCAGTGGGCGGGGCTTATTTCGCTACTTCCTTACGCTTTGAGTTTTGACCTCCGGTTTTCCGATGCGCGTGGTCAGACACGCCCACTTATTCTAATTATGACGTCACATCCGGTCCGCGGGCTTATTTCGCTACTTCCTTACGCTTTGACTTTTGACTTCCGGTTTTTAAATAGGCGTGGTCAGACACGCCCGCTTAATCTAATTATGACGTCACTTCCGGTCCGCGGGGCTTATTTCGCTACTTCCTTACGCTTTGACTTTTGACTCCCGGTTTTTCGATGGGCGTGGTCAGACACGATCACTTAATCTAATTATGACGTCACTTCCGGTGGGCGGGGCTTATTTCGCTACTTCCTTACGCTTTGAGTTTTGACCTCCGGTTTTCCGATGCGCGTGGTCAGACACGCCCACTTATTCTAATTATGACGTCACATCCGGTCCGCGGGCTTATTTCGCTACTTCCTTACGCTTTGACTTTTGACTTCCGGTTTTTAAATAGGCGTGGTCAGACACGCCCGCTTAATCTAATTATGACGTCACTTCCGGTCCGCGGGGCTTATTTCGCTACTTCCTTACGCTTTGACTTTTGACTTCCGGTTTTTCGATGGGCGTGGTCAGACACGATCACTTAATCTAATTATGACGTCACTTTCGGTGGGCGGGACTTATTTCGCTACTTCCTTACGCTTTGAGTTTTGACCTCCGGTTTTCCGATGGGCGTGGTCAGACACGCCCACTTAATCTAATTATGACGTCACATCCAGTCCGCGGGCTTATTTCGCTACTTCCTTACGCTTTGACTTTTGACTTCCGGTTTTTCGATGGGCGTGGTCAGAAACGCCCACTTAATCTAATTATGACGTCACTTCCGGTCAGCGGGGCTTATTTCGCTACTTCCTTACGCTTTGACTTTTGACTTTCGGTTTTTAAATAAGCGTGGTCAGACACGCCCACTTAATCTAATTATGGCGTCACTTCCGGTCAGCGGGGCTTATTTCGCTACTTCCTTACGCTTTGACTTTTGACTTTCGGTTTTTCGATAGGCGTGGTCAGACACGCTCACTTAATCTACTTATGACGTCACTTTCGGTCTGCGTGACTTATATCGCTACTTCCTTACGCTTTGACTTTTGACTTTCGGTTCTTCGATGGGCGTGGTCAGACACGCCTACTTAATCTAATTATGACGTCACTACCGGTAGGCGGGGCTTATTTCGCTACTTCCTTACGCTTTGACTTTTGACATCCGGTTTTTAAATGGGCGGGGTCAGACACGCGCACTTAATCTAATTATGACGTCACTTCTGGTCCGCAGGGCTTATTTCGCTACTTCCTTACGCTTTGACTTTTGACTTCCGGTTTTTCGATGGGCGTGGTCAGACACGCCCACTTAATCTAATTATGACGTCACTTTTGGTCTGCGAGGCTTATTTCTCTACTTCCTTACGCTTTGTTTTTTGACTTCCGGTTTTTAAATGTGCATGGTCACACACACCTATTTAATCTAATTATGATGTCACTTTCGGTCTGCAGGGCTTATTTCGCTACTTCCTTACGCTTTGACTTTTGACTTCCGGTTTTTCGATGGGCGTGGTCAGACACGCCCACTTAATCTAATTATGACGTCACTTTTGGTCCGCAGGGCTTATTTCTCTACTTCCTTACGCTTTGTTTTTTGACTTCCGGTTTTTAAATGTGCATGGTCACACACACCTATTTAATCTAAATATGACGTCACTTTCGGTCTGCAGGGCTTATTTCGCTACTTCCTTACGCATTGACTTTTGACTTCCGGTTTTTCGATAGGCGTGGTCAGACACGCCCACTTAATCTAATTATGACGTCACTTCCTGTGAGCGGGGCTTATTTTGCTACTTCCTTACGCTTTTACTTTCAACTTCCGATTTTTTGTGGGCGTGGTCAGACACGCTCACCTAATCGAATTATGATGTCACATCCGGTGGGCGGGGCTTATTTTGTTACTTCTTTACGCTTTGTCTTTCAACTTTCGATTTTTTGTAGGCGTGGTCGGACACGCATACTTAATATAATCATGAAGTCACTTCCGGTAGGCGGGACTTATTTCGCTACTTCCTTAAGCTTTGACTTTCAACATCTGATTTTTATATGGGCGTGGTCGGCAGTAAGGTCGCAGTCCTCAGAACGTGCATTCCAATTGGTTGACCTGTAGCCAATAAAAATCGTTCCCATGTAAACGTCATAGGCGCTCTCTGTATGAATTTATTATTATTATACACTCGCTCGCTGGGCTGGCTACATCAAATCATCGGTTATTTCCTAAAATAGTGTTTTTCGCTTCTACGTTCGCTCACTGGCTTCATCGGTTCTTTCTTATAAAAAGTTCTTTGAGGGACAACTTCGGGTTATATATTATTTATGGCGTCTTCCGGCCTATCTGATGTCGCAGCGGAAGAAGGGGGAGCAGATACGACAAAAGCCAAGGTGAAATATTAATTTTTCTGCTTGTATTAATATTCTGCTAGTAGTAAGTTTTATAATATTTCGAATTGTCTTTATTTTTTAATGTTATGAACTCAACTACATTAGAATTGACAGATATAGTTGGATGAACACAAAAATAACTTTATAAATACGACAATTCAGACGCTTTTCACGTGCCATTTATTTTGCGTTGATTTGCATCGGGCAGGAGTATTTTGTCAATGCCTATCTAATATATCAGGCCACACTCTGCCTGTTGGGACAAGGCATTGGTAGGTGCCTAAATGTGTATTTTTTTACAATTAGCTAACCTCAGGATGGTCTAAGTGTGGCAAGGGTTCCTGTCCAAATTGTGGTTTGCAATATAGTTGCCGTTACAAGCCACCAAGTTGTTCAGGATGCAATTTTGAGCTTGGAGGATCATATGTCCCTAAAAAAAAGCCTCGTCCATTGGTGCCTAAGTGTACCTTTGTGGTGCAGCCATCAGACGGGTTATCAATCTACTCGGTTAATACCAGTACCCATGATGATCGATGTATTGTGGTTCGTGAAGAGGCTTCATCTATGTGTCAGCATCACCTGTGTAAACAGAATAGAGCCATTCATATTAACAGCCAAAAAGTGGCAAGCTTTAGTTGTCAGCATTTAGAATCCACCAGAGATTGTACAACTCCTCTTCAGACATTCAATGGGATATCAGATGAGGTCATTTCCAGTTATCTCTGTGATGATGAAACAAAAAAAAACCCTGGCAGAAGTGGCAAATGCATCAAAGGCACAGTCATTTCCAGTTGTTGTGCATGTTTCTCCAACTATGTATTGCGTCTTTGGAATGGCAACCACAAACAAGACTGTTGGATATTGCCATGTCAAGGTAACTGAAAAGGAAATTAAATGCTGTTCCAAAGACTGCAAAGGTATGTTGAAGAGCAAGCAGCAAAAGTCCCGAAAAGTTTGCACCCACATCCATCTTTTATTGGCTCTTGGCATTTTTACACACAACGAATGTGTGTCAGCAGACCTTCCCCCCCCAATAGTGCCAGACAGTTCCTTGACAACAATTGACAGAAGGGGGAGCAAGTCTCGCAAGGCAACCATGGGACTTAAAATGAAGTTAAAGTTGCCATATGTCATTCCAAAACCCATTATTCAGGCAGCAGGTAAAATGGATTTTTCCGGGTGGCCAGAGCAGTTTGAACCAGACCAAACTTTGTGTGATTTGTGTAAAAGTCCTCTTGGTCAGTCCAAGCCACACCCAAATGAACGTGGGCGATCAATCATAATGACCAATGGATGTCCATTCAAAACAGTCAAAATGCTAGTCAAAGATTGCTCATGTTGCTTTGCTATGCACCAAGTGTTTCCCTACACATTAGGTAAGTATATACAGTTCAATATTTTTTTGTAGTATAGTAATTCTATGTTGACAGGTGAGTTTCTATTTCACAGTGTACATGTTGGCTCAGGGACAAAGGTTAATTTGATTCAATTTTATTGCCTTTTAGGTCTGTTTAATATTAGTGACAAGGTTCTGGTGGCACTTGAAATTCTATTAGACTTCCGAGAATTGTTCAAAAGAGGAGTGCCAATTTCTGTAGCCATAAAAAGTAAATTAGCTGTGATGGTCCTGAAAGTTGAGGTAATTTCAAGATGATTGTGTATGTACTATGCAATAGTATGCTGTACAACTGCCTAGAATCTGTCAGTGTCAGATTAGTCTTAGTATTTACAATAGGACTAGTCTAATAAAATTGGCAAATCGTCTGGTATGGGAATTTGTTAAGGCCCTGTTAAACGATGCAATTTTTCTTGAAACTTGCAACTCCACTCTTGACTGATGTAACATTGGCAAAGTGTGACTTCACGAATTAAAATCTCTCATGAGTAGCATTGCATTGCAAGTTGCAAAAAAAATTGCACTGTGTAACAGGACCTTTAGTCTTGCTCTAAATATTAACAAAGTATCCTGTGTATTTATTAAGGAATCGCCAACAGAAAATGAGTTGGAAAGTATTGCTACACATTTGTACAATGGGTTTTATTGCTTTGAGGCAATAACTGAACGCAATATGGATTCAGGTGTTTGTGGAATTTGTGGTACTGTTGGTGAAGTGTATTTTGGGGATAGGAATGAAAAAAATTGCTGCAGCATTAGCGAGGTAAAGCATTCATGGACCAGAATAGCCACATGAGAATTTTAGCAACATTTTGGTCTTTAGTAGTGTTCAATTATTAGAATGTCCTTGCTGGTCTTTAGCCTGTTCTCAGATCCCTCTGATTTGCCAGGGCTTCTTACACAAAATATTCGCATTTTCATTGTAGATTGATTACTCACCACTACAAGATATAGATTGTGAAGAAGATGATCCTATTTCCTTTGAGATTTTCTTGGAGAAATTAAAATACAATTTGGTGGAAAAGACAACCTACACACGATCGGAAAAGGCCACTATCTACTTTTCCACCATTCCACCAGTCATAGCCCCATCATTGAGAGGTACAAAATTGTTCAACACTGAAGGGGAAAAAAAGTGCTTTTCTCAAGCAATATGGCAAACCTAATAAAGGTTTGTAGCATTACTCATAGTACAATTTAGCCATTCAATTAAAATAATAAATGCAATATAATACAGCTTGTTTGTGACCATGAATGGTTATTTGGACCAGAATTGATTTTTTAAGTGAATTTAATTATGCATCTGTTGCACAGGTGATCCAGCTCTTTTGCATCATTGGATATCCACTCAAGTAGTTGACATGAACACAATTGAGCAATGCAGTGTCGAGAAGCTAAAAGAACTTTGTCATTTGTGTAATATAGCAATTTCAGGCAAATCAAAGGTATTTACTGTAATTTACGATTGTGACTTGGTATTAATTTACACGAAATAACTTGCATTTTATTTCTTCGCGTCAGGCAAGAATGCTCATTGATTTGCGGTCATTGTATGAAACCTTGCTGGTTGGTTCATGTCCTTGCCATGGCTTCACAAAAGTGCCAGGGCATACTGGTGGTTTCTACCACATTGTTTGTCGCCATGGCGTAAGTATAGAAATATTTCACCTGCAATGCAACTCTACTTTTGAGACATGTAAATTACAAAAGTACAACTTATATTTCGTATTGTTCTCTCAGCATATCGAACATCTTCACTGACACTAATTAACATCTCTCAAGAGCAGAATTGCATTGCAAGTTGCGAGAAAAGTTGCACCCTGTAACAGGGCATTTATCATCTTGTTTTCTTAGACAACCGTAGCCCTAGTCTTAGACGTATACAGTGTTATACCATTTAGAGCATTTATAAAATTTACATTTATAGAATTTTTACTCTGGGTGTTCTAAAAATATATCCTTTTGGGTGTCCTTTCCTTTCAGGTAACCGCAGCTTCAAAGTTTCTGACTTTACAGGAGTCAGTAAGACATGCTGCCGATCTCTATTTATCATTTAAGCATATTCCTCTTGTTTTTCTTTGCGACACGGCTTGTGGGTTTGTCAGGCACTTAGAGTGCCGGGTCAGTAAAGAAATGACCGAACAGCTATGGAAAGATAACAGAAGGTGTTTTGAGGTACCATCGTTGGATAAACCACCATCAAAGGTATCGTTTACGAAAAATCTACATATTACTGGTGTATTGTGCACATTCATTGCCCTGCAACATTTTTGTTCAGTCAAGGCTAACTTAAGATATGACTGGAAAACAGTTTAGAATATTCTGAAAACCCATAAAATGGAACAAATAAATTATTAATTTTGTCGTCATGACACTTCTAGGAAATGAGTGTCCCTATGCTGACAACAGCAGAATACAGAAAAAGTGACAATGATATGATACAGGTGGAGGATGGTAGCATGATTCATCCATTGACAGGCACATCCAGGAGATATGTTTTAGGTGACAGATTTCACACAGCAAGCAATCCTCACAAGTCACCCCTTTGTGAATATCACAACATAAATCTTTTGTCTCAGTCGAACACGATAAAAACAAGCTATCAAGAGTCCGAAAACAACCGAAAGAATGTGCGACGGTTACGAAGCTCGATAATGCAAAATTTTTCCACACACTATTTTCATAACTTTTTGATGGATTTCTATCAAAATGAGGAAATAGTAAAAAAGCAACACGACGTAGCTTCGAGACAGCTAAGACCTGGGCAGATGTTATGCAGGAATTCATATATGCAATTTGTGATAAAAGATGGTGAAAAATAAGCATTAGGGTTATTACTCATCGCGCGCTTGTTGATTACGTTGGGTAGGTGGAGCTCATCAGTCTTGGAAGACAGTCCACCTAGGAGAAGGAAAACTCTGATTTAAAACCCCCGGACTCGTGCAATAAATGGGTCAGGCTGTCCATGTCGGATTCATTGATGCTGCTAATAATTATTGCAATACTTAATGTTTCCTAGGCATGCTGACGAGCCCTGAGATAGGGCAAAACAGCCATTATACACGAATTGTTATACATAGTATTATTTATTGGATCTAGTTTTCATAACTTTTCATATCTTTAGCAAGCAACTGGACGGTTTATTCGTTCTTTAATGTTTTCAATTAAATTATTTTTTAGATTTCTGTTTGCAGAAGTCGCACAGCCTATAATGAAAAAAAACAACTTGTTTGAACGTCAATCATATTTATAGGACGTTGAAGTATTAACATTACTGTAAATGTATTGACTTACCACTTTCCTTTAGGTACTCTTTCAATTCCTAGGCACTCCTGATGGTAGTAGCCTTTACCTGGACACTATAGTTATGGTTGAAAAATAAGCAGTTATTGACCGACATTAAGTTTTAAGGAAACTATTAGTGGGATACGAGATGTAGTATCGTTTATTTTACAGATAGTGGAATGAACATAGAAACCTCAACCAGACAACATAAGATTGCTTTTATAAATTTCTCGTACATAAGGTTCTGGGACAAGAAACTCTCGGAACTGAGAAAATATATGCGAGCTTAACTGTTTTACTGCATTTGAGCACAATGCAAAATCGAATCTAGTCTATATGTACTATTTTATACATACGTTCTTTTTGTTTGTGGTTTCACATATCAGCATCATGTCCTCCGATTCTTTATCTCTTTCCTGGAACGATTATGGTATATACATCATTGTATATACATTGTATATACATCGTGCAACTTGCTCTTAATTCAGAACTGCGTGACACAAAGTTCAGAAGTTCTAGCCGGTAAGAGAACTTAGGGGGAAAACTAATGTAAATAAACTGATCAATGATGATAATGTATTTTCCTTTAATGCTGGTATCATGCATGAATAAAAAGGACTTAGACAGGAATTGCACTGGTCCAATATGAATTCGGGGACACGCAAGTTTCCCGTCCGAAAGTTACCGTCTCGTCCAAACAGTGGGAAAATTATGCAGATATTGAAAAATTGTATAAGTACGTCATAGAACTAGATGTATGATTTACCTCTTTGCATGAACACCATTTGTATACTTTAATTTTGCCGGAATTCGGAGGACATGATAATCCACTCGTCCCAGCAGTTGTCCCAACACTTTTATTATCAGATCGTGTAGAGCCTATATGTGATTTAAAAAAAGAAAATATGCTCATCAAAATGTTGATGCAAAAAGTGCATGGATTTGGACAGACACACTTGTTAATCAGAACTTCTTTTACTTACTCCGAGGAAGAACGCCAATAGCACCTTCTGCAAATAATCGCTTTCTGGTGTGCGATTCACCTGTAATTAGTTAAAAGGCATAGACATATTTATGTTATATATATATATATATTATATATACAGTAATTTATATAATCGTACTTGCAAACCACACAAGACACATCGTATATCGTTTACCTCTTGCAGGCATTTCATTTGCTTGCTCGCAGACGTTTTGATCGCCAGTTGCTATTGGGGTTGAATCGGGAATTTTGTCTTGGGAAGTTCTCACGTCTGTTGTATTGTGATCTAAGATAATTGGAAAGAGCAAAATAACGTAAATGAATTGTATGCCGGGCAGCAACAGGTATTGCATTGAGTCAGGTGCACGCAACTGTAGTAACGAGCATAATATTCGCATGCAAGCTGAATAAGTCAAATAAAACGAACCTATTTCGGGTCTCTTTATTATTTTTTGCGCGACTTCAATGGCCTGTAAATTAATCACAGAAAAACTTGTAACGCTTAAAACTTTATAACATCGTTAAAAAAACATTAAAAAAACTACAAAAGCATCAAAACTCGTTAGTAATTCGTTTTGATAATTTAATATGACATACCCAAGCAAATGTTTTCCTTTTTCTTGGAGTCAGGTTGTTATATCTAGCCTTTGTGTTCGGTGTAAGTTTCTATTTGAATAGCCAAGGATACACCGTGAAACACAGATTAGACAAGTCGTTAAACTGCTCATACAATCTCCTAACTGAGTAAGCCTGCATACCTCTGTAAAACTGAAGTCGAGCTCCTCTTCACTTTCGGTAGGTGTAGTTGTATTTTCGCGATATTGCATGACTTGACTATTTTTAAATGCTATACAAATGTGTTATTAAAGGTTTCAAAAATTTAATATGCTGATGAAATACTCAAATAGTAATCCTCATCTGATTCTGTTATTTCTGTATACCTTCTAACTTTATCCTCAACTCGTTTTCGAGAGTGTCCAACCTTTCGCAACCTTCGTCCGATATTGTTGTTGCTGGATTGTTCATTTCTTCCATATCACTCTCATTGGGGGCATCATCCCGAATTCCACTGGCTAATGAGTAATATTGTTAGAAAACGATTACATTCAGATACAAAACAAGCCTAAACTTCGAACCAGAAAGAATTGCATAGAAACTTTATTTAAAACTTTCTTACCATACGCTATCATATGTTGCGTGAATGGCATCAGTTTCCCCAGAGGAATTCGGTACGCTCTTTTCTGGCAAACGTGTTCCTTTTAATCATTTGCTCCAAGGTGCATTCCCTGTCTTTGCCGAAGTATATCCCTATTGTCCCCGGCTCCCGTACAAGCGTACTTTGCAATTCTTTGAATTCCTATTAAAACAAACATTTTGTGAAATGCAGTCACAAGACCGCGTTAGACTCCAACACTGTACGTGTTACTCACTGTATGTGAAATATCGACAAAACTGTCGACAGCAGTTGACAGTAGCGCAATGCCTGGAACCTTCATCCCTTCGATGTTGTTGACAGTAACTTTAGGGTGCAGCCATGTAAGAATCTTAAAAGAGATCAGCAAAATCTGTGAATGTTATATCCAAGGAAATCGAACACTGTGTATATGGCGCCATTTAATACTTTATTTCGTTCGGAATTTTTTTTATGTAAATAGAAAAATGAAAGAAAACAAACCCGGTCTTTTTCCTCGGCTATCTTTTCAATGATGTAAGCTTCTAGCCTTTGCATTGTTGAACGTATGCTTACTGTCTGCACCTTTAATAACTCGCCGCATGCAAACAATACATAATCTTTGGTGTTCGCTTGGTTACCACACGAGAGACGTAACTAGAATGAGAAACATAAGTCATTTAAAAATGAACTCTATTATTGAAAACTAGTCCGATCTATTTTTTGCGAGTTATTTGAGTTTCACATACCAGAGCATTTGCGACAAGTACCGCGGCAATACCAGACAACCACCTTGCCTGCACCTTCAGGTCGTTTTCATCGAAGATCGCTTGGACGACCTCTTCGACAATTTCACGCGCATGTTCAAAAACCTCAGCCCATAACTCCAGGTATTTAATTGCCCAGACAAGCAAAATACCCTATATAACAATATATTGGTCATGGATTTTGAAGGTATAGTAGCCTAAAATAACTTATGATTAAGTTGAAGTACACGACGTTTACATTTCCATATAGACTAAAATATACCTTGTTTTCTTGCATGAACTCTCGCATAACCTTCAGTTGCTTGTCGTTAAACTTGGCTTGTTCATTCCGTTCCTTGTTCCAGCTCACGTAATTAAACCTAATAACTCTCCCTACTAATCTACAATGAAACAGATTTCGAAGGTTAATGTTAATAACGTAATTTCAGTTTAAGAATTAAAAGACAATTCATTATAATTGCATAAGTGTACTACCGGGAAACTTCGGGAGAATTCGTCGATATTAACGTGGCGGCCTTGATGGATGTCATCCCCACCTTATTTGATCCAGACATCAGTCGCCCTTGTGCTTGCAGCAGAAACTCGTTAAAGTTAACATTGGGTTTAGGGTCATCAATCATTATGACCCCAGTCGTTCTCGATGCTATCTCTTGCATTTTCTTTCTAATTAAAATAATTGAAGTCTGCTTTTCAAACATTTGCGAAAAAATTCTTTTATACAACAACGTATAATTTTAACGTGAAACTCACGTAGATGTTCCACATGTCTGGGAGTCTCCACCACTTACTAACATTACGTGCAATCGATTGGGAATTCCAACACCCCGAGCAAGGAGATTTAGACTCTCCGATTTCCCTATGCTCCTTTCTTCGGAGAATATCATGCCAATAGAACTCTCTCCTAAATGACGAAGACGTTAAAAACAAAGGTAACTATGAGAAAAGAAATTGAAACATGGTAATACTGTCTATGGTAGTACTGTACAGTGAAGTTATTTACGTCTTTCACTTTCCGCGATTGAGCTACCTGTTCATTCAAACAGTAACTTACTCCAAACATCTTCAGGATTGAGAGCATTCCTCAGCAACGAGCCACAGTGAATGCTGTTGCCAGCAAAATGAGTCCATATTAGGGCCCAAGCATTGCGAAAGTAGTATGAACCTTACAAAAAAATGAATATATAATTAAAAAATTATTGGTATAATCGTTTATGTAGTCCAAGTGACACTTGAAAAGTTGGCCAAAGTCAGTAGTGCGCTGTAGATGTTTCTAGCCCAAAACCGCATTTTTACCTTGCAACAGAACGATTCAACTTTGCGTAATCGTTCAGTAAGCTTTCGTTAATTTGCAATTGGTTGGTTTTAAAGACTTGTCCAATATTAGATACTTATGATCAATTGGATCTAACACTTTACCATTCTCAATATGCACCTGAATAATTAAATGAATATTAATAAACTAATAAGGAACGTTCCCAGGGCTAACAAAATGCTTTCAGTTGGAGAAGGGATATAAACAAACGCAAACTTTAGAAATCAAAGATCTCAATATTCTAGTTTGGTTGTTTCGTTTTAGAATAGTTATGTTTTTCTTTCAAATGCACAACTAGGTAAATATCTATACAAGCGTAATACAACATACATCATTGGAAATAATCCAGTAGTTATTCCCTTGGTATCCCATGAAACGCGTTTCATGGAAAACCCTTTTGTTCTCCTGTTGGGAGAAGTCTTCTTTCAGGTAGCAGGCGTACGAATGGACGACAGCTGACGTCACGTGCGGCCCCAATAAGAACGTTCCTTCTCCATAAGCAGCTCTTAATGAGTCAATGAAACGTTGCTTGGAGTCGAAACAATTGACGTTCAATACGATAAGTCTGAAAAAAACCAGATGGCACATGCAATTGTATCGTTCGCGTAGTCTTTGAAGCTATCTACTTCTAAACTATTCATAAGAACATGTTTATACTTAAAAATCCGGCACATTATAATTAATCCTCGGAAATAAGAAGAAATTGGCAGAAATTGGTCAAAACGTGAGCACTGGAAAACTAATTTTTATAGAGAACTGAGCGAAATTTTCTTTCGAGAAAAAGGCGATCAAAACTTTTGCGGGTATTTTAGTGATGCCAGATTTTTCCACCTCCTACTTCTGTAAGCCTGTTCCTTACGCCTTTGCTAATTGCTGTTTGTGTTTTTTTATTAATCTTAAGGTGTGAAAATAATTTCATTTAATATCAAAGCAAAAAAAGTATATTATCAAATATTACTTTTGTATCCCGATACATATTTTATGTGTATCTATATAGGTGCCATGATAATGTGCCCTAATTATCACACATGCCGCTGCATCGGAAACGCATTGTGAAATTAGTATGGACAATGACGCGGTTGTTTAGAGCCTATATTCATTGTGTAAACTGGCTATATACGATGATGTGCATATTTAAAATACATTTCGTTTAGCGTCTAGTTTATTCCAATTGAGTAACTGTTAATCGTATACATCTAATATCGTATGTATGGAAATGCACAAGTCTGCGCAAGGACACAACAGGACCATTTTCATACTAAAACAAGAAACCACCCGGTACTTTAATGAGTTGCGAAGAACTCGTATAAAAATCCCATTTACAATAAGCTTATGTTGGCCTAGGTTTACACTTTTGCCTTATTGTAGCGGCAGTTTGCGAACAAATTTACTGTTCTTATTCATTCGAATCGTTTGTGACGTTTAAACAACGCATCATTTCAGCTGCGACTTATTTTCGCTCATATATTGCCCTAATGTGTATATACAACTTCAGTAGTTCCATTTGTTTTTATACACGAAAAACTATATTGTGCACGCGAGCGTATTTACCATGCATAAAAAACTCCAGTGTGCGGAGAAACAATAAATGTATATCGTTTAACACTACACAAACCTGATTGTAGTTTCCTCATCTTCGGAGGCTGAACCACAACAGCAAACCCAATGCCCAGCAGAATTTTCTTCTTCTTTCAGCTTTAGCTTCCCAAATATTTTGAGCGAGAAATCCCCAAACATGGAAAATTTTTTCCCATAGTAAGTTTTGTTGCCAGCCACACAAAACATTGTTAAAACACTTTCAATCTACATACAAAACGAAGATCATATTAATATAGGGATACCAATTACCATATTCTCAATGTTATTGAAAAATAAAAATCTCGTTGCTCGCTTTACTAACCTCAGTGTCAGAAAGATTTATATACGTGCCGAAAGGTCTACAAACTTTCCCACTTGCCAAATAGTGAACTTGCTAAGAGTCGAAGGAGAAAGAGAACGCAAGCATATGATAACTGTTATATATACCCAGTGCTTCCACTTTGGAAAATCAGAAAATCCTTTTTTCTCCTTATTTTCACTGAAAATTCCTTTAAAAAATTGTGAAATTTCCTTCACATTTCCTTCAAGCAATTAAAAGAAATTATGTCGAATATGCTCTAAAAAAGCCTTTCCCAAAATACGATTATCGTAATGTTCAATTTTATCATTGCTCTAAAGTCTGAAAAACTCTGAGTACAATTATACTTTGTAGAGAGCTAAAACTATAAACAGAATTGCATAATTCAAAATATGCCCGTAGCTTCAAATGTCATAGTTTTGGCCTCAATTTACCTTAAATGAATCAACAATCAAAACTTGCAATTAAAAATTTATATAAATTACGTGCTTATAAAAGCATGAAGGAAAAAGGTAGCTACTTAGAAAGTTTTAGTCTTTTAGATGTAATTGTTATATTTATTTTACACAATTACTATGATTTATACAAAATAGGTATTAAACGAAGCATTTCAAGTAAATTAATGGCATTTATTCCATTTATTAATTATTTTTCGGTTAATAAGTGTTATGCGCAAGGTCTATTTAGTGAGATTTAGACTTATTTTACCACTTTTTTTTCAAAACGATGTAAATATTACTAATTTTGGTAAAATTTTGATATTTCATTCAAATTCGCTTCGTTTTTCTAGAATTTCCCTCAAATTTCCTTTAAAATTTATTTCCTTAAATTTCCTTCATCTTACAAAAAAATCCTTTTAAAAGGAAATTTCCTTCAAAGTGGAAGCGCTGTAATACCATACGAAGATCAATGACGGCATAAGGTTAATCACACTTAATTAATGACACTTAATGAGAAACCATCTATATGGAGTGTAATATGAGACGGAAGGTGCATGGTAGCATATGATGGCAGAAGTGCGAAGTATATAATGAGGATATTACGTGAAACCTTGTAAGTGTGTAAGTAAAACTTGTGAACGGCAAACTTCATGATTGCTTCAAAGCAAACTGTTGGTTTTTATGTTACATACATATACACACATCAATCGTTTTTATTCGTTCACTGTTTTGAGTACGTTTTGTATTCAAAGCAATGTTTGTGGAATTGTGACATCCTCTAATAATTACTAGGTGACGCTGTCCAAGTTGTCAGGGAAAAAATGTCAAGTTTTTCAACGGCTATAAATAGACCACTTCAAAAATAGCGGCTATTAATCGCTATATAGATGTGTGACTATTATTAGAAGTATTAACAGTCACAAAAATGACAGTTGCCCTTGACAACTTGGTCAGCTTTCCCTGGCAACATTTCAGATGACGTCACAAACATTGATCTCACTGCTGCAAAACTTAAGGGCCTAATTCCACGGGCACTTTTTCTCCGCGAAATATTTCGCCTGTTTCTTTTGAATTTCGACCACATTTTAAATTTCGCCTGTTTCTTTTGAATTTCGACCACTTCATTGCTCACAATTCAAGCAGGCGAAATAGTTATAGTAGTTAGTTAGTTAGTTAGTTAGTTAGTTAGTTAGTTAGTTTATATTAGTTATGGTTAGTGAGTTGGTCATTGTTAATCAAATTCGCATTCTGACCCCAATTTTTTCCCATACCTGGCCTTTATAATGTCACAAAGTTTACAAAGCTTACAATGTAAAAGTTTACGAGGTTTACAGAGTGCGATTTAACGTTAACAGTTTTGTTTTCACTGAATAATCACATACACAACATGTTTTTCAGGATATTGTCTTGTATATTTAAGGTTCTGCCAGTTCCTTGAGATCAAATCAATAAAGATATCAGATATCGCGATGGGCGAATCACTGAAAAAAAAAGTGTGCGAGATTTGCGGATTTCGAAAATCGATAGGGATTTTTACAAATTTTTGTGATAATTTTTTTTAAAGTATTCTTGTGACTTTATATGGATTTTTAGATCTTTTTACGGATTTTCAGGAATTTGTAGTGATTTTTAATGGACTTTTAAGGGACTTTTTAGCCTTTAGCTTATGGAATTTTTTTATTGGGGGCGTACGACATTTTTGAGCGATACACCCCTCGATAAATCTCAATATCATCCGCATAGCCCAGCAACTCACTTTTCCTGATCGCATAAGCTAAATCGTTCATAAAAACAGTAAACAGCATAGGCCCCAAAATACTGCATTGTAGTACCCCAGCTGTCACACCCATCCAATTTGAGTATGCCTCCCTAACTTCACCCGTTGACTACGACTTGACAGATAACTTCGCAAAAGGTTTACTGCTTTATAGCCCAAGCCATAGAATTTCAGTTTTTCCAAAATAAGTTCGTGTCGAAGACAACGAATGCTTTACTCAGATCCATAGCAACAGCCCCAATCTTATTATAACTGTGATAACATAGATAAACTTCGTCTAGTTGACGAAAACCGACCAAAATCCTGAATCAAGCACATGCCGCAGCCATCTTGCTTTTGGAGGTTAGGGGCCACGTTGCTCTTGTTCAATTCTCACATTGAAAAATAAAAAAAAGAGCAAAAGAAAGTGTGCTACGACAGCTACGCTTGCTACGCTTGCTACGACTGCTATGTTTGGTACGACTGCTACGCTTGCTACGCTTTCTAAGCTCTCTACGCTTGCTACGCTTGCCACGCGTGCCACGCTTGCCACGCTTGCCACGCTTGCCACGCTTGCAACGCTTGCCACGCTTGCCACGCTTGCCACGCTTGCCACGCTTGCCACGCTTGCCACGCTTGCCACGCTTGCCACGCTTGCCGCTTGCCACGCTTGCCACGCTTGCCACGCTTGCCACGCTTGCCACGCTTGCCACGCTTGCCACGCTTGCCAACGCTTGCCACGCTTGCCACGCTTGCCACGCTTGCCACGCTTGCCACGCTTGCCACGCTTGCCACGCTTGCCACGCTTGCCACGCTTGCCACGCTTGCCACGCTTGCCACGCTTGCCACGCTTGCCACGCTTGCCACGCTTGCCACGCTTGCCACGCTTGCTACGACTGCTACGCTTGCTACGACTGCTACGCTTGATAGGCTTGCTACGACTGTTACGCTTGATAGGCTTGCCACGACTGCTACGCTTTCTACGCTTGCTACGACTGCTACGCTTGCCACGCTTGCCACGCTTGCCACGCTTGCCACGCTTGCCACGCTTGCCACGCTTGCCACGCTTGCCACGCTTGCCACGCTTGCCACGCTTGCCACGCTTGCCACGCTTGCCACGCTTGCCACGCTTGCCACGCTTGCCACGCTTGCCACGCTTTGCCACGCTTGCCACGCTTGCCACGCTTGCCACGCTTGCCACGCTTGCCACGCTTGCCACGCTTGCCACGCTTGCCACGCTTGCCACGCTTGCCACGCTTGCCACGCTTGCCACGCTTGCCACGCTTGCCACGCTTGCCACGCTTGCCACGCTTGCCACGCTTGCCACGCTTGCCACGCTTGCCACGCTTGCCACGCCTGCCACGCTTGCCACGCTTGCCACGACTGCTACGACTGCTACGACTGCTACGACTGCTACGACTGCTACGACTGCTACGCCTGCTACGACTGCTACGACTGCTACGCCTGCTACGCCTGCTACGCCTGCTACCCTTGCTACGCCTGCTACGCCTGCTACGCCTGCTACGCCTGCTACGCCTGCTACGCCTGCTACGCCTGCTACGCCTGCTACGCCTGCTACGCCTGCTACGCCTGCTACGCCTGCTACGCCTGCTACGCCTGCTACGCCTGCTACGCCTGCTACGCCTGCTACGCCTGCTACGCCTGCTACGCCTGCTACGCCTGCTGCCTGCTACGCCTGCTACGCCTGCTACGCCTGCTACGCCTGCTACGCCTGCTACGCCTGCTACGCCTGCTACGCCTGCTACGCCTGCTACGCCTGCTACGCCTGCTACGCCTGCTACGCCTGCTACGCCTGCTACGCCTGCTACGCCTGCTACGCCTGCTACGCCTGCTACGCCTGCTACGCCTGCTACGCCTGCTACGCCTGCTACGCCTGCTACGCCTGCTACGCCTGCTACGCCTGCTACGCCTGCTACGCCTGCTACGCCTGCTACGCCTGCTACGCCTGCTACGCCTGCTACGCCTGCTACGCCTGCTACGCCTGCTACGCCTGCTACGCCTGCTACGCCTGCTACGCCTGCTACGCCTGCTACGCCTGCTACGCCTGCTACGCCTGCTACGCCTGCTACGCCTGCTACGCCTGCTACGCCTGCTACGCCTGCTACGCCTGCTACGCCTGCTACGCTTGCTACGCCTGCTACGACTGCTACGCTTGCTACGACTGCTACGCTTGATAGGCTTGCTACGACTGTTACGCTTGATAGGCTTGCTACGACTGTTACGCTTTCTACGCTTGCTACGACTGCTACGCTTTCTACGCTTGCTACGACTGCGTAGCACGCGTAGCACGCGTAGCACGCGTAGCACGCGTGCTGCTACGCGTGCTACGCGTGCTACGCGTGCTACGCGTGCTACGCTTGCTACGCTTGCTACGCTTGCTACGCTTGCTACGCTTGCTACGCTTGCTACGCTTGCTACGCTTGCTACGCTTGCTACGCTTGCTACGCTTGCTACGCTTGCTACGCTTGCTACGCTTGCTACGCTTGCTACGCTTGCTACGCTTGCTACGCTTGCTACGCTTGCTACGCTTGCTACGCTTGCTACGCTTGCTACGCTTGCTACGCTTGCTACGCTTGCTACGCTTGCTACGCTTGCTACGCTTGCTACGCTTGCTACGCTTGCTACGCTTGCTACGCTTGCTACGCTTGCTACGCTTGCTACGCTTGCTACGCTTGCTACGCTTGCTACGCTTGCTACGCTTGCTACGCTTGCTACGCTTGCTACGCTTGCTACGCTTGCTACGCTTGCTACGCTTGCTACGCTTGCTACGCTTGCTACGCTGCTACGCTTGCTACGCTTGCTACGCTTGCTACGCTTGCTACGCTTGCTACGCTTGCTACGCTTGCTACGCTTGCTACGCTTGCTACGCTTGCTACGCTTGCTACGCTTGCTACGCTTGCTACGCTTGCTACGCTTGCTACGCTTGCTAC